AAAAGTTTTTTTTTTTCACTTGGGAGGGTCCCTTTCAGTCATTTTAAACACCAGCACCTTGAAACTTTGTCAGATGATAGAAAACATGTTGGTCTAACTTCGTTTAAAGCACAGAGAGTCTGAGTTAAATGGTGTTGCCGTGGCGCCATGGCGAAGTGAGGCGTTTCGCCATGAAAATACGATTGGCTCTCATTTCCTCATTAATAATCAGATCTGCACCAAAATCACAAGAGATGATCCTAGTCCAACTCCAAACAGGAATCCAGAGCAATATTTTGTGGGCGGGGCTTAATTTCACTACAGCGCCCCCTAGAAATAACAAACTTCAAACCACCAGCCCCAAGCCGTTTTTAGTCCAAGAATATTGAAACTTTGAACACATTTGCATCTCATCAGGCCCTAACTAAAAGCCTCTTGGAGCCATGGTCTAAACCCCACCGGAAGTCGGCCATTTTGAATTACATTTTACCCTGTTGTGAAATCACGGACCTGTTTTCAAAAAATTGTATGAAATCAGCCTTTTATCCAAATGAGCTAAAACTTTCAAAATACGTTCTTTACAAAGCCTGCTGTAAGCTGGTTACAAAAGCAAAGCGCTTCTTTAAAGTCCGTCACTCTGATTTTTCAAAAGTTTTTGTCTCGCCTAATAGTTGGTCAAGTGGACAGATAATGCCAGGAAATAATTCAGCCCCTAGCCATGCTCGTTCCTAGGATAATGAAATTTGGCATACATCTGTATGAGCTCTCCACCTACAAAAAGTTTCAATGGAGCCATGGTCTAAACCTCTCATGAAGTCGGCCATTTTGATTTAAACGGCACCCTTATGAAAATAGAATCACTCTGTTAAAATATTTCTAAAAAATCAGTCGTTTTCCCAAAAGAGCTAGGACTTTTGGAATATATTCCTCTAATCGCTACTTGTTTAATGGTAAGCACAGCATAGCTCTTCTTAAAAGTCCGTCACTCTGATTTTTCAAAAGTTTGTGTTAACAAGAAATTGTTGTATCTCAAAAAGTTTTATAGCAATCCTAGCCAAAATTGGAACAGTTATTTATCCTTTGATTATAGAAAAGACTGCCAAGTTTGGCGTGAATCTATGCATGTTTGAGCATCTTATGGGGTTTTCAACTGCCGCAGTATATGGCATTCAAGTTTAAAGATTTTTCTTTCTTTAAATTATTTAATAAATCATCTAAAAAAAATCTAGGACATGCAAGATGTGTTCCTTGACATTTGTGATTTTTTTCGGGATTTTATTGCAAACTATGGATTTTTAATTATTTTTTTTTGTTTTGAGTAGGGTGTATTACCGCTAACCGTGGAGTTTGGCAGTGCTGTTTCTCCATCTTTTGAACATATACTTTTGACCCACCACCTGAGATGGCCGCAGCATCTATCTCACAGATGAGATTCATCCCAGATATTATATTTTATCCCTAGTTTAACCCTTCCTGACCAAAGCTGTGGTTTTCTCCGGCTGGTCCAGAGGTGAAGCGTGGCGCCTTTTCCGCTGGCTGAGAAGGAGCAAGGGGGCGGCAAACTTCTAACTTGCTGAGCCTCGATTTAAGACATAAGGGGTCAAAAGCAATCAAAAGAGTTTTTGCTGTGACAAACCATGTGGGCGTGGCCAAGCATCAAAATCAGACTTTGCGCCATTAGAGTATGACTAAACTGCCTCAGGCCCTGCTTTTATTAAGGATTATTAAATTTGTATAGCCGAACACGATGCTCAAAAAAGTATATTGGAGCCATGGTCCACACCCAACAAGAAATGGGCCATTTTGGATCAAAGATACCATTTTCTTTTTTTAGGTCATGACATATCTGAGTGAAGGGCTCTTTTTTTTTGAGACATAGACTTCAAATTAACTTTACATGGACTATAGTCATAGCAAATTAAAAGTTATCAAAATTATTATTCTACATGGGAGCATGTGGGCGTGGCTAAGCATCAAACTGTTAACTCCAGTCATACAAAGCCATCATTTTATAACCTCAATATGGAAGGTCAACATAGTACCAGGAGGGGGAGGAGATGGAGGAGAAAGATGATGAGGATGAGGAGACGCAGTGAGAGCAGCTGCAGGAGGAGGAGCATGAGAAGCAGGAGGATGAGGAAGCTAAGAAGAAGCTACAGGAGGAAGAGTATGGGAAACAGTGGCAGCAGCAGAAGGAGCAAGAGGAGGATGAAGAGAATCAGCAGCAGGGTGATGAAGAAGATGACGAGAAGAAGCAGCAGGCATAAGCTGAAGAGCAGGAGCATAGGCTGGGAAGGAGCTTGGAGGTGGAGGTTGCTTGGTTCCCACGGTCGCAACATACCAGGCGGTGCGAGCTGCGAGGGCCGCTCAATGCCACTTGTGGCTTTAATTTCATTTGAATTAGCTTAAGCAGCGTTTATATTTTCTTTATAAATAAATTAACTTGCAAATTATGAGGGCAAGGCTTTTAAAGTTTAAATCTTCTGGCAAAGATAAAGTAAAGAAGATCCTGCAATTTATGGAAGTAAAGCAGAATAAAATCCAGCAAGATCAGTTATATGTCAATTAATTATCTGCCACATTCCCATGAAAATATCTGTCTTTGGAGGATGTGTTTTTTAACACCCCTAGTTCTCTCATTTTTATTCCAAATACAATTTATAATTTGAATCACAGGGCTATTTTTATCTCTATGGTTCAGTATTTTCTCAAGTAGCAACTTTAACTGCTATACTTTCCTGTCTTAAAAGGCAGAACTCTTCTAGTCTAAAAAAAATGAATTTGTTGAATGAATGTTTGAACCCCTTAGGGGCTTTAAAAAACAAAAATGCCTGTCTCTTTTTGCGCTTTATGAAACAAAGTACCCTATATTTTGTGGATGTACAGCTACATTTCTCATGTAAGTTAGCGTAGTTTTAACACAAACATTTATTTTTCATATTGCACCAGTACAGTTAATGAGCAACCTGTACTTGTGTGCTTGTTTGTTCTGTCTAAAATGTTTATTTTGGAATAAAGAGGTTAATATAAAAAATTTGTTTTGTCCGACTCATCGATTAATCGAAAAAATAATCGGCCGATTCATCGATTTTTAAAATAATCGTTAGTTGCAGCCCTAGCTGAGTTACATGCTCATATTATATTTGAGTTTTATAAATTTCCTTACTAAAGGCGAAATATCGGCTCGGGACTTGAAATCTGAACGGATTTGTGGTTAAAAGAAAGGATCAGGATCAGAGGCCTAAAATGCTGAACATGACATCCCTACTAAAAAACCCTGAAATTAAATCTTTTCTGTGTTAAACCGGAAAAAAAGTCTGCTTTTTTGTCATTCATGTTTTCTTCTTATTCCAATCTATCAGAACTATCTCGGACGGCTGGTATGAACCGTTTCTCTGCACTGCAGTCCACACCTTTACCTCAGCCTTCCAGCACCCCTCCACAGAACCCTGACTATGACTCCAGAAGAACTCTGGGAAGGTAGGACACCATCCCAAACGGATGATCTCCATAGTTCTAGTCACCTGTGTTCCCCTTCTTTATTGATTTATTTGCCTCTCCTCTCAGCAGTCGGAACAACTCGGTCCGGGAACGTAGTGAAAAGCCGCTGATCTCAGCCCAGCCTTCATCTCGACCCGGTCCGTTCGTCAGAGGCAGCAGTTCCAAAGAGCTGCTTGAAACTCCAAACCCAGAGGAGCTGAGGAGAGACCGGGAGCGAGAGGGAGCAGAACCCCGGAGGCCGAGCGTCGCCGAGGAAAAAGCTGAACCGGAGCGAAGCAAAGTCAGGGAACCAGGTCAGAACACTGAGAGCAAAAAAGGTTTTAAGATCTTATTTAAAATGTGCTGAACGATGACAGCAACTGATCTGTGTTTTTGTGGCCATGTAACTACAGTCTGTCTTTGTTCGTACCGCTTCCTGGTTCAAAGACGGCTCATTAAACTGATTCAGTTTATTGAATAAGATGTGAACGATGAGTTTTTATCAGAACAGACCCAGCATTGATCTGAATGTCACTCTTATTACAGTGAAACCCGAGCCAGTGCTTCAAAAGCCAGACAGACCTGCACGAACGGAGGAGGAGATCAAGATGAAGTCAAAGTCCATTATTGATGAGTTTCTGCACATAAACGATTACAAGGTAGTGATCTGTCAGACCTCAACAAGCTGCTGTCAGAAAGCTTCCCTCAAAGCATTTTAACCTTTAGGGATTTCAAGCCTGTAGTCCTGACAAGAGCTGTGTGACTCGGCATGTTTTTTTTTTCTGTAACAATTATTTAAATATTGATTTACCTTGTATTCAGATACCAGGTTCCAATGATCGTTATTTCTTCAGATGCTAATTGTCACGTTTCGTGATATGATCTTGTTTGTCTGCAGGAGGCTATCCAGTGTGTGGATGAGCTGGACTTGGGCCCTCAGTTGCACATCTTTGTGCGCATCGGGGTGGAGTCCACCCTGGAGCGCAGTCAGATCACACGGGACCACATGGGCCAACTCCTCTTCCAGCTGGTGAAGCAGGAGATTCTGCCTAAAGCCCAGTTGTACAGAGGGTCAGTCCACCTGCTGAGTGCTTGTTGCTTGAGAATGAGGCCAAAGCAGAACCGTTTCTGTAAATCAAGAAAATGACAGTTTTATTTATGAAAAAGAATATCACCATGTTTCAAGTCTCAAATTTAAAGAAAAAAGACCTGATGCAGGCAAATACATGTAAAAGATAACTTAATGAAGTCCTGCGTGTGTGTGAGCCAGCCTTGAAGCCACGGTTTTGTCTTGAAACATAATTAATAAATGTTTATTTTGTAAGGAAAAAAATAAGAAGTTTAAAGGATTAAGATTAAGTGTTTGAATTAAGGAGTACAATGACCTGCAAAAGTAAAAATTCTCTTTTTCTTACATTAATCACAATGGTTACAGCCATTAGCCAATCCTCTGATTGATGCTCTGCTTTGATATTTAGAAGAAATCACACAGTTTGAGGGTATTAAAGGACATAAGTGTAATAGAAACATGCATTTCAAGTTTATTTATAAAAAAAGAAAAAAACTGTAGGCCTTCATGTAAATTCAAACTCTTATTTTTAATCTCATTTTAATGGCGAACTGTTTATTTCTAAGCTTCGATGCCTGTTCTATTTCATCCCTACTGACCGCCAGAGGGCGGTGCTGAAAGCACTGAATGTTCCCTTCGGGCATGCGCAGTAGTGATGGGCTATCTGAAGCCAGGCTTCGAGGCTTGTACCGAGTAATAAGGGGGCGTGTCAATGAAGCCCCGCTTCGAGGCCTGTGTTGTCTTGTTGAAAACCACGTGACTGGCAACAAACGAGGCCTCGCATTGCATTGGTCACGTGACTGCTTCATTTTGCGTGTCGGTTTTCAAAATAAAAGCGCGATGAATCCTGTTGCTTTGTGGGTTGTAGTAGGTGGTTTGGTCTCAGCAGAACAGTTTTCATCAGCAGTGGTTGTAATGGAGCCGTCAAAAAAGAGAAAAACCTCTCATATGTGGGAGTATTATGAGATGACAGATCACAATCACAACCTGAAACAGTGAAAAAAGTCCTATTCCTAAATAAAAACAATTAAACCTAAAATCCAGAAATTTCTATATTTTCTTTTGTTTAATCAGGAGATGCATCAGAATCACACATCAAAACCAGACTAAAAGCCATTAGAAGAGGCAAACTCTATGTGTAACTTGATATTAAGAATCAGAACTAGAACTCCTAGGAAGAGATGATTTTAAACAAATTCTGTCTTTAAGGAAGCACGTTTCAAGCTCAAAGTACACAGAGTCTGCAGCAACAGTCACTCAGTTCTCAATACATTAAAGTAACACATATCTTCATTGTCTAATAAGTCCATGTCATAAAAGAAAACCTAACACCACCACTGATGGTCAAGGATTAGATTGGCTACAAATCATTTTAATCATTAAAACATGACAATTGAATAGGATTCTCCTCTTACTAAACACGAGTTTGATGAAAACTTTGTGACAATATTGCATTTCCTAATATTTGGAAGTATGATCCAACTGAGTAACAAGGCTGTTACAGTTTCACCAGCAGATGTCACTAGTGAGTGATGAATGAAGCATCGAGTAATGAACTTTTTTCAACACTTTGCGTTGGAAAGCTTCATTGCTTCATGACGCTTCACTTGCCCATCACTAATGCGCAGTTCGAGTAATTATACCAACAGAGTCACACCTGTGACACCGGATGACCACTCAGAAGCTATATAGCCTGGTGTCATCCTTTGCTCTGCTCCTTTTTTCTTCTCGCAAGCGGTTCGCTAACTTCCCCGTTGTCTGAAGCCCCTGTATCTTGACCGGAGTTGCGGTTATTCTCCGCCCTCCCAGGGCTGCAACGGGTCGATTCTGAGGAATACGGAAGGTAAGTGAGTTGTTTGCTGGTGATGGTAGCGTCCGCGCCCCCTCTCCCGGCTCACGACTTTAGCTTTTTACCTACAGCTTCGTGCTGTTTTGTTTCGAACTGGTGACGGCAGCGTTTTCGCCCCTACTCCCAGTGTGAATAACTTCACTGCCGAAGTTATATACGGCTAACGTAGTTAGCTTCTTTAGTTTGTTGGTGTTATACCTGGTGACGGCAGCGATTTTCGCCCCCTCTCCCAGTATATTCCCTACTTTTGCATCCTTTTTTTCACCGGTCTGCGCTGCTATAATTACTGACGGCCGCGGTTTTCGCCCCCTCTCCCAACCAAGTGTAGTCTACTTCGTTTGCCGAAGTTGGAGACGGCTAACGTTGTTAGCCTTTTGTGGTTTGTTTGCAGCCTTCTTCATCGGTCTGCTTAGTTATGAATGGTGACGGTAGCGGTTCTCGCCCCCTCTCCCAGTATCGGCTGCCTTGTGCTCGCAGCCTCTTTCGTTTCTCTGCTGTAATTGGTGACGGCTGCGTTTGCGCCCCCTCTCCCGATTTTCGATAACTTTCTGTTCTTTAAGCCTTGTCGGCCTTCGACATGGATGGCTCTCACAGCTGCATGGATTGTGGGGCTGCCCTGCAGGCAGAGGATGGCCACGACCTGTGCCCTACCTGCCTTGGACATGAGCACCTTTTGGAGGCGCTGTCTGAGAACCCCTGTATGAACTGCAGCTTTATGCCCCATGCAGTGAGGGTGGCCCGGTTGGCCCAGTTGTGCCCCCAGGAGGGCTCGGACCTTCCGCCCTCTGGGCAGGTGGTTCCCCCCAAGCGTTCTAAGCGCCGTGGTGGGACCACAGCATCTGTGCCCCTCCCCCGGAGGAAGCGGGCCAAACCTGACCAGGGCCTGTCCACAAGGGTGGAGCAGTTGTCAGCAGAGCTGGCAGAGATGAAGTCCTTGTTGCAGACACGGCAATCTGATCCCTCGCTCCCAGTGATTGGGCTCTCTTCCCCACCAATGCCCGAGCTGGTTGTAGAGGATGACGTTATCTCTCTGGCTGCTTCCGCTTCTCATTTTAGAGATGAGGAGGAGGCAGGGTCCTCTCAAGCCTCTGAGGCTGGTTCATTTTCATCTCAGAGTGCGGTTGGAGAGGCCGGTGACGGTTCCATGCGGGAGGTCATGTCTATGGCCCTGAAGCAGCTGCAGCTGGAACTCCCACAAGGATAGGCATCCAGCTCTGGCAGTGCTTTTTTCAGACGTGGAAGGGCTCCTACTCCTTTTTCTGTACCTCCATCAGAGGAGTACCTGAAGGAGTTACACGCCTGTTGGCGGGAACCGAGAGCGCTGTCGCGTCTCTCCTCGGATGGTCGTGTATTAGCTGCCATGCATGAGTCAGTGAAGGCCGGCCTGGACCGTATGCCAGGAATTGAACCAGCTGTTGCTTCACTGATTGTGTCACCAGATGAAGCCCTGCGTCCTGATGTCCGGTGCCCGCGGACTCAATGTCGGGTTACAGATGACCTCCTCTGTAAGGCGTACAATGCAGGAGCGCGTGCTGGCCGCCTTGGCAATTCCCTGGCGCACCTCATGTTTGCCCTGTCTGCATCTGTTCAGGACACTGGTGGTGCAAGTGCGGCGATTGGTTATAGTGACGCAGCACTGCAGGCCTTCGCGCTGATGACCAGAGAGCTTGGACGGGTCATGTCTTTCCTTGTTGAAGCTCGTTGACAGGTCTGGTTGGCACAGTCTCCTCTGACTGAAGCATGCCGTAGGACCCTCAGGGGTGTCCCGGTTGTACCAGGGGAGCTGTTTGGATCAGCTGCCTTGGAGGCGCTGGAACGGACTGCTCAGGCACGTCAGACTGCCACCTTAACCAATGGCTACAGGCTCCAGTTCCGACGGCGGCCCCCACTCTCACACCGGGTCAAGATGACTGTCATCACAGACCCGGTGAAATCTCAGGCAATAGACCAGGAGCTTTCCGCCCTCCTGGGCAAGGGGGCAATCGAGTCTGTAGATCCTCTGCGGCAACCCAGAGGCTACTACTCCACATACTTCCTTGTGGCCAAGAAGACCGGCGGTTTTCGCCCCATTTTAGATCTAAGGGGACTGAATCGGTACCTGAAGGTCCTTCCCTTCCACATGCTCACCATAACAGAGGTCCTTCAGACCATTGTGGCGGGAGATTGGTTTACATCAGTAGATCTGACAGACGCCTACTTTCATGTGCCTATTGCGGCAGAACATCGCCGTTTTCTCAGGTTCGCCTATCGGGGGCGCCATTGGCAATTCCGGGTGCTCCCATTCGGGCTCTCCCTTTCCCCGAGGGTGTTTACTCGATGCGTGAAAGCAGCCCTCTCTCCTCTACAGGCCTCCGGAGTCAGGATTCTGCCATACCTGGACGATTGGCTTCTTTGTGCTCCCTCTCAGGTAGCTGCCTCTCGGGATACGTCCCAGCTTCTACTTCATGTGTCACTGTTAGGCCTCAAAGTCAACTTGGCAAAGAGTTGTCTTGTTCCATCTCAGACAACCACCTTTCTTGGGATGCATCTGGACTCTGCTACCATGATGGCCCGTCCATCTGTTCACAGGGTGGACGACATACTCCAGCTTGTCCGTCGATTCAGACTGGGCAGGGAGTTTCCCTACATCATCTTCCTGCGAATGCTGGGCAAACTGACATCAGTCACTCGTGTCGTGCCCTTAGGGCTGCTCCTTCTGCGTCCTTTGCAGCGATGGCTCAACAGCTTTCGCCTAGACGTCAGGCTGCACAGGCATCGCAGGCTAATGGTGACCAGGAGCTGCCTCCATGCCCTAGCTCCTTGGCGAGACGGGACCCTTTTGTCCAGTGGTGTTCCAATGGGGCTAGTAGTGTGTCGAAGGGAGGTGGTCACCACAGATGCCAGCCTCATGGGCTGGGGTGCCGTGTGGCAACACAGAGCTGTTTGGGGTCTCTGGGACCCAAGGGAGCGCACCGAACACATAAATGTGCTGGAGCTGCGGGCTGTGCACATGGCCCTCAGGTGCCTTCTGCCCCACCTAGAGGGAAGGCACGTGCTGATTCGGACAGACAACACCTCTGTTGTTTATCATATAAACCACCAAGGTGGCACCAGGTCAGCACGTCTCTTGAAGGTGTCGAGGGATCTCCTGGAATGGGCGTTTCCCCGTCTGTGTACCCTGCGCGCAGCGTATCTGCCAGGACGGCAGAACCAGGTTGCGGACTCTCTATCCCGCCAGGCACCTGCTCCGGGAGAGTGGTCTCTTCACCGCGACGTAGTGCGCATAATCTGGAACCTCTTTGGGCAGGCAGAGGTAGATCTGTTCGCCACAGAGGAGTCGACCCATTGCCCCCTATGGTATTCCCTAACCGGGATGGCGGGCGCACTGGGCCAGGATGCATTGGCTCATCCATGGCCGCGGGTTCTCCTGTATGCCTTTCCACCCCTCTCACTGATTTGGCCGACTCTACGGAGGGTTCTCGAGCAGGGCCACAGGGTGTTGCTGGTAGCTCCGTTCTGGCCAGCGCGGCCGTGGTTCCCGCTGCTTTGGAGTCTGTGTCACGGTACTCCGTGGCGTCTTCCAGCAAGGAGGGATCTGCTGTCTCAGTTGGGGGGACAGATATGGCACCCCAACCCTCAACGTCTCCAGCTGTGGGCATGGCCCCTGGGAGGCTGACTGGGTGTTCAGACACCGTGAGACACACCGTATTGAGTGCTAGGGCTTCCTCCACTTGGCTGCAGTATGCTAACAGATGGCGCCTCTTTTCTCAGTGGTGCTCTGCCCACAACGAGAACCCGCTTTCCTGCTCGGTGCCCATTATTTTGGAGTTCCTCCAGTCTCTCCTTGATAAGGGCCGCTCTCCTTCGACCCTTAAAGTGTATGTTGCAGCAATTTCATGTCTTCACCGAACTGTTGACAACCGTACAGTTTGGCGCCATGAACTGGTTTCACTTTTTCTGCCTGGTGCTCGTAGGTTGTGCCAGCGGCCAGCCCCACGAGCCCCAGATTGGGATCTGCCATTAGTTCTCACAGCTCTGTGCCACCCTCCATTCGAGCCTTTGGCACAGGCAGAACTCAATTGGCTTTCCTGCAAGACTGCTTTCCTGATGGCTATCGTCTCAGCTAAGAGGGTCAGCGAGCTGCATGCTCTTTCTGTCAGCCCTAGGTGTATCAGGTGGAATCCAGATGGCTCTGGTGTTACCCTGTGGCCTAATACTGCGTTTGTGCCTAAGGTGTTCTCTCCTTTTCACCGTAACCGGCCATTGCGGCTGGCTCGGTTTCAGCCTCAATCTGGTACAACTGAGAATGAGTCTGAGTTGTTGTGCCCAGTAAGAGCGTTGGAGGCATACATTGCAGCCACCGCCAATCTGAGACGCTCGGACCAGCTTTTCCTATGCTATGGGGTTCCAAGGTTAGGCTGTCCTCTTTCTAAACAGCGTCTGTCCCATTGGATTGTGAGTGTCATCTGCCACGCCTACGTTGCAGGTCACTGCTCCCTGCCAGTCGGTGTGAGAGCACATTCCACCAGGAGCGTCACCGCTTCCTGGGCTGCTTTGAGAGGGGTTCCGCTGGAAGCTATATGTGCTGCTGCTTCATGGGCTTCCCCAACCACCTTCACCAGGTTCTACAGTGTCAATGTGGCTGCCCCTCATCCCCTGGGTCAGGTCCTTTTACAAGGTTATGCTGGGCCTCCTCTGTGAGGTATGTGCTCAGGATTCCTTGTGACATCGTTGGCATTAGTCATTCAGTGCTTTCAGCACCGCCCTCTGGCGGTCAGTAGGGATGACATAGAACGAAAGTTACGTATGTAACTACGGTTCTATGAATCCCGGATGACCGCCAGAGCTTCTCTGTCACTCAGAATCCTTGCTTTTGCGAGAAGATTCTGTAGGAGCAGAGCAAAGGATGACACCAGGCTATATAGCTTCTGAGTGGTCATCCGGTGTCACAGGTGTGACTCTGTTGGTATAATTACTCGAACTGCGCATGCCCGAAGGGAACATTCAGTGCTTTCAGCACCGCCCTCTGGCGGTCATCCGGGATTCATAGAACCGTAGTTACATACGTAACTTTCGTTTTCCGTCTCTCAGGTTTGCAGACACGCTGGAGCTGGCTGATGACATGGCCATCGACATTCCCCACATATGGCTGTACCTGGCCGAGCTGCTCAGCCCTTTGCTGAAGGACGGATGCTTCTCTATGAGAGAGCTCTTCAGGTATTCACAGTAGATCTGGTATGGTGGCCATCTTTAAACCTCTCATATATGACCACAGAGATCTAATGCTGCTTGCTATAAATCATTGTGCTTCACTAGAGCTTTTTTAGTTTCTGCATTTTCCTCAAATCCATCTCAGTGCTGCCCCAAGTGGTGGAATGTTGGTTATACCAATAACATTTTCCTCTCCCTGTGTTCACTCTCCATGCTTCAATAAATGTAAGCTACACTAGGTTAGCTTCCACTGTCTGTGTGCTCTTAACACTCAGGGTCTCTGACCACTGACATTTTTGAAAATTTTCTTTGAGTGCAGGGTTATGTTTTTTATGTCAAGTTAGATTTTAAAATTCAATAACACAGACATGGTAATTGAATTATCTCTTGTTTGTTTGTAGTGAATTAAGCAAACCTTTGCTTCCTGTTGGAAGAGCCGGGATCTTGATATCTGAAATACTGCACCTACTATGCAAACAAATGGTAAGCATTATTAGCTTCATTTATGGTTCTAATTTCTGTTACTGCCTAAATATATTTGTCATTTATTAATAAAACACCTACAGTTTTCTCCAATGCTGTCCTGCAGTCAAATGAGCTATTGAGATGTTAACTTGAATAGACAAGTTTCCATCCAGAGCTAAGGAGGGGCGCCATTTTTGTTGGTTTCTGCTAAGTGCTTCTGATGACATCTTGCTGATATAGTGTGGGAGAGAGAGTTAGAGATGTGGCTTAAACAACCACTTTAATGAATAAAGGTCATTAATGGCTGCCACTGTATGATCTGCCCCCTACTAAACGTAAAATGGCGATAGGGTGGCCGCTGCATGACCAGCTGGTCAGCTCAGCCCACAAGCTCCACCTCTGCATCCATAACTACTACCCAGCATTATGGCAGGAATCATTCAGACCTTGGTTGATCATCTGCCTTCACATTCACCAGATTGCAGCACTTTGTGTATCCACACACATCCAACTTTGCCACTGAGTACTGATAAGCTTCCAAGCTTTTCAGGTTTTATTTCAGTCTGCCGCCATCGACTCAGCACAGTACAAAATGTGATACCCGTTTGTCCTATTTTAATATCATAGCTGGTTAGGGAAGTGATAAACCATTTTCTTTTAAGAGAAATAGATAAGAATTTAAACTTTTTTGAGACATTTCTATCCAATGTAATTAAGCCCTGATCTTATTTACCCAGACGAAAGTAGCAGAAATGGCTTCGTGGTAAAAGTAAAAAAGAGAAGCTTGTTAACTTGTCTATAAACTTGCCATGAAATATATATATATCTATATATATATATATATATATATATATATATATATATATAGAGTTCTATATTGAACTGTTTGGCAGTTCTTAAAAAAAGCTTGTTTTCAGATGAACCGCATCAGTAAAGCCAGAAGACATTTATGGAAGCGAATCGTTACCATATTTAAACTTTAAAAGCATTTCCTGAAATGCTTTTTCATTTTCAAATTTTACATTTTAAATTGAATTTTGGTACGTATTTGCTTGGGTACATTTTGAAAAATCAATCTCAAATGTCTTTTTCTTCATTTTAATTAAGTAAAAGGATGAGCAGCGTTGAAGAAGGAAATTAAAAATGCAAATAGGATGATTGATTACTAATTTTATGTATGAGTCAATTAATGCAGCCACATTGTTAAAATGAAAAAAGCATTTCTGGAAATGCTTTTCAATTTGAAATATGGTAATGATTCGCTCCCATAGACATTGTACAGATAGAAATAATTGTTGTTGTGTTTTACCTCCTCAGAGCCATAGGAATGTGGGATCGTTGTGGAGGGAATGCGGCCTGAACTGGGCTGACCTTTTAGCCGAGGGGGAGGACGTCCAGGCTTTCATCTCACAGCAGGTTGGTGGTGGGATACCGAGCTCTGGCCTCTTAGCAGCAGATCAATCAGCTGCAGGAACACCTGTTTAACCTTTACCTGTGAATAGAGAATTTATTCAGGGAGTTTTTATTATTATTTTATTTTTTGATTATCTATGTCTCAAAGATTTTTCTTGAATCTCTGTCATCCTCATTGGGCCACTATCCTTTTGTTTCGTTACAAACAGAAATTCCAGTTCCTTCAACCAGAAGGTTCTGAGGAGGTGCAGACCAAAAGGATCTTGTCTCCTGAGGAGCTGAGTCAGAATATAGAGAAACTCCTCCTGGAGGACATGGCCAGTGATGAGCAGATCTTTGACTGGGTGGAGGTACGAACACAATCCCTTTCAAATCAAGTGGCCAAATATTCCCTTTTGTTCATTAATGTAGTGCCAGCACCAAATGTAATCTCAAGACCCTTGACTGGAATCCATTTTTGTTGAATCCTATAAAAATAAATCGTCAGATCTATCCAATACAAAGTAATCCAGTTTCTGATGACAGTGGGTGAAAATGATCGAACTAAAGCAGTGTATTTTCAAACAGGATTTGAATGTGTCACACTGCGCTGGCAAGACACAAATATTGATAATCGTACTCAGCTGCAGCTCAGACTATGACTACATGAAACCACACTATATCATAAATAGAATAGGCTTCCTCACTAGTTTATGACTACATGAAACCACTGGGCTTAAAAGTTTACAGCTCATGATATCCGTTCTTGCACTACACACTGGAAAAACAATCTAGAAATAAGTAAAAATTTCTTAAATTAAGTGTATTTACTCTTAATTTGAGTAGGTAAATGAGATGGTTTGTCAATGGAAAGATTTTTTTTCTCTTAAAATATGATAATTGGATAATATGCACTTTAAATAAGACAATGCAATTGTGTTTTCTTATTTTAAGTGTAAATTGTCTTATTCCACTGGCAAAATGTCTCTTTTACCTCCTTAATCTAAGAACAAATGCACTTATTTTAAGAAAAAATGACTTATCTAGATTTAGATTTTTTTCCAGTGTACGATGCTCTGATGGGACCTGACTGCTTACACTGTAAGACATCGGATTCAGCGACGAGAGATGGCACTGTTCAGACTCATCAGTCCACAAGCCTCCTATGTTTTTGTCAGAGAAGTAAAAGAATTCCCTTGTTTGCACAAGCAGTGTGTGAGGTTGAGGTAAATTCGCTCGTAGCTCACGATCACCTCACAAGGGAAGACTCAATAATAAAAAAAAAAAATTATTTTCACCGGAACCTTACAACTCCCAATGGGGAGGTGGTGATGAGAGGCTGATCACCCCCTCGTTGTCCCTGTACACCACACAAAACAGGACACACGATGAGGCTGAAACTCAGCCCGATCCAAAACATTCTGGCACGATGGGAGAATCGGTCCAAGAAAGTGTATGTAAGAAAGGAAAGACAAAGTTGTCCATCCAGCAATTACTGGACTGCATGATGGGTGATAAAACTCTTCATAGATTTGGAGACTAAAAGAGACGGCATGAGGAAAATGACTCCTGTCTGGTTACTGGAAAACAATAAGAAGACATCACCCATAGCAGCATCCTCTATGCACACTGCTAATGAAAACATCTGATAGTCTAATATGTCAATTCAAAAACCCTTAATTAAAGGAAAAATAAATGTTGCAGTAACTCATAAAGTTTGTTTTTTGTAACTAGTAGCTGTAAGCGTTGATAGCTGTAGGCAGGAAGGATCTTCTTTAACAGTCTGTGTTGCACCAGATCTGGAGAAGCCTCTGGCTCAAGACACTGTTGTTTAACAATCTGAAGAGGATTCTCACTGTTGTCCATAATGTTATTCACTTTATGAAGAATTCTAGAGTCTAGTTTATGATTGATTTTATTATGTTGTTTTTATGTGTTTTTATATGTCTTATTGTAATAATAATAATAATAATACATTTTATTTAACAGTGCCTTTCTTGACACTCAAGGTCACTTTACAAATAATACAAAAAAAAATAAATAAAAAGAGATGAAAATACAAAATACAGATACAGGAACATAAAAAAAAAACAAACAAAAAAAAACAATCATGGATAGGGAAAAGAGCAGTGTATTCATAGATAAGCGAGCTGGAACAGATGGGTTTTGAGTCTGGCTTTGAATAAGGGGAGAGAGTCAATACTGCGGAGGTCGGGAGGAAGTGAGTTCCAGAGCTGGGGAGCAGAGCGGCTGAAGATTCTGCTCCCCATGGTGACAAGTCGAGCTGGGGGTACAGTGAGGTGGATGGAGGAGGAGGATCTAAGGGAGCGGGAGGATGTGGCAATGTGAAGGAGGTCTGACAGATATGGAGGAGCAAGGTTATGGATGGCTTTGAAAGTATAGAGAAGGATTTTAAATTGAATTCTGAATTGAACTGGGAGCCAATGGAGTTGGTGAAGAACAGGGGAAATATGATGGAAGGAGGGGGTTCTGGTGATGACACGAGCAGCAGAGTTCTGAAGAAGTTGAAGTTTAAGGAGAGATTTATGAGGGAGGCCAAAAAGAAGAGAATTGCAATAATCAATACGGGAGGTGATGAGGCTGTGGATAAGGACAGAGGCAGTATGAGTGGTGAGGGAGGAACGGAGACGGTTAATGTTGCGAAGGTGGAAATATGCAGACCTGGTAATTTTATTTATGTGAGACTGAAAGGAGAGGGAGGAGTCGAGGATGACACCCAGACTCTTGACCTGAGGGGAGGGGGAGACTAAGGAGTTGTCAATGGGTAGTGAGAAACTTTTGATTTTTGATAGGGTGGATTTAGTGGCAACGAGGAGGAGTTCTGTTTTATCACTGCTGCCCCTTGGCCAGGTCTCTCTCAAAAAAGAGATTTTATCTCAAGGGACTTCCTGGTAAAATAAAGGTTAAATAAAAATAAATAAAATAAATTCTTCTTTGTGAAATCATCTCCAGAGTTTATAGAGGAGTTCCTAGAACAGAGCCGGCCTTCTTTATTAGCTTGATAATCTTTTTGAAGCCATTGGCTCTGCAGATTATGGAGGAAGGGAATCACACTCTCAACATGCTGGTGTATAGATGATACGTAGCGTCTTGCTGAATGCTGAAGGACCTTCAGGTCTGTTCCGTCCTTTCTTGTAGACGACTTTTTCAGAGTTTTTCTATTTTATAATGTGACAGTTGGTGAACTTTGGGCCACTGTGGATATCTCATTTTTTGTTTTAAAACCAGAGTTGGAATTATTTTATTGTGTAAAAAATAAAAATAAAAAATTGGAGTCGGTCGATGCATGCCTGGCATAAACCCGTTGGTAGAAATCTCAGCTGATTGCATGAAGTCATAGACTCTCAGAACAAGCATGGGGCAACAGTGGAAAGGAAGAGCTCCGTTTTAACAGGAACAATCCTGCAGCAGAACCAGGCTTGGTTTTAATTCAAATAGATACACTGGTGTAGGAGCCAATCAGTCTTGTATTTATAATTCTTTGAGCTATGGTATTCCATCATCCATATTTCCTCATGCGTTTTTTAGTTGTTTAATCTACCTTAAGGGTTGTTTTTTTTTGCTTTTTGAAGAGCCTCTACAAGGAATGCTTTGATTAAAAGTCACTCATTGCTTTTACAATGTATTAGCAGTGCTGTAAGCCTCAAACTTATTTCAAAGCTTATAGTCGGCAGTCTGATTAGCATCCCTTAGCAAGACCCTGAAGCCTAACAAGCTTACTGCATCTCATCTGAACTGTTTGACTTTCTAGGCAAACCTGAACGAGTCTCAGGCGAGCTCATCTCCCTTCCTGAGGGCTTTGATGACGGCTGTGTGTAAAGCAGCAGTAAAAGGTAAGCACTCCAACAGGAAGAGACACTTCTGTTAATTGCAGCATTAACACAGCTTTCTGTGGACCAACTCTGTCACTTGCGTTTGGCACACAGATGAGAACCCTAGCTGTCGCGTGGACACAGCCATCATCCAGAAGAGGTTGCCTGTTTTACTCAAGTACCTTAACTCAGACACTGAGCGACAGCTGCAAGCACTTTATGCACTTCAGGCGCTGATCGTTTCTCTAGATCAGCCTCCAAGTAAGTACTTCAACAAAGCAAATGCTCCCATGGTTTGGAATAAACAAATGATTACATAACAAGGGATAATCAGACAATATAAACATTGTAAAATATGTTAAATGTACAGTTTTCAGTTTTATGCTCAACAGGGATGAATGCAAACAGATAACTACCTCAGAAACTATAAGATAGGACTTGTATATTGACATTAGAAATATTAAACAGATATCTTTAGTTAAAGCTACAGTGTATAATAATTACAGGGATATACAGTCAGAAATGTAATATATTATACATAACTGTTTATCATCACCTATGAGCTCAGCCTCTTAACCTTAATATTTGCGTTGCCTTAGAATTCGTTATTTATAATTACATAGGAGCGGGTCTCGCAGCGCAGAGCCAACAAACTAACGATTGCGAGATCGCCCATTACAATAACATGCTGCGTGATGATGCTGTTACTCTCCAGTATACTTATTCAGCAACGTCCCTGACGTTTCACAGGTAATGATTCAGTAATTTTCTGGATATATACCTCGGTTACTTCTCTCCGGCTCCTTTGGAGATCTTCAAGCCTTTCCTCCTCTCCTCTAGTCACCCCACTGGCACCCCTCCCTCGCCTGGCCCTGGCTGCACGCCCACCCCGGCCTCTCTGCCCTCTTCCTCGCCCTCTTCCTCTCCCTCTTCCTCGCCTTGTAACCCCCGTGCCACAAACAAGACTTGGACTCTGTAAACGGGGAATATATATTCTTCCAGCGAACACAATCTCGCTGTTAAATAATGACTACAATTACTTTGTCTGTTTATATCACCATGCAAAGCAGCTCACCAAAACGTCACAACGATGTAGAAAAAATAACGGGTATATTTATTATCTTAAGTCTACATGAAATCTATACCCTACACAGACTAATGAAATACTATCTGTAAAATTATCTATGTAAACAAACCTCATCACTTGAGAAGGTAGGTGATTCCGACGTCGTGGAAGACATTTTGTCCCGTAACGCTCACCGTACTGTTGGGGGGGGAGAAGCGGTGGGGGGGAGACGTTCATGTTGCTGCGGTCTGCAGTCTGGACGTTAGATGTCGCTGAAAATTACACACTGTAGCTTTAAGGAAAGAGGAAAAAAATGTAACTTATTTTTGGAAAATGTTTGTTGTTTCATTGAATTTCCTAAAAGATAAAAATGTATTGACTGCAGATGGTTTGACATTAAGACCTTTAATCCAGAAATCTGAATTAAGACTAAAAGGTCCTCATTTTTACAAACCGGTTTATACCTTTCTGATACATTTGGGATTAAAGCAACACTGCAACTTTTATCCACTAGGGGCGCTAGACCAGTAACTTTCCAGTTTAGCCTCCCTAAAAGAACCATCAGCACTGCACTATTGCAAAAGGAAAATCAAACTTCCTTCATGTTTTGAATCAGATAACAGAGCCCTAGACCAGCAGTTAGAAGTTAAGGAGTTACTTGTAAAGAAAATGTCACATTCACCCCTCTAGATTAGATTGAACTTCATGGAATCAAAAATATATCTGATCAGGTAAATATTAAGGTCATATCTGTTTTGTAGCTCAGCAGCATCTTTTAGTTTAGCTCTGGTGTTCAAGGGGAGCTCAGGCTGCTGTTAGCGGAGCTCTGGGTCACATGACTCATCAGTGGCATAGACCTCTACAGTTTCATAGGAGAGTTTTAGAGAAACCGCACAGAGCATTGATAGACTCCAACTGCCTGAAAAAACATTTGATATATCCCAACTAAAGTTAATCAAATTTAAAATAAAATACTTTCAGCAGTGTCTCTGCTCCCTTGCAGACCTTCTCCGGATGTTCTTTGACTGTCTGTACGACGAGGACGTAATCTCGGAGGACGCTTTCTACAAGTGGGAGACGAGCAAGGACCCTGCCGAGCAGGACGGCAAAGGCGTTGCCCTCAAGTCCGTCACGGCTTTCTTCACCTGGCTGCGGGAAGCAGAGGAGGAGTCTGAGGACAATTGACGAGGGCGAATCCCGGGACACGGCGTTATGGAAGGGCATCCTAAACAGCAGAACAAATTTCTAAAATGGCTGCACGGACTGGGCGGCGTGTTTACGGCTGGAACTTCTTTTTTTTTTTTTTTTTTTTTCTCTCCGCCTGCGGTACAGTTCTGAAACATACCGCCATCTTCAGTTTGGATTCCAACGGTGGAAGCACTAAATACTGTATCATACATAGAAAATATTTTTGTTTTAAATTTTAACTTACTTTTTTTGTTACGTTTTTAAGAAGAGACTTAAAGATACATAGGTTCTGGACTCCTTAATTTATTATTTTTTTAAGGACTGCAAATATGAAAATTATTTAACATTTGCAGATGCTCACAGTGAGAACGCAACAACAGAAATAACAATATAATTATAATAACAAAATAATTGAGGTAAATATCCTCCCTGCTTTTCACTCTGGATGAGGACAGGGTAAGAGCGTCTTTATTTTAGGTTGAAGGCGAAGCAGAAAGGAGATAATAAACGAGAACTCATAACTCTGTGGTCAAAGGTCATCTCGTTATCACCAGGAAGCTAGTTCCCTCAGCCTCGACTCGGCCTGCGTTGGTATGAACTCAACCGCCTCAAGTGAGGTAAAATATGCATCCAGGTAAGAGATGCAAATCAGAACTGTTAATGCGCAGATGAACAAAGTGAAAAAGAACTAAAGTTCAGCATCCATCGCAAAGGCCAGGGTCGCTGCAAACAAGATGCTTGTAATTCTCATGACCTTCGGAGCAGATGAAAGCTTGTAAATACATTAAAGATAAAAAATGTATTTAAAAGGTTCTGATTCTTGTGACTTCTCTTTGTTGTGGGAGGTGTGGATATCCCTGCTGCATTCTGATTCTCCTGAGAAAAACTACATGACGAGGGTCCTATGAAAATATGAAATCTGTTCCAGTTTTAAAGTCTTATGAAATGGTGACACTTTTAACTCGGGCAACCTATAAACAAAAACTACATTCTTCAGTTTCCACTTAGTAATTAAATAAAAACAATTAAATGTATCCTTTTAAGAAAATCCTCACATTTAAATTTAAACCGATAGTGAAGGTTATCAGCATCTATAAAATAATTAGCTACTAAAAAAAAATGTGAAAGAGTAATATTTATCTTGCTCAAATGCAGGTTGTTTTTTGAACTCTAATCTTTTTGTAGTTTTTATTTTTATTTTGGACATTTATTGTCTGGGACAGATTGACATTGTAACCAGGATGCAGCTATTCTTTGTATTCCATCAGATTTCCTTATGAATTCATCATTAAACATCCTCTAAATATGCTGATAAGAATTCTCCGATTTCATATCGGCATCATTTAAGATATGGATGTCAGTTTAAAGCCCCATGTTACCACTGTGAACTGAGATATGACACAAAACAAGCAGCTTAAATGAATTTCTGCCATTGGGTGACTGGGCCAACACTTGGACATAGGGTTGGGAGTGCAGAGTAGTAAGAGTCTGCTGAGGTGGAGCAAGGATATAATTAATACTTGTTGGGTGTCGCTCCTGTTTGGAGAATTTTCTAAGGCCAGTCCAACTGGGAGGAGACCCTGTGGCAGACCCAGAACCTAGTGGAAACACTGGAATCCTGGCCTGGGAGGCGAAGCGATCCTCTGAAGGATGTTTGTGTTTAACTGTGTTAAGGTGAAATAACACGGGATTCTGTTGCTACATCACTTCCCTGGGATTCATTGATTCACAGAGAGAGGACCTAAGAAACGGGTATCCTGGCACCACAGGGGTGTTTATTCTCCGCCTCTGCAGCTCCAACCGGCTGGATCTGTGTCTCTAATCTGGATTCTTTCTCTTAAATGTGTGCAGCCATGTTCTTTCAAGGTTCAGTTCAGCAATTATTCTCAACACCAATATGTGTGAAAGTTATGATTTATGATTAATCCTTTGTTTGCTACTGTAAGATACATTTTCCCACAATGTTTTTTTTTTTTTTTAGAAAAACTTAAGGGAAAACATACAAACAAATCTGATAATATGAATTATTTAGAATATGTTTTACACAACTCCTTACAATTTCAGTCCAATGAAATAAGCTGTAACACTTCTACAGATGTTATCAGATGGAAGCAGAGATGGGAAGTAACGAAGTACAAATACTTCGTTACTGTACTCAAGTAGATTTTTCTGATATTTTTACTTTACTACTTATTTTTATGGCGACTTTTTACTTCTACTCCTTACATTTTTACACAAATATCTGTACTTTCTACTCCTTACATTTTTAAAAATTGGCTCGTTACTTTAGTTTTGAATCATTTCAATGGAGTTACCGTTATTATTTTTCACGTCATCAATACCAAATTCAATCTAATTGGATGGGAATCTACGTTGCATTTGACGCATTCATTCGCTGCAAATCATTGCAGCTTGGTGGCGGTGGCGTTAGCATAGTAGTATGGACGACGAGATGATTGAAAATGAACACAACAGAGATCTAGTCTTATTGGCAGACATCTATTTAAAATGTAGGCAACGGCATGAAAAAAAAGTGGTTTCTACTTTTACTTTTATACTTTAAGTAAATTTACAAGCCTGTACTTTGTTACTTTTACTTGATTAAAGAAGTTTAATCAGTACTTCCACTTTTACCAGAGTATTTTTTAACACAAGTATCTACTTTTACTCAAGTTCGGAAAGTGAGTACTTTTGCCATCTCTGGATGGAAGTAATGCAGATATCTTTTACTTTTTCTGAAAGGTGTATGGACAGGATAGATCTTTAACCCATTTGACACTGACTTACTAGGAAATATAAATATGATTACCCTCAAAATAAATAAGCAATAAAGTTGCTGTAGAATTCTCATCTCTAATATAGAACTCATTAACACTGGTTCATGTGCAACTTTTTTCCAGAGAAAATGCAGCTTCTTATTTAACTTTGGATTTTATTTTTTTTAAGGTACTAATTGTATTTGAGTTGTTCTGACAAAGTAGAAAAGCTGTCAGGTCAGCAGGTAAGATCTAAGGCTTAAAAAAATAGATAATAATTTATGGTGTATATTTTTTCATTTGTTAAAGTTTATTATCTAAATTGGATGATTAGTGCATTGAAGGAAACTGATTAGATTTTTTTTCTTCCACAACGGCCCCATTTTATTATTATTTGAATCCTCTGAGGTTCCGCGTGACGCCGCACGTCATCAGCAGCGCACGCGGGGCGGGGCTCGTTAACGGAGAAATCGAAATAAAGGATCCTGCAGAAATCTCACCTGAAACTATCCCACTTCCCAGCGCACCGCTAAGAGGTTTGCCCGCTTTGCATACATAATCATTTTACGCGGAACATTAACTTGCACCGATTTCATGCTCAGAAACGCTGCTAATTGGAAAGGTTGTGTTTTTATTTGCTCCCAATGCAACTGAAATGAATCTTATCTGCCTTGCGCGACGCCATTACTGTGCTCCCAGCCCCACGGACAAAATGGCGATTGTGGCGAAAAAAAATTGTCGTCGCTCATTGTTTTGGGGGAGAGGATGAGATGAAGTTTGGTGAAAGCTGGTGGATATTCAGGGTCGCTGCGGTGTTTTTTAGGGGGCGTTGGTCTTTTCTTTGGAGGATAAATCTACCTCTGGATTCAAACGGAGGGGGGAATGAATGGAGGGGGTGGGAGGGGGGTTGTCCTTTCTTACTACGAATATAAACAGATTCTTGTAAACATGCTCACTGTGGTTCTTTATCCTTTTCTTTTTAGATTAATCTGCTGTGATGCCTATTCGCCGAGCAGCCGCTACTCCCACCCAGGAGAAGGCTCCTGGTGCAGAGAAAGGTGAGGGCCCTCCCCCCGTAAATAACATGGACCCCTGATAACCCCCCTCCCCAGTCTGTCTACAAAGTATTGATTACTGTGTTTTTTCTACTTTAAAATCAGTGGGGGTGCATTTGATCTTGTTTTGCATTGCCACAAAAAAACAAGTTCTTTACCGAACAGAATTGGGTGCAATTTTTTTTCTCTCTCTGAATTCTGACTTTTTTTCTCTCTGAATTCTGACTTTTTTTCTCTCTGAATTCTGACTTTTTTTCTCTGTGAATTCTGACTTTTTTTCTCTGTGAATTCTGACTTTTTTTCTCTGTGAATTCTGACTTTTTTTTCTCTGTGAATTCTGACCTTTTTTTCTCTGTGAATTCTGACCCTTTTTTCTCTCTGATTTCTGACCCTTTTTTCTCTCTGATTTCTGACCCTTTTTTCTCTCTGATTTCTGACCTTTTTTTCTCTCTGAATTCTGACTTTTTCTCTGTGAATTCTGACCTTTTTTTCTCTCTGATTTCTGACCTTTTTTTCTCTCTGAATTCTGACCTTTTTTTCTCTCTGAATTCTGACCTTTTTTCTCTCTGAATTCTGACCTTTTTTTTCTCTCTGAATTCTGACCTTTTTTGCTCCTGGAATTCTGACCTTTTTTTTCTCTCTGAATTCTGACCTTTTTTGCTCTTGGAATTCTGACCTTTTTTGCTCTCGGAATTCTGACCTTTTTTTTCTCTCTGAATTCTGACCTTTTTTGCTCTTGGAATTCTGACCTTTTTTGCTCTCGGAATTCTGACCTTTTTTTTCTCTCTGAATTCTGACCTTTTTTCTCTCTCTGAATTCTGACCTTTTTTTCTCTCTGAATTCTGACCTTTTTTGCTCTTGGAATTCTGACCTTTTTTGCTCTCGGAATTCTGACCTTTTTTTTCTCTCGGAATTCTGACCTTTTTTGCTCTCGGAATTCTGACCTTTTTTTTCTCTCTGAATTCTGACCTTTTTTTCTCTCTGAATTCTGACCTTTTTTTCTCTCTGAATTCTGACCTTTTTTTCTCTCTGAATTCTGACCTTTTTTGCTCTCGGAATTCTGACCTTTTTTTGCTCTCGGAATTCCGACCTTTTTTCTCTCTGAATTCTGACCTTTTTTGCTCTCGGAATTCTGACCTTTTTTGCTCTCGGAATTCTGACCTTTTTTTGCTCTCGGAATTCTGACCTTTTTTCTCTCTGAATTCTGACCTTTTTTCTCTGTGAATTTTGACCCATTCTCTCGGAACTCTGACTTGTTTTCTGGGAACTCTGACTTGATTTCTGACTTGTTTTCCCCCATCGGAATTCAGTTTTTTTTTTTTTTTTTTTTCTTTAGAATTCTGATTTTTTTTTTTTCTGTTCCCTCAGAATTCTGACTCTTTTTTTATATATATATATATATATATATATATTCCATCAGAATACCGACTCTCCTTGTGAGTTGATATGAGGTGTTTGGGAGGGCCAGTGAAAAATTATGAAATTAGGCAACTTTTTAAATACCCGAGAGGCCCCCAGTGATGCTATTTCATTAATGGAGGAGCAGAAGGTGATTAAAACAAGAGACCTAGTTTAGTCTCTAAAACAGACATTGCTACAGCTTGATGCTAACATGTTTGTTAGCTGAAAGAATTCAGTCAGAATTCTGAGGGAAAAAAGTCAGAATTGAAAAAATAAATTGTATATTAATTATATATTGTGACTTAAATAGGAGATTAAAGTCAGAATATCCTGAAATAAAATTTGAAAAATCAGTTAACTTTTTTTTGTTTTTTTCAGTGGCCCTAATTCTTTTCCGTAGATCTTTGTTTAGTGTTCTTTTTTTATTTCTTTTAACTTCAAAGACCCAGAAGCCGCATCAGAGGAGTCGCCCCCTGCTGACGAGGAGCAGCCTGCATCCTCAGCTGCCCCAGCTGAGGAGGAGACCTCAGGCGACGGAGAGACTGAGGGGAATGCTGAGAAGGCAGAGCAGAAGCCATTGGAGCCGAAGGAGGAAAATGAAGATTCGAAAGAAGAGTGAGTTATGACCGAGACATGGGTTATTGGTGAAAGCGCTGCGATATTTCACTATGATAGCACTTTTATCTTTTGAGATGATCCTTACCTCTGCTGGATTACTGCAGACCGCTCTCATGGTCACAGTGTTGTGCTCCTCAAAGATGTGAGGTCCTGTCACAGCCACAGTAATTCCCTGCACTCTTGAGTTGAATGACCAATGAGCTCATAGTCATGGAGGAGTCCAGGAGGAGAAGATGCTGTCTAGTTTTTTCCCCCTGGCAGACTACAGTACCAAATACCGTGTTACTTTTAGGTCAACTTGATTCTCTGTCCAGGTGATTTCTTCTGCCAAATGACTTCTTGTCATACAGGACAACCTTTTCTGCATTTTTTGAGTTAATGGTTGATTAGTTTCAGCCCATAAGGTCGATTCCTTCCATGCTAGCTGCTCATCTTCGGTTATTTTCTGTTGAAACAACAAAAAGAGATGATTTAATCCTTTGTCAAGTTCTTAAAAAAAACAAACAAACAAAAAAAAACATTGGGAGTCGTTTCTACCCAAGGTACAGAATGTGAGTTATCCTCACGCAGTTCCCATCTCAAGTGTTTTTATATAGCCTAGAATATTATCTGTGGAAAGCACAACTGTGTTTTATTACACCTTTTGTGACTCTTATAGCTCCCATCACAGTAAAAGAATAAAATCAGCGGAAAGAAAATTTCTTTTACCACCTGAGTTTTTTCAATAAGTTTTAGGCAGCAGATACTTTATTAGCAAAAAGGTTCTACATTGGATTTTACATTGAGAACAAGACATTTCTATGAAGTTCTCATGTTAAAGGTGGGAGCTACTCCCGGTCAGTAAGTGTTACTCACTCGCTCCGGTTCCCAGCTTAACTTATTCACAGCTGGACTGATGTTCCCCGTCATAAGAGAAGGTTTGCTGATTTTATTTCAGATATTTGAGCTTTTAAGCATTGAGTGATGCAATTAGGGCTGAAACAATTAATCGGTTTGATCGTGATTAATCGATTATTGAAATAGTCGTCAACTAATTTAGTAATCCATTAATCGTTAACTGGAGTATAGAGACTCTAAAACATGCCTTTAGCTGACAGAACAACCCACTTAGAGCAGTAATTATACTAAGATTGTAAAAAAATAAAATAAACATTTTAGATTAATAAAAAAAAAAAGTGTCAATCTGCTCTACTCAGAACTCCTCGAATGCAAAAGTTTTACTTTCACCTGGTTTAATTAGAATAAGTATTTAAGGAACCTTTTGACTATCCAATTATGAATCGATTAATCTAAAAAATCATCTACATATTAATCGATTTGCAAAATAATCGTTAGTTGCAGCCCTAGATGCGATACACGGATACTTGATACTCTAACCATACGTACTTGTATAACTTATTTTATAGTGTGGAATGATGGGAAACGCTGGATCAGATATTTTTTTAGAGAACAATACATAACATGAGGTATGAGAACAACATGACTTATAAATAAACCAAACAAAAGAAGCTTTGTGTTTGTTTGAGCTTTCTAATATGAGATTTTAGAGGCAGGCCAATATATCCAGATGTTTCCGCTGTCCATAGCGTTCCTTGACAGTGTCGTTTCTAAGTGCTTCCGAGACACCGGCCACAACCAAACTTGCTTCCGAACCTTCCACCACAACAATCCCTCCCCCTTGATAATCGGCCAATCACATTCACTTTGTCCACTACGACTTTAAAAAAAAAAAAAAAAAAACACACAAATTCTCTCCAAACTGTTTGCAGCGAAGTGCAAAATTGGTTATAAATGCAATCATTTAGGCTGCACAGTGCAGCTAAGATATGTCGTCACACATTGACACAGCAAGTGGTTTAGCATGCATCTATTGACTATTTGCATAGAGGATAGCAAGACGCTAAAAAACACCGTGTACTAAAAATATCGTAGCAAAGGAAGATGAGAGGATGGATAAATCTAAGTATATAGTGTCTGATATGTTAATATTCAGTGATTTTGTGATCTGGAATATTAGCTCTATGCAGCCAATAAACAATTCCTGAGCATATTAAATGTAAATGTTATAACATTTGTGATCATTACCATTGGTGAACATAGATCTAGGCACTCGGGTTTTATTTGACGAGATGTTTTGAAAAGTTTACTTTTCTTTTCACCCTCTTCCTCCTCCTGTTCTCCCCGATGGCAATGAATAATTCTGCACTTAGATTAGTGGCATTTCAGCTCAAATTACCATTGTGGTCATGAAGACGGATGTTCTGAAACTTGAATTTTGTCTCTCTTGCCGGTGACAAACAGACAAATTGTGAAATGCGAGGACTGCGCGGCTGGACAGTGCTCCACACACTGCTATGTTCTCCTTCTAAGGTGAGGATGTGATTAAAGATAAGGGTGGTAACGATCACAGTGAAATATCGCTTCAAGCCTACTGACCCAAACCCCTTCCCTCAACTTGTGTTGCTTCCTCTGGTGGCAGGATGAAAGATGGCATGAAGTATAAGAAATCCAAAACCAAGAAGGTGAAACGGACAATTCCTGCATGGGCTAGCGTCACCTCAAGCAAAAATATTCCTGTTACCAACTTTGCAGGCAGGCAGAACCAAATGGAAAACATCCTTGTGGAAGCTATAGGGGTGTGTACCAACTCTGAGCTCATCTTAGTCCTGGTCCTCTCTCCATGCCCTCGGTTTCTTTCAACCCTGTGTGTTTTCTTTGCAGTCCTCTAACGAGAGGTCTGGGATGTCCTTCCAGTCCGTCATGAAATATATTTTGAAAAAATACCCAGGGATGGAGCTTAACAAAAAGAAGTTTATCATCAAGAAGGCGATGAAGAAACACTTGGAGAAGGGCACAATCAAGCAGGTAAAAGGGTTTTTTTAACTTTCCCTGCAGGGCTGCAAAAAGAGGCGCGGTTTGCAGCTTGTTAGCAGTAGAATGTTAGCACTAGCCATGCTAATTAGCAGCAAGGAAGAATATATGTGCAAAAACTTCTTGGTGGCCCTTGGCTCTACTATGATGGCTTTTAATCACTGCTAAAATATTTGGGAACCAAGTAGAACACAGTACAGGTGCTGGTCATAAAATTAGAATATCATGAAAAAGTAGATTGATTTCAGTAATTCCATTTAAAAAGTGAAACTTGTATATTATATTCATACATTACATACAAACTCATATATTTCAGATGTTTATTTTGTTTAATTTTGATGATTACAAATGACAACAAATGAAAATCTTAAATTCATCATATCAGAAAATTAGAATATTGTGAAAAGGTTCAAAATTGATGGCCCCTGGTGCCACACTCTAATCAGCTAATTAACTCAAACCACCTGCAAAAGCCTTTAAATGGTCTTTCAGTCTAGTTCTATAGGCTACACAATCATGGGGAAGACTGCTGACTTGACAGTTGTCCAAAAGACGACCATCGACACCTTGCACAAGGAGGGCAAGACACAAAAGGTCATCGCTAAAGAGGCTGGCTGTTCACAGAGCTCAGTGTCCAAGCACATTAATAGAGAGGCGAAGGGAAGGAAAAGATGTGGTCGAAAAAAGTGTACAAGCAAGAGAGATAACCGCACCCTGGAGAGGATTGTGAAACAAAACCCCTTCAAAAATGTGGGGGAGATTCACAAAGAGTGGACTGCAGCTGGAGTGAGTGCTTCAAGAACCACCACACACAGACGTATGAAAGACATGGGTTTCTGCTGTCGCATTCCTTGTGTCAAGCCACTCTTGAACCACAGACAGCGTCAGAAGCGTCTTGCCTGGGCTAAAGAGAAACAGGACTGGACTGCTGGTGAGTGGTCCAAAGTCATGTTCTCTGATGAAAGTAAATTTTGCATTTCCTTTGGAAATCAAGGTCCCAGAGTCTGGAGGAAAAGAAGAGAGGCACTTCATCCACGTTGCTTGAAGTCCAGTGTAAAGTTTCCACAGTCAGTGATGGTTTGGGGTGCCATGTCATCTGCTGGTGTTGGTCCATTGTGTTTTCTGAGGTCCAGGGTCAACGCAGCCACATACCAGGAAGTTTTAGAGCACTTCATGCTTCCTGCAGCTGACCAACTTTTTGGAGATGCAGATTTCATTTTCCAACAGGACTTGGCACCTGCACACAGTGCCAAAGCTACCAGTACCTGGTTGAAGGACCATGGTATCCCTGTTCTTAATTGGCCAGCAAACTCTCCTGACCTTAACCCCATAGAAAATCTATGGGGTATTGTGAAGAAGAAGATGCAATACACCAGACCCAACAATTCAGAAGAGCTAAAAGCCACTATTAGAGCAACCTGGGCTATCATAACACCTGAGCAGTGCCACAGACTGATCGACTCCATGCCACGCCGCATTGCTGCAGTAATACAGGCCAAAGGAGGCCCAACTAAATACTGAGTGCTGTACATGCTCATACTTTTCATGTTCATACTTTTCAGTTGGCCAACATTTCTATAAATCCTTTGTTTTTATTGGTCTTCAGTAATATTCTAATTTTCTGATATGATGAATTTGAGATTTTCATTTGTTGTCATTTGTAATCATCAAAATTAAACAAAATAAACATCTGAAATATATGAGTTTGTATGTAATGTATGAATATAATATACAAGTTTCACTTTTTAAATGGAATTACTGAAATCAATCTACTTTTTCATGATATTCTAATTTTATGACCAGCACCTGTATAATAACAGATGCCAGAGTTTTTTTTTTCACAGATGTCAACATTTAGAAAATCCATGTTTCCTCTTTAATTAAGAGTTGTACGTTTTAATCTAAAACCTAGAAAACACAAATGATATGTTGCCTCTTTAAAATGGAAGCAAATGTCTTATTTAAGATGTTAAACAACAATACTAAGTGGTCTTTTGGGTCTCCAATCGACTTTTTTTTTTTTTTTTTTTTTTTTGAGTAAAACAGTTGGCTGCAGACCGTGGTCTTGGGGCCAAAGAGCTGATTGAGCATTCTGGTGATTCTCAGTCATCCAGGTCATAGTAATTCCAAAAAAGTAAAAAAAAAACATAAACTGGACTTAGTTTCCAAGTTTGAAGGCAGCTTTTTCAATTCAAAATGTAAGAAATAGCATTGAGTTTAAAGCATTATATAGTGGACCAAAACAAAGCCATGTCTTCGCTTTTAAAAACAGGCAAATCGAACCAGACGAACGGGTCCACCCCTTTGTTTCTAAGCCAAAACAAGGCTTTGTTTTGGTTCACTCTATAAAGCCTCAAACTTAAGCTATTTCTGACATTTTGAATTGAAAAGGCTTCCTCAATGGGAAGTAAAACTTCCTCAAACTTGGAAACAAAGTTCAGTTGATTGTTTAACTTTTTCGGAAAGCAGATCGAGTCAAGTATAACTATGGTGAACACTTATTCTTCGCTCTCTGAATGAAAAAAAAAAACAGTTTTAGAGCACAGCAGCCTGAACGAAGCATCAGCCTCTTTTCTTTCCTATTGCGTTAACGTTTACAAATCAGGCAGTTCATTTTATTGCCTGACGTACTTTCTAAATGATTAAATTTAGAAACTATATTCTTCTAAACTAACCTCACCTGGTGGCAGGCCTTTTAAGTCCACTTAATAGAACCTGCATGACAGCATGAAGTAGGTTAAAAGGGCTGTGAAAGCAACACATCACCTTGATCTGAAATGGTCATAAGCAAAAAAGCAAGAAGCAAAGTCCTATCAGTCTAGAAAAAAATACTATTGCTAAGACTTTTTAGAGCTGCTCCAACCAAAGTGAGTCCAAGAATCCAGAACTACAGCTGTGTTGATGATACTATAATGTCTGGCTGTGCTTAACCTCATGTAGCCATGTTTTCTTTCAACTAAATTAGAATTTTAAGATATTTTTTAAAGTTTGAAAAAAGGAAATGCGAATTTCCGGTGTTTCCAATTGGTTTGAAGTGAGTTAACCAAGAACTCCATATTCCCCCTATATCATCATCCAAAATATGTTGTCATGCATGGCTGTAGTTAAGAGGAAGTCGAGGCTGAAATCCAGCACTGACTACAGCTCAGTAATGGAGTGACGTTTTAATGAATGTGTTGCAATCGAGCTGGTAGTTCTTACATGTCGGTTAGTAACGGCTCATTAAGTCTTTCGCAAAAGCCATCTCAGCAAGTGATTAAAAAAATTATAAAACTGCGATTTTAAGGGAGTTTATTTGAATTTTTACTGTTTCCATCCAGTTTCTCTGATGCAATACTTTTAATTGTACATTAGAAAAAGCTGATGGAAACACTCCTTGTGATAGATTGAACCAAGAGTTCTGCTTTCTCTTAGGAGTCTGTGGGGAAAAATTCAGTTAACCCTCCGAAGTTAGTGGGTTACTGCCTGTTTTTTAAACAATCGGCATTTGGCTCCCTTCCTTAGCAAAAAAAGCTTGTTCTAATCCCTGCTCATTAGCTGTTTGGTCTTTTTTTTTTTTTTTTTTTTTCCTGCCGCTGTGAGGCTGGTGACACCATCATGCGGGTTTGGTGATGATGTCATCAGTGCGGCAGAAATCGGGAAAGTAAATGAGGAGCAATGTGTAAGGAAGCTAAGGCGTAGTCGGTCTGTTTATCTGTCGGAATCCCTCTCACATGTGCTGCGCCATTTTCATAGAATGTTAACAGAGCGGTTTCAGCTCGTTAGATCACACGTGACTGACGCGGTGTGTTGACGTCTGTACGTTGCGCTCAATGGTATCACATATATTAGCGTGCTGATGCGAATCTGGTGGCCCCACAGCATGCCGATCAGAGGCGTGATGATTGTTTTTAACATGCATCGCTTTCTGAGTCGTTAGACACAGGTCGGTGAACTGTTCCCACTGCCACTAAAAGCCAATTGTTTGCTGGTTTAAGTTTTTTTTTGTCAGTGGGAAAGGGGTATTGGTTATTAGGTTGGAGAAGCCTTTTTAAGTTTTCAATGTTGGCTCAGTTCTGCCCTCTGACTTTTGGGTTATATGTAGCCTTTGGCTGTCCATGCATCCTTACAGTCTAGAATAATGTCATGATAAAGTTTGATTCAAATATTCGTTTTTTAAAGCTCTAATGGTTTAACTGCTGAAAGTTAAAAGGTAATATGCATTTCTCTGTTCCTGTCTTACAGCTAAAGGGAAAAGGCCTTTCAGGGACCTTCGCCATGGGCAAACAGCCTCCTCCATCCAAGGTGTGTTTCTGTAGCGACCTCTACTCTGTAACTTTAATCTGGATTTTTGTTTTTCCTGAAAGGAAACTGTAGTTTCACAGATTGTTTGCCAAAACACCAGTAGAATGATCCTGAGGTTCCTGTGCATTATTACACAGCCTAACCTGGTAATAATGGTGAAAATATGATGAAGCTGCTAGGTCTAACAGGTCATCAGACTTGGATGGAGCAAAAACTAACAGTGTTATCAGGCTTCCTGTTTTCTGTAACTATATTGACACCAACCATTGAAAGATTTCTTTTGAAAATGTAGCTGTTCTTTAAAAACCTTTGGATGCCTTTGTTTCTTCATAGAATTTCTTTTTGAAAAGCCTCGGCGTTGCTAAACATGGCAGACTCTGTTATTATGGTGCATTTCTTATAAAGAAAATAAAAGCATTTTTAATTTGAGTTCATCGGTGAGCATAAAATACCTTTATTTCTCACCATTCTTTTTATTCTTAAACCAAATGTTTAACTTTTGACACAAAAGCCCTGCAACATTAAAACAAAGATGTTTTTTGAAAGATGAAAACAGTTTCTGCTGTGTCACCAAAGCTGTCATTAGGAGCAGCGTTTGACAACCTGTAACTTTTCCTTTTTACAGTCCTTAAAGGGGAATGCAGTTTTTTTTACATTGGGCCCTGTATTTTACGTTATTACATCGTGTTCTACTCTAACATATGAGTTTTGTGTGATTTGGAGCTGTTCTGAAGATATTCTGTTAGGTTATATCCAAGTAACGTCTTCCTTTGGGCAACGACTATAAGGCACAAACTAAACTGTTCATAATTTATTCTTTATGGTACGCCAGCATTCATAACATGTAGGCCAATTACTGTCCCCCAAACATCCGTGGTTATATTTTTTATATTAGCGGCATATTAACATCATTGGCTTGAATTTTTGATTTTCAAAGTATTTTACTGATTGTCACACCATTTGCAGTGTTTCTAATGGGATGCCTTAGTTTCTCAGAAGCAGCTCTCCTCTTATCATGACCACCTTATATTGGCTCTAATCATTGCAGCCAGAGGTAATGCTTGTTCTGTCTGCGGTGTCTGTGTGTAGAAAGGAGCTCAGAAGCAGGAGTCTCTGGGAGACGCCCTTCCTCTGATCATCACTCGGCTCTGTGAGCCCAAAGAGGCGTCTTACTATCTGATCAAGAAGTACCTGGAGCAGCACTTCCCCAGCTTCAACATTGAAAACAGGTATCCAAGCGACTCTTTGTCTTTTTTTACATCGTCTGGATTTAAACAAAACAGTCACAATAACTAAAAGCAGGTTCAGTTTAGCAAGACTTGTTTAATTTTAATTAAAATACAGAGCTCAAACCTGAAGTAGGGAAGGCTAAGAGACACTGTCCCTCTCTAGATGTTTCCCTGCTCAAAACCCCATCATCAAATGATTGGATTACCTCTTAAGGGCGCCATCAGGATATTCTGCGATCTGGAAATGAGCCATTTCATTTTGTTTAGATCTCATGTAATACATCAAATGTTATAATCCATGTGCCAGTCTTGCTTCCTACTAGTGTTAAAGGCACATGGGCTATAAAAAGAGTCTTCTTAGTGTTGTATATATTTTTTTCTCAGGCCCGACCTCCTGAAGTCGGCCCTTGTGAGAGCCGTAGAGAAAGGACATCTGGAGCAAATCACAGGGAAAGGAGCAACAGGAACTTTCCAGGTAGATCTCTTCTATTTTCCAGTGATTATTTTACCAGACCTGTGTTGCCATTGTTGTCAGCATTTCATTTGTTCTGAATCGCTTCCGTCTCAGCTGAAGCGAGCTGCCAAAGAGGCGCAGCTGAAAGGCAGCATGTTGGAGGATGCCATCACGGTCGCCATCACAGCTATGAACGAGCCCAAAACCTGTAGCACCACATCTCTGCGCAAATATCTGGTAGATTCCAACAAGCACGTAAAGGAGAACCTGTTGGGTAAGTCTCGCGTCTGAATCCTCGCTGGTCTTAGCAGGTTCATAGCCTAGCTTGAAGGAAAATGTCCTTTAGGACTCAGTTTTTATGGCATATATACGAAAAGATGAAATGCGTAGAAAAAATCTCCATCATGCCGGATATAATGTATCTATACTCGGGATGATTTCGGTAAATACAAGGCATAGTCATTATTAGGTGAAACTGTTTATTGCAGCGCCTTTATAAAAATAAATGGATTAAACTATATTTGGCTCTAAATGTCTTTAAAGATTTAACATCAATTAGTGATGTTGTATTGGTATTGCATTATTGTATTAATATCAACCAAAAATGAATATCAGAATGTATCGGTCTGCATCTGAATCAGCTCATATATAGGCAAGCTGATGGAAGTTTTCTGCTTAAAATGAATACCGATGAACTGATCATTTTTTCTCTCATATCTCTTCATCAGGCCTAATAAGGCCATTTCTAATACAGCAAGCTCCGAATGAGTGGAAAATGTGCTGATGTCAGATCAGGTCATTATTATCTCTAAATATTCAATGCTGCAATTATAATTTCAGAAATGGAAAAAGTTGCATCAGGACGTCCCTAACATTTTTCATTAGTTACGCTTCGATCTATATTCTAAATAAGTAAGCAAAAATATTACATGTAAAATACTGCTACAGCTAAGACGTTTTAAGAATAAAACTATTATTATTTTGAATATGACATCCGTTTAACTTTAACCTAGCTCTTTAGTCTTTAAACATTTAAATAAATGACTTCTTTGAATATTAAAAACAGTCAGACGTCATTATAACAAATATTTACAGTTGAAAGTAATCAGGGATTTTGTTTTTACTTTTTTCTTTTTTAATCAGGGATTTTTTTTTTTTTTTTTTGTTTCTTGATTGGCAAACTAATGATTAGTATGAAGCTCATAAAAACATTTATATTTGGAAGTCGTGATTATGTGAGAAATGATTGCCATTTAAGTATTTTGTTGTTTGGTAATTAAAGAAATTCGATCTACTGGAATTGTTCTGCGATCTGTAACATACATTTCAACTTGTTCCTGTGGAAAATTTGTAGCTTTACAAGCATGTATTAAAACTTCCTCACCTGATGAGGATAATTTATTTCTATGAATTGTGAAGTTGAGTCTTAATGTGGCTTAACTTTAAAGTTCAGGAATGATTTCAACAAGTTTCAACAAGAGTCAGACGTAGTTGTTGTTTAGTCAAGGCAGATTTACTTAAAAAGCTGTTTAAAAACAGGTTGATGATCAACCTTGTTGTGGGAAAAGATATTCAGTTATGCAATTCGGTTAAATAAAGGAGATGTATGGTAATTCACTCAGTCAGCATTTTATTATCCTTTGCAAAGGCAGAACAGCTCAGTCACAGCAGCCCTTCCAGGTGGATGTCATTGTTAGACGCAGTTTCCTCTCACTAACTTAAACCCTGCAGTTAAGCAAAAAAAATTGTCAGCTGAAGAAAAGAGTAAAGAATTATGAATAAAACCTGAGAAAGTCTGTAATATTATGACGATTCTCTTTATTCCAAACACTTCTTAATAGGATGAACACCTTGTAGACTTGTAGCTGATTGAATTATTTTAAAAGTAAATGGAAAATCAGCATTCAGTGTTCAGGCTGGTTGTTTTTCTCCAAGTTGTAGGCTTTAGTATTTTAGATTTCGGCTGATTTAAACTGTAGGTTTTGGTTCTGTTAAGCTAATAAGCAAACATTCATGTGAAGTCGGTAAAACAAACTCTCTTCTGCAGTGGCCAACTTGAGGAGGACTCTGACGAAGTGTAAAGTGCTGGGCTGGATGGAGCAGATCACTGGTCACGGTTTCACAGGGACATATCAGCTCTCCTTTCCATTTTATCCCAGGTAATCCAGCTCTTACAAGTGAAATCCTTTAAAGGGGCCTAGTTGCATACTATGCCTGGTTTATAATTATTATATAACTTATTCATGTTAAGACAAAGCAATAAAAATCCAGTAGCTATCTTGAAAGTGTTTATGTATTCCTGTTTAAGCATGAAAATCTGTTTTAACCAGAGTGATTAGCAGATTGAAACATGCTTATACATCTTCGCCCTCTGCTGGCAGTACTTAGTCAAACATCTATCAACCTTTTTCAGCCTCTGAGGCTTCAGCTCCCTATTCTATAAATGTTTGATTGTATTCCAAGCCCTACCTGTCTTGTCAAAACTGTTTATAACCAGTAAGAATATATTACGGTAATAATTTAACGTACTGAAGGGTAGCCCCTTTGTTTACTTCTTTTTTTCCCACGTTCTCACAGTCCGACCACCCTTTATCCAGAGAAGTTCAAAGATGCTCCAAAAAAAGTAGTCAAACCGAAGAAAACTGTAGATTCCTCCGATGAGGAGGAGGAAGACGAAGAAGAATCAGAGGAAGAGGAGTCAGAAGATGAAGCTCCGGCTCGAAGGAGGTAAATCTAAGCAACGATATAAGCCCCTATGGCATACTGTTATGCCTTTCTGTGTATTGTACAATCTAACTTATCCAATCACTCTCAGGAAATCCAATAAGAGGCCTCCCCCCAAGGCTCAGCGTCCTCCACCAACCAAGAAATCCCGCAGTGTCAGCAAGTCCAAGGCAAGAGGCAGAGGTCGTCAGCTTGCAAAGACTCCTCCGGCCAAGAAAACTGTGAAATCAGGGAAGAACCCATCAAAGAAGGAGACTGTATCAACGCCTAAAGCTACACCTGTGAAGAGAGGTGCTCCCTCAAGAAAGTCTAAAACACCAGCCGTAAAAAAGCTAAGCAAAAGAGGGTCCAGGAAAGCGGCATCCAGAGAGTCCTCCCCAGATGAGCCCAAAGTGGAAAAGGTGACAGCAAAAAGTGGGTCCAGGCGAACAAAAGCTGAGGAGTCCTACCCTGAGGAGCCTAAAGTCGTAAAGGAGACTTCAAAAAGTGGATCAAAGCGAGCTAAAGTGGAAGAGTCGACCCATGAGGAGCCGGCGGCCAAAAAGCAGGCCACCAAAGGCGGCTCCAAAAAGGAGGCATCTTCTGAGAAGGCCGACCTCCAAAAGAAAACGAAAAGCAGCAAACAGTCGGCCCGGAAGTCCAAGAGAGGAAAATACTAAACCCATGAGCGCCTTCCAGAAACTGGGCTGTGCAGACCGTTCAGAAGTCTGCGGCTGTGTTTCAACGCTCTCTGTTTTCATCCTTCTTTTCTGTTTTAGAGGGCTGTAGTTTTAAAGTTTGTTTCTTTCTACTGTAGAGTAAGGACATGATCGTAACAGTTGCGTTAGCTGTGCATTGAGCGTGTGTTGAAGTACTCTTTTTTTTTTTTTTTTTTTTTTTTTTATAATTTCTTAAATTTTATTATTTTCAAATTCATGTGTAGAAGAGCTTAGTTAGTGTTGCTGTTAAAGCTGCCAGCTTGAGGAAAGCATAGCGAAATTCACCAAACTGTAACTAGAACTATGTCTTGACTTCTGTTTGTACGTGTTCATCCACTCAGCGCTGGCGGCTCACATTCCTAATCCCAACAAAAGAGAGTTCAGTGTTTTTTCAAAGTGGGGGGGGGGGATGTCCTTTTTTTATTATTATTAATTTTTAAAAGAGTTTAAAGACATTAAGTGGTCCATGTGCTGCTTTATAAAATGAAAGAAATTAAGACTGTTGTCCTGTGTCGTAGGACTCCAATCCTTTGGAATCTTATCCATATTCCTAAACCTTTATATATTTTCCTTTTGGGGAGGGGTTATGTTCAGGCAGCATCCATGTTGGTTTAATTGGGAAGACAATATTTAGTATTGAAGTTTATCTGTTAACCGCTGTTACTTGGTTCCAAATGATGAAAAATGTGTTGTAAGAAATTGGGGAATTCAGCTCATAAGAACCCTGCATGCATGTATTGTTATGCTTTTTTTCCAAGTCATTAATAAAATGGCTATATTTGTAAACTGTCTGTTTCTTATTATAACAGTTAACTTTGAAATATTTTTGCTCTATTTTTTATTTTATTTTGTTCTTTTAGCAGAAATCCCTGAAAGATATCTTCAAATTAGTGACCTGTAGTGTCTTTAGATTGTTTTTAGTTGCAATGTTCTGCTTTTCTAGGGTTTTGGCTTTTCCTTCATAAATGTTTCATTAATTTACATTTTTTTTTTGTCATAACTCAGTGTATATATATCTAATGTTGGGTTCTGGGCAAATTAGAGTTGTGCTGGTTTTGAAGTTGTTGGATGGTAAAGCAGATTTTCCCCAATGGAATAAGGAAAGTATGCATCAAAATTTGGTGCAGAGATGATTCAAAAATCTTTTCATGAACTAAATAAGAATAAAATAAAAGCAGTTGGTGCATATAAAATCACAAATTATTACTACCTCAGTTATCAATCAAAAGCAGTTCTAAACAAATAGATTTTTAACTTAAGACTTGAAAGAAATCAGGATTTCAGCCACTCTTCAATGTTTAAGTTTATTACAGATATTTAACAGATATTTGCATAAAAAGTATTATAGGCCAGTGCTTTTGAACAGTATTTTTCTAGAACTACATGATCAAAACTAAGCTTCTCTTTCCCTGACTGTTTTTAAGACTGGTTGCTCTTTTCTTCCATTATGAAAGTAAAAATATATATATATATTTAAAAGAAGGAGAAAACTAAATAGTGTACTGTTAGACTGTGGATAAATCACTTGCAAATTTCTATTTGATTACAAAATAACCTCTTGTTGGCATCAGAATAGCATTTGGTTTTGCAAGAATATATTACTTAGCAAGAAACTAAATTTGAGGTTTTGATGAGCTACATAGCATAACATGTCTTCAGAGAACAGATCTGTGTCTGTACTTGTCCTGTTGGACCTCAGAGCAGCATTTGATACACACTGCTAGAAGGGCTAGAAGGTGCTGTTGAGTTAAAAGAAGCAGCAGTGGGCTGGCCTAAATCATATAAGTCTGATGGATTCCAGTTTATTCATGTAAATGTTATTTCTTTAAACTCCAGGGTTACTTGTGAGGTACCACAGGGGTCAGTGTTTGGGGCAATTATCTTGGCTTTATTTGTTCCTAAATCTTGATTAGGTTCTTCAAGACGTAAAAACATATAATTGAAATGCTGTTTTTAAATTTAAAAAAACAGACCTTGTCATCTAAGGATCAAAGACTGAAAGGGGTGTCTTGGTCTGTTCATCTGAATGGCATTAAATCTGCCTTTGTTAATAAGTTAAAGCACCTTGGTCTTCTTTTTTAACATGGCATAGTGTCATGTTACAGAACATGTTTCTAGGATTTGCTTCTGCTTTCAGGTATTGCCAGAATTTAAAGAATATATATATTATATTTTTGTTTTAATGCTCCTTTTCTGCAAAACCACATATCACACTACAAAATCTAAGTAAGTCAATATTTCTTAAACATGAGTGCATTTTTGCTTGAATTGGGCAGGTGAGACAATTTACATTTAAAATAAGAAAAAAAAAACAGCTTTTATTTCAAGTCCAAATCTAATTATCTTATTTTAAGCATAAAAATATTCATTCCAGTGGGAAAAATGTTCTAATTTACAGACTCAACTTAAGAGTGAATATACTTATTTTAAGCTTTTTCCCCCTTAGATCTTAGTTGTTGCAATCAATTTTTTCAATATTAGGCTTAAAACTCTTTGTTGCAACTTAAATTATCCTTAACCATGTCTGGCAATGTGCTGCTATAGGCTTAAGCTGCTGGAAGACTAGTCTTCACTTTTGAAATATTTAGACTATTCAGTTTCAGCGTTATCTTCTTTTGTTCTCATTCAGGGACCTGTAGTTCCATTCAGATTGGAATCTTTTTTGGAGAGGGACATGGGATGAGAAACTTCTTCCATATTTTGGCCATTGGTCGAATTTTTAGGACTAACTGGCTCAGAGATTAGACTTAGACATAGACAACTTTTATTGTCATTTTGTATGTTTTTTTTGGACTAAAATTGACATGAAATTTCGTTTAGTACAGCTTTTCAGACAGTAAATGAACATTTTCGTTCCATAAAGTGCAGCAGTGATCAAAAAAACATGGTGCAAAAAATGCATTAATATGGAAGTTCAGAGCAATAATACATATGGTGCAAATATGCAGTGGTTAGGTGTTATCAGTGTGATGCAATGGAAGAGGATTAGGGCCACTGAAAATACAAAAAAAGTTAACTGATTTTTAAATTTTACTTCAGTATAATATGAGGAAAAAAAAGTCAGAATTCTGACTTTTCTTCTCAGATTTCTGACTTTTTTTCTCAGAATTTTGGATCCTAATGTAGATGGGCACCATGAAGGAAGTGATGTGGGAGCACTCAGCTTTATTGACTAAGATGTGAGTTGTTTGAGAGAGCCAGTAACACATTGGTGGAAAATTAACTTTTGCCCGTGCCTGAGGGGTCCCCAGTGATGCTGTTTCATTAATGGAAGAGCAGAAGCTAAACAAAAGAGCTAGTCTATAAAACAGACATGGCTATGGCTTGATGCTAACATTTTTGTTAGCTGTCAGAATTCAGTCAGATTTCTAAGATTAAAGTCAGAATTCGTAAAAAAAAAAAGAATTCAAGTTAGAGTTCTTAGAAAAAATAATTCTTAGAAAAAAGTTAGAATTCTAATAAAAAAATAATTCTTCGAAAAAATTCTTAGAAAAAAGTCATAATCCTTAGAAAAAATAATTCAAGTTAGAATTCTTAGAAAAAAGAATTATTTGAAAAAAGTCAGAATTCTTAGAAAAAACAATTCTTAGAAAAAAGTTAGAATTCTTAGAAAAAAGTTAGAATTCTGAGATAAAAGTCAGAATTCTTTGAAAAAAAAGAAAAAGTCATAATTCAGACTTTTTCCCACATTAAACTGAAATAATATTTAAAAATCAGTAGGCCTAAACTTTTTTTCATTTTTTTTCCCTGGCCCCAATCCTCTTCCGTAGTGATGCAGAGATAAATCCTTCAGTTTTTTTATTTTTATTGTGTGTAAATTCTTAGGGGATGGTTGTTGTCACTAGGGGGCGCTGCTAATCTTTGAAAATTAGGCAAACTTAAAAGTCAAAAATGAAAAGAAAATAAAAAAGGCCCACATTGTAACAACACGAGAAGCTTTGTTCGTTATAAGCTTCTTTTTGCTGTTTGCATTGTTTTTGCCTGTTCATAATTGATCATCTTTAACCAGAGGCTGTTTCTACAGAGCAGGACTTTTTTATTGTAACTTATTCACTGCGGTGTTGAGCAATAAGGAGGAATGTGTGCAGAGCTGGGAAAGAATGCCTGGGAAGAAACAGCTGGGCGGGGGGTTAACCCAGCGTCCTGTTCCGCTGTCTTCCAGATCTCTGGGAGAAGAAGGGTTCATATTGGCCTCCCTGCGCAGAGACAGAGCCCCGCCTCGGTCTGACTGCTGCACACCTGGACAGGTAAAGGTGGAGCGGACACAGGAGAACACAGCTCCTGACTTGGAACAGTAAGCTTTAAACCAGCCTATTTCTTCTTGTTTCTGAGTTTCAAGTCCAGACTTACCTGTTAACGGTGAGAAAACAGATAGTTTTCTTAACTTTCAGGTCATTTAATCTGGATTTACTCGGTAAAACCAAAAATCTGCAGAGATTAAAATGTGTTTAAGAAGCGAGCTGAACGCAGTGGCCTTAATTCTCTGTTAGATTATTCAAATCTCTTTTAAAAAATGCCCCGTAATCAAGATTTTATGCGCTGACTTTAAACAAGATGAATACGTTTTTCTTATATCTTTTTTAATTTATTAAATAGACGAGGCTGGTTGTTTGTTAAAACGGGCAGTATGGGAGAGGCACCGACCAGAGAGGAGGGCACAGTGACTCGCTCTGCAGAGGTATGGACGCACACACTGGACAAAAAATAAGGAAAAAGTCATTTTTTCTTTTAAAAAAAAGTGCATTTATTCCTGAGTTGAGAAGGTAAAAGAGACATTTTGCCAATGGACGAAATAAGTTTACATTTAAAAGAAGAAAACGCAATTGCATTGTCTTATTTCATGTGCATTTTATCTAAATATCTTATTTTAAGAGTAAAATTCTCATTCCATTGGCAAATCATTTCATTTACCTAATCAAAATAAGGGTAAATACACTTAATTTAAAAAATTTCTACTTATTTCTAGATAGTTTTTCCAGTGCTTGTATCATGTTTATATTTCAACCATTGCATGTTTTATCAAACTTCTCTTTGGTGAAGTATGTTGGCTCATTTGTTGTGGATGACTGCTGTTTGGACGATCAGATAAATCAGCTGCACACACAGCTCAAGCACTTAAAGGTGAGTCTTTTGCTGAGATTTGAGTCTTGGTTGTGAAATGAGCTCTGATGGAAAGCTTGTTTTCTAACAGACATGCAAGAGAAGGAGGCCAGTAACCCTGAAGTTCTCCCTCAAAGGGGTAAAAATGTATGATGAGGATGAAGTGGTAAGTCATTCATATTTATTAAAAACATCCAACATGCTCTAACCTGCTTTAGACACAGATTTTTTTTTCTCCATATAGCTCTCAGCTTAATTTTTTTTTTATTGCAGGGCTGCAGCATTTTAGGGCCCAGCCTTAAAGTTTTATATATAATTTCAAATACAGTTGCTTTTATGTATCTGTTTGTCTGACTTTTCTTTTTCCTCTTTCAAAGACCCTCCTTATGGCTCATGCTTTGAGAAGAGTCTCTCTGTCCACCGCCCGCCCAGTTGACTCCCAGTTTGCCTTCGTCTCCCATAACCCAGGAAGCACCGATGCTCAACTTTACTGCCATGTTTTTAAAGCAAGGCATGCCAGAGCGGTAAGGAATCTCCTTGCAGACACTAATTCAATAAAAAGAAAAAAAAGCCAGGGGACTTTTTAAAAGTTGTGTGGATTCCCTGAACGGACAAAAATATAGTGCATACATATTTTGGGAAAATTTTAACACAAACTATTACATTTAAGCCTTTTCTTATCAAATGTGTAGAGTTTTCTATCTAAGGAAAACCAGTTGATTGCATTGACTCAAAATTGGATATGGAATAGACTTAAACCAAAGGCTAAAAAGATGGCTTCCAGCTACTCGCAGTGCTTTGTGTTAAGTGCATTTGTATAGAGCTGGAGATAGATGTCAACTTTTAACGAACATGAGACCATGCATGTAGACTGTTAGTAGCGAATGTGCATATGACATGATAACCTCAGATAAGGTCATTTTGCATAGGAAATTACCCTGTAGGGGTGTAACCCATCATTTTGAAAATAACACGTTGCATGAGACATGTCTGAAGTCCGTAGATTTTTTCTTTTATTTGTTTTTCATGGAGAAATGGAAAAAGTTTGAATTACTTGCTTTGTTTCTGTAAAGCATTTGTGTGTCATAATGAAGAGGACCAGATACTGATCAACTCTATGAAAAGATTCATAGTGTTTTTGTTTTCTTTGGTTAATTTTTCAGAATTAACTCTCGATTAGTTAAAACCGGCTTTAGCATCAGAGGTTTACATACATCTGCCTCGTCTGTTTTTTTTTCCTGGACGGGGACACTTTTTACAGACACCTTTTGTAATCCCAGTCGGCCTCGGCAGATGGCCGCTCAAACTGAGCCTGGTTCTGCTAGAGGTTTCTTCCTGTTAAAAGGGAGTTTTTTTCTCTCCACTGTCGCTACAAGCATGCTTAGTGTGAGGGATTGCCTTTGAGTCAGTGCAGTTAACTGGTTTTCAGTATAACTGGTTTTCCTTAGATAGAAAACTATGAATCAATTTGACTATATGATCTGGTGAACTGTAAAGTCACTTTGAGATGACATGCGTTGTGAATTGGAGCTATAGAAATAAACTGAATTGAATTGAACTTCAGGGGAAAGCCCATAAGATGTCACAGCTTTATAAGCTCTTAGTCTTCAATTCACAAGAGTTGAGTTCATTTGAGCCCTACATTTGGATGTATTTAATGCCAGACCTTACGCATTCCTCTGCCTTATGTGATCCAATCGGAAAGATAAATAAATGGAAGAAGAAAGCAGGAAGAGAACTCTGGACCTCCATAGGTTCTGTTTATAAACACCATAAATGTCCAGCTTTCATTCCATTTAGGAAGGAGGCCGCTTCTGTTTTGTAGAGACCACTTTGTTTTAGTGAAAAACAAAATAAAAAAGATCTTGCAAAGATGCTAAGAGATCATCATCCTTTGTCAAATAATTCTGTTACCAACATGAGGTGAAACGCCCCTCAGAGAGGAAGAAGCCACTACTCTGAAAGGAATATAGAAATTTCTTTTAAGTGTTTGTAAATACTCAGAGGGGTGAAAGACTCAAAATCCTGGAGATACAACCTGTGGGCTAATGAAAAAAAAAAAAAATCAAAGTATTTCAGCAAAATAGAGGCAGGAAAGGGAGAGAAGCATGCTTACTGTGAAGCACGTTATTCAGACAGCAGAATAATCATTTGAATTGATTTATTATTTTGTCAAAAAAAGAAGATATTTTTGCTCTAGACATCACTGTGAAATTATGTATTCATTCTGTCATTTTGATTTAACATTTCAGGTAAAATGATAAACTTTTCCTTATGAATAACTATTAAAATAAATTTTTTTAATGAAAATTTTTATACCTACATTTAATTAATTTATCCTTGAAGCAGATGTTACAATAATTTGATCTACATCTGTCTGAGACAACCAGCCACCCCGAGTTTCTGACATTAAACCACATGCAGTGTGTGGTAATTACCCCTCCACAGATATTTCAACATTGTTTATAGCTTTGAATAATCCTACTTTCTCCTGAAACCCCCTCCAGGTTAGTTTCACAGGTTGGGAAATGCTACACAATGGTATGTTGAAACCACCTTATGACATGTTGGAGCACCAAAGGGAAAGCTGAGAAATGAGACGTGTCTAAAGAACAACATCCTGGTAACGGCAGAGCTCCCCTCCTTCTGTGTTCCAGGCCCAGTTCCTGAACCTGCTGCTCTGCCGATGTTTCCAGCTGTCTTATCTGGAAAAGCATCCAGAAGAGGCACAGGAACATTGCACCGGGTCATTGCCTCGGCGTAACCCCTCGCTGCTCAACCATGGCTTCCCTCTTAGTGTCAGTGCCCTGGTTTCCTTCAGAAGAGCTCCCTTTCGAGGGTTGCTGTTAAGCACAAAGGTTTGAATCCTCACCTCTGCCAAACATTTATATCATCTCTGAATATCTGTTATTCACTTGAGCACATATTTCTGTATCGTTCTAAACGCATTTTTAAAACTCTAAATCGATTTTGAATTAAATACCTTATTTTCCAGACTATAGAACGCACCTCACTATAAGCCGCACAGTGGCGACTCCATAGGGGGGCCAGATGGGGCCACTAATAATCTTGGGGTGGGTTTGAATCTACTATTGTGGTAAACCTGCCTGTAGAAATCATACAAACTTCAGTAAACACCTACTCATATCTTGGTTTATTGTGTAATTATTATATTTTTATAGTTTTTGTTGCTGGCTGTGCATAATAGGATGAAATACTAAACTGATGCTACCACAATTTACACTGGTGAGTGTCAACTGGTGGCGCCAACGAAGTTGCACCCACTAAGTTTTTTGAAAAAATATAGAAACCTACATATCGCTGATATTTACTGAACTGTCTTCCACCAAACCTGTAGGGGGAGCTCTACATATAGCCCCCAGAGTAGGAATGATGAGCATGTTGGCTCGCGGTGTGATGTCACTACCCGATCTGTCGCAGAAGAACGATCCGTTCTGCGCATGTGCAATCAGCTCATTTGCGCATGGGCATCCAGTTATACATCCGGGTCGTCCTCGATTTTATTTAGTTAGAAATACCTAAATGACGTTTTCCCTCCCCAAAAATGGTAAACGTACTAAAATATAATGTGTTAAAGGTTAATAATGTAATTCCTGACAAAAAAAAGATGCCCTTAAATCCTTTCTGTTTTATCACTGGGCTCTTCCCGACCTGCTAACTTTTTCGGCTTTAGATTTAAACATAAATCTAATCTTTTCGAATTTTATGTTTTCGTTTTAACCTTATGCTATATGGTGCGTTATCTAAAGAAACACGGAGGACTGCTCTGAACATGTCTGATGATGATGTCAGAGAAGCAGTTTAACGAAGAAAATGTAAAAAGCATAAACATTGTCTCAAGAAAGTCATAAAACATTTTTTACAGATGTGAATTAGTATTCTTTAGTGACTTAAAGATAGAAATAAGTCGTTTTAGTACCATAATTACATTATTTATGGACACCCGGATGTATATCTATTTGCGCATGTGCAGAACGGATCGTGCTCCCGAGACGGATCAGGTAGTGACAGGCGGCAGTAGGAGCTTCATTGGCTGTTTATTTTTTTAGCTCTGCAGAAGTTGAACCCAGTCTCTTTAGTTTGGCAGCTTTTATGTGGTAAATGGATGACAAAATGTGTGACTTTTGGATATTTGCTCTCTGTATTGCCTGCTGCTAGTTCTTGTGATAAATGAAAATTAGCCCCTTCTTCTTTCATTTCCAACTTTGACTCCCCCCTCTGGCGGTTATGAAAAATCCACAGAAAAGCTGCACCTTCTTATAAGCCACATTGTTCAGACCGTGGGGAAAAAAAGTAGCGGCTTATAGTCCGGAAAATACGGTAAACCTGGATTATGCAACCATTAATGTTAAAGAAGAGACCACACGCCCTAATACCGGACCACATGCACTGATATGATGTTTTGTCATTTTTAGAAATCTAAGAAGTCCTCCACTGATCATCTCGAGAGCCAAGATGACGTTTTTTCCTCCTCCATTCCCTCACTGATGCGCAGGAAAGTCATCCGCAACAAAGGACTACGGTCTGGTGCTTACCGCTCCTTCACTTTCACACCGCACAAACAGCGCAACGTTCAGGAGCAGCTGAGCGCGTCACAAGGTGGGCCAAGAGTTCACAGAGCGCTATCAAGAGTCAAAGAAATGATTAGGTAAAGCAAACCCTTTGGTGTGTTGTGCAGGGCTGTTGCTCACTGTCGTGGTGTGGATTTTGGAGTCTCACATGGGCTAAACGTTTCCTCCCAGCCTGTCACCGTTTAATTCACTTTCACCAATGTCACTGCGAGGGATGGACACACGCTGGATTCCAACTCTAAACAAAACACATCGAGTTATGCTTTTTCTTTTTCTATTTAAAACAGGAGAGAGTCAAGACAAGGTGCCGGCGAAGAGATCCCGAACTCCAAGCTTAGCCGAAACAGAAGAGGCGTTGGCTCAGGCAGTGTGGTGTTGGGCTGGTCTCGCCACGTAAGTCTATCAAAGTTCTTAAGTTTCCTACCTTTTCATATTTCTTAATATTATTGCTCCTATTTTTATTTTTTTTCTCCCTGGGGTTACAGTGACAGCTGCTACTCCCTCCTAGCAGATGACGTTCTAGGATCATACCTTCTGTGCCCACATCCTAGAAAACCTAAATGTGGTTCTCTTATCATTCGCTTCCGCTCTGGTCTGATCACCCACCTCATAGAAAACACTCGTAAAGGGAAGTTCTTGTTGGAGGTAATCGTCATAACACATGGTCGATGTGCTTGTTTTTCAACAAGCTGTAATATTAAACATGCACAGTCATGTCCTGCTGAATAAACTACGGAAAATTGACCTGCTGGGTTTAGTGCCATGAATATATATATATATATATATATATATATATATATATATATATATATATATATATATAATTGTGTTGTAGTTAAGACCACACCAACCAAGACCAAGGAGGGACGAGACCTTGTCTCTGTCTTGGCCCCCCTTGGTCTCGGTTGGTGTGGTCTTAACTACAACACTACAACAAAAGTTTTTTTAAATCAGAAAAAAAAATGGGTTTTTGAAAAATATCTATTTCTAAATGTTGATTTCAATCAGAGCCTGGGCCTATGTGGTAAAATAACTCCCCTCTAGTCCTAAGAACCGGTTTGACCACTTTTCACAGAAACCGCCATTGAAGGTTTGCCATAACTGGCACCAGGCTCTTTATGTCTCACTGAAGGAATTTTACCACTCCCAAACCTCTATCTTGCTTTTTTTATTTATTTATTTTTATTATTATTATTTTTTTTTTTTAGCTGTTCCTCTGGAGAATATTCTAAATTTAGCAGTGATGCTTGATTAAAATTTTAATCTGGATTAAAAGGCTAGAGCAGACATTTCTTGAGGAAGCTTAGGTCCTTTACTTTTCAAACTTACCTAGAGAAGCTGGACAAGCTATTAAAGAACGATAGTTCTGTTCTGGGGACTGCTCTGGAGCCCGTGCAGATTTCATAAATCTGAGCATCTTTTTTTGAGACTGTAATTCAACAACAATGCCCATCCGATCCAAGTGTAAGCAGAAAAGTTTATTTTTAGACTGAATTCTGCAGACTCTGTACATCTCTGTGAACATTACTGCAGGCATTTCAGAAAGAACCATTTCAATTTTGTTGCAAAAAGCTTGTAAAGGCTTTAGATAAACATAAAAATAATGATGCCAGGGGTTTTTAATCCTACTGATAATTTTGAGTGCTTTTTTTTTTTTTTTTTGCAGAAATGCAAGACAGAATTCAACTCCATTGCTGAGCTCATTGAATACTACTCTGTGACCCCAGATGAGCTGCCTTGTCCACTGAGCTGTGCAAGAGTGAACCACTGCTATGAGTGGGAGGAAAATGCTAACACACAAAAGGCTATAAAGCAAATCAAAAACTCCACCAAAGCCAGATTTAAAAGTACCCACTGAAGGGAGCATGTCCAAACTACGAGACGTGAGCTGCCAACATCTGAGGATACTGATTAAGAGACACTCTTCTCATTCTTTTGCACATTTTTTTTTTTTTTACATTTAAATCACGTTTCTCACTAGAAAAATCGTGCACCTATAATCAGTGTTGGCAATTTTTATATGCTCTTATGCACCAAATTAATCAGGGTACCTATTTGTCAAAGAAGTAATATTAATTGCTTAAAGCTTTTATGTAAAGTCAGTTTTTTCAGTATTTTTTTTACATGCCTGTAAGGCATTCCAAGTTTAAATGTTCTTAGATACCAAAGTTTTAAGCATGGACTTTATAGCAGGGTCTTAACTTTTCCTTTTTTTTTAAGTTTCCTTGATCCTCCAAGGATTTACCTCAGTGAATAACCATGTTTTACTCTGATCGTTTTTGTCTTGTCTTCATATTGCTGTGTCTGCTATTATATGCTATGTTGCTCGTTATTTTCATTCTATTTGCTAATGTGTACAGTTAAATGTAACTAATTTTAATCCAAACCAACATTCGACTGAATGTTTACGGGGATAAAGTTTCATCATTTCTAATGAGCTATTTCCATGAACCGTCCACATACAGTTTGTTTTTTTTATGCCCATTTTACAATAAATCTATTATCATTCCACTAAATGTGTCTTATTGTTTACAGCTCTGCTCTTAGCCTTGACTCACAAAGTTTACATTTTGACCCAGCATTGTTGTTTTATTTATTTATATATATATATATATATATATATATATATATATTGGGAAACAAATGATAAAAGATTATTTAACCCCCATTTCAATGTGCTGGTATCAAGGGTGTAGCTTTTTGATGAAAGTTGGTGGGGACACTCGGGTAGAGGCTCATGGACCTACAGTTACACTTTCATTAGGCTAATTTTCCAAAAATTACCTCAAACTTATATTTATTGAATGTTTTCCTATTTTTGAGAACACAAGACCACAACACATTGATATTTATAGATGTTAGAGAGATGCCTTTTAGTCAAAAAACATCAATGCATGAAAAAAATAAGAGCCGATTCCAATGTCATAATCGATATATCATGCATCCCTAGAAGAACAGTTTCATTCCATCCTGAAAAAAGGATATGCTGCATTTTAAATATAGAATTGCATATTTTCTTGTTAACTTTGTGGTAAACTTGGAGATATCTTTTATTGCCTGTTGCATATCCCAGTAAATCTGTTTCAACTTTAAATCTGCAGCTCTCCCTACCTCTTTCTGTGCTCTGTTTTAAAAAGATTTATGCACCTATTTACCAATATAATGATGCCAGAATCTAAATTTCAAGACATGTAGAAGCTCTGCAGTCTGATTCTGTCTGTACAATAAGAAAACATGTTAATTCTTACAATCTGTTTTCATTTTTAGCTGACAAATATTTAAAACAATTTAAATAATGATAATAAAAATAATGAATAATAATAATAAAAAAAACCCTGCCTGCTCATGCTCTTCTAAACCAGACCAAAATCTATATCTACTAAACATGGTGAGTGGTGTTTCTCTCTGTTTTTACCTTTAATAAGGAACTTGTTAACTGCAGTAGAGAACTGAGCAACTATAAAGGTAATTGGATTGTTTGAGAAATATGAATTCTACAAACTTAATGCAACAATGTTCTCTTTTTAGAACTAAAAAATGTTTTTAAAGCAGGAATTTACCTGTCCTTTGACTGAATAAAAAAGTCTTTGCCAGTAAAAGTGTTTATTTTTTTCCACTGGATGCAGAAGTTTAAACATTTGGCACGAACCATCAAATAAAGTTTTCACACACTTACGCAGAAATTTTCAAATGTTTTTTGTTTTTAGGGTCTAAACTTTTCACATGTTTCAAAGTACATTTGAGTTCCTAATTACTCCAGAGTTTATTCTTCCTTTTTCCTTTGCATTATATTAAATTCACAATTTAACCTACATAGGTGCTTAGTGTACTTTCAACCCTCTAAAAAAACGTCAGACAGGTCTATCTCCAGCTGTGAGTTGCACCATTTTTTGGTTTTAATTTAATCTCCATCTCAGGGAAGACGTTTCTTCAGTTGTTGATTCTAAAGTGATTCTTAGGAAAGCAAAATTGGGATTTGGGTAAAAAAAAAAATCTAAACATGTTATCCGGAAAGCCATTTTTTTCGTCAGAAATTATAAACTGGATTTCAAAGTGGGCTCCTTAAAGGAAAATAAACTAACTGACAAAAATATATATTATGTTAGAACTGTAAATATACAGTCATATTTTTTTTATTACTATATTTTTTTATGTATTTATTACTGTTTTCAAGGCTGCACTTTAAAAAAATGAAATTTTCTAGAGCTGTTTTAAACTAAATTTCTTTTTGTTTGCACTTGTATACCAAATGACAAAATAAATCTAAGTTAATCTACCGTTTGTCTGTTAATTTTTTTCTTTCTCTCCAAGATGGCCCCCCCTTTCAGCCGCTTTGAGTGGCCCTGTGCGGTTGCTAGGTAACGGTAGGACGCTAATAAAGAGGAAGCACAGAGAAGGAGAAACTGAATCTACAGGTCAGCTGGTTGATAACAGTATATTTTCTTGCTTATGTGATAATCTCTATATCAGGAGGGAATTAACTTCAGTCTGAAAAGCAGTCATTTTGTGGATGTTGCAGCTTTTAGGTAGAGATTCATAAGAACTTAGTGTTTTCCCTCCTTAGTAAACATGGACTGTTTGTAGCTGTGCTGTCAGCTGCTGTTTGGTGGCTGTTAAGCCATGAGCTCAGAGTGTGTGAAGGTGGTGGTGCGGTGCAGGCCCCTGAATGACAGGGAGAAGGCTCTCAGCTCTAAGATGGTGGTGTCTATGGATGTGCAGCGGTGCCAGTGCTTCATTAAAAAGCCCGGAGCAGCGGATGGGCCACCTAAACAGTTCACTTTTGATGGGACCTACTTCATTGATCAGACTACCGAACAGCTGTACAACGAGATTGCATATCCTCTCATAGAGGTAAACGGCTGGATACAAGTGAATGATAAGTAACAGCCTTATGCAAGTCACACGCTTGTTACCTGATACTCTGAGTCCTCATATGTTGAAGTCATGACCGTTTTTGTCTTTTAACGCTGATGCATTAAAACAGGGTGTTACTGAGGGATACAACGGCACTATTTTTGCCTATGGGCAAACTGGAAGCGGCAAGTCTTTCACCATGCAGGGGGTGTCTGAGCCTGCAGCCCAGAGAGGTGTCATACCACGAGCTTTTGAACACATCTTTGAGAGCATTCAGGTATGTTAGAGAGCCTCAGATGTCTTTCTAACCATTAATGTAAGTATGTATACAGCACAATTAGTTATCGTCCAGGCTTGCCTTACCTGTGTTTGCTTTGGAAAAGTAACAATGCTTCTGATTTGTTGCACGACAGTGTGCTGAAAGCACAAAATTCCTGGTGAGAGGCTCTTACCTGGAGATTTACAATGAAGACATAAGAGATCTGTTGGGAAGCAACACCAAACAGAGGCTTGAGGTTAGTCTTTGTTCTTTCCACAAATTAGGAAGCATCTTAAACTTCTATTTTGACTTTATTATGACTCACAGTTGTGCATGTTTACATACCTTTCCATAGAGGACAGAAAAAAATCAGTTGGCAGTAAAATAATTTGAAATAGAAGAAAGTAATAACGAATATGACTAATTAAATGTGGTAGTTCTGCTATAGCATTGAATTATATATGTATATATATATATATATATATATATATATATATATATATATATATATATATATATATACATATATATATATATAAATTGCTACTGATAAATATATATGTCAGGTTTTTCTTTAAACACACCATCTGTTTAACGAATGAAATTAAAAACTTTTTAAACTTTTTTTGTAAAATGAGCTTCGAAGTACAAAAAAAATAGTTTTTTGTTTTTATATAGTGTGTATATATTTTTTTGAAAATTAAATTTTTGTTTCTTTTAGCTGTTAAACAAATCGTAATATTCATCTGAATAACTGAGAAAAAAAACTTTGTATTTTTATATACACACACACATATATATATATATATATATATATATATATATATATATATATATATATATATATATATATATATATATATATATAGCTACTGAATATGTCAGGTTTTTCTTTAAACACACCACCTGTTTAACGAATGAAATTAAAATATTTTTTAAACATTTTTTGTAAAATGAGTTTTGAAATAGAAAAAAAATAGTCTTTTGTTTTTATATAGTGTATTTTGCATATGCATTTTATCTAAAATTACATTTTTGTTTCTTTTAGCTGTTAAACAAATCTCAATATTCATCAACTGAATTTTTTTTAACTTTGTGGAAAATGAAGCCATATAATAAAACAATCTAAAACCAATGACTTTTTACAGATATTCTTATTTAGTGATATGCACTTTAAACTCTATTTAAAACCAATTTCCTTAACTGTGTCTCACATTTAAGGAAATACTTAATGCATGTGTTGCCATAGTAACATAAAAGCTCACTTATGTAATTGCTTTAAGGTCAAGCTGGTTTAGCTGTCTAAAGTAGTTTTTATTTGCTGTGTATTTTTTTTAATGCCTAGCTGAAAGAGCACCCGGAGCGTGGGGTTTATGTGCGGGACCTGACCACGCACACATTGCACAGCGTAGGAGAGTGTGAAAGAATCATGGAGCAAGGCTGGAGGAATCGTGCCGTAGGCTGCACGTTGATGAACAAAGACTCCTCCCGGTCCCACTCCATCTTCACCATCCACTTGGAGATCTGCAACACAGGCAAACATTGATAGGAAGACTTTGACTAGACCCTGTTTAGACAGATTTGATAGACTAGTTAATTTGATTTCTATTTATTGTGCACTGATAGATTAGAAAGATTATTTGTTTTTTTGTTTTTCTGTTTCTACCAAACACATAGATGCAGCCGGCAAGGACCATATACGAGCTGGAAAACTTAACCTAGTAGATCTTGCAGGAAGTGAGCGTCAGTCTAAAACCGGTGCCACTGGAGAGCGACTCCGTGAAGCCACAAAGATCAATCTGTCCCTCTCAGCTCTGGGTAATGTCATCTCTGCCCTGGTCTACGGCCGCTCCAAATACATCCCCTACCGTGACTCCAAGCTGACAAGACTGCTGCAGGACTCTCTGGGAGGAAACACACGCACCTTGATGATCGCCTGTCTCTCACCTGCTGATAACAACTATGAGGAGAGCCTGAGCACCCTGCGCTATGCGAACCGGGCCAAGAGTATTCAGAACAGACCTCAAATCAACGAGGACCCCAAGGATGCTCTGCTCAGGGAGTATCAGGAGGAGATCAAGAAGTTGCGAGCCCTCATCTCAGGCCAGCTGGGCACCTCTGACCTGTCATGTAAGGAATCTGATCTGTGAATAGATCTTCACAGATATGCAGTGACTAGAGAATGATTGGCTCTATCACAGATATCTCTTAAATGTTTATTTTTTTTATCACCATTTCATTTTCTAGATTTTTATATTACAATATCAACCAAAATTACTCGACCTAATACAAATTATGATATTGTCATCTGGAAACATCATCTGCATCATATTTAAATGCCATCAAAGTTTGTATGTATACGTGATTAAGAAACAAAAACAGATTATCCCTATATGAAGCATTCTTCTTTTTTAAAGCATTATTCTTATATTTTAAAAGTTTGCATAGAGAAACAATTCAGAATGAAGACAATAGAAGCAGTTTGATTTTCATCTCCCTTTTCCTTTTGAAATTTCTTCAGCTCTTCTGTCTGGTCAGCCCATGATTGCTCTTTCAAGGCTGCAGCCGAGCAATAATGAAGCAAAGAAGGAGAAGATTAAAGAGGCAAAGACACCATTCCCACACTAATATATCAATGTACACCGAAGCAGCCATTGTATAAGAAGCAGTTGATTGATGGGTCTTATTCCACTGTCTCCACAGGAGTACGAAGAAAAGCTGGCAAAGTTGCAGGCTGAGTACAATGCTGAGCAGGAGTCCAAAGCAAAGCTGCAGGCAGACATTGCTGCTCTGCAGCGTTCATATGAATCAAAGTTGTCTAATTTGGAGAGGGCCCAGACCAGCAGGGGGAGCTATGACAATAAGAATGGTAAAAGGAAAATATCTTTCTAATCATAAAACATTGAAAAATCATGATATGGTCATGATTTTGACTCCTATATGGATTCAAAATCCCTGTGGCTACTTTTATGTTTAATAATGTTTCCAACATCAGTGAGCTCTAGATGTGTTGATGAAGATGGGGGTAGAAACCACAGCCTAAGTCCATCTACTACTTCAAAAGAGGTATAATAATTTCAATATTACCTCCAACGAACCACAGAACAATTTCATTCTGAGATCAATGAATCCGGTTTCTTCTCTGTCACCTGGCAGCCTGATGTGTCTTCTGCTGCGGTCGGCGTCTGGAAAGATCCCAAAGGAAACAAGCTCGTGGATTCAGCAGATACTAACTCAAAAGAGTCTTTTGATCAGAAACATGTTCTGGAGAGGTTTGTATCAGTGATTCACCAAAGCACAATTTTTCCAAAAAAACAAACTTTTATTTTCTGATATGTTAAATATTGTGAATTTCATTTACATTGTGCTGATATCTTGTTTTAGGATGAATATAAATGCTTGTAAACAACAGCCTCCTTATATCTGCAGAGTGCCCTTCTAAGCAGTCTGTAACCCCTAAGCCTTTTCACTTCCTGTACGGTCACATGCAATTCAATACGATTACCACTCAACCTTCCAATGCCCGTAATTGAATAACAGCTGTTATTCGATTATAACAGATTTTCTATGGCAGAAATTGACCAAAAACAATAAGTTGCATTTTTTCAGAATGTCATGTAATTTTTACGGCTCTAAATATCTTTTATTTAGCAGGACTTGGGCCTATTTGGTTCCTTGGATTCATAAGGTTGCAGAACCCTTCAAAAGACCAACACAACTTAAAGAATCCTTGTGACATGGAAGGAAAATTATTTAAGGGACTGAGGTTTTTTTTTTATACAAATAAAATCTTAGTAGTGTTGCCTGCATGTTTATATAAAACCATTTCTCCAAAACCACTACTTCAATTTCAACTAATACAGTTTGAAGTCCTCCAATTACAAAATCAGTGCTGGTAATCTGGAGCTGTTTGATCTCAGTAGGAATGCTGCTGTTCTGCGACTTCTTGTTAGTGAAAATCAGTAATATGACAGCATCACAAAGAAAGAGCAACGTACAAGACATGCCCGGGAGGGTTTGTATGATTACTAACTTAGCAAGGCAAGCCTGGTCACCTTACTGACATGCCAGGTATAGTGGAGGATTTTCAAAATTTTTTGAAAAGATCACTTAACAAAAAAAGCACAAATGCATCCCTGTTCCCCCTTCCAAGAGGGAGGCCTAGTAAGCGTGTGCATGTGTGCAAGTGTGCATGAGGAGAAATGGCCTTGTGCGCTGTTTAAAAGTTGCTTTTTGCATCATCTCATACAAGCTCACTTTCCAAAAGAAGAAATGCAATTTTCCCATTAAGTCAGACTCATCACCAGTAAGTGAAAATGGGGAGGAGCACGTAGGATGGCCTTATGTAAACATATCACCAGAATGATTGACTGTTAGCAGGACCTTTTATTTTGATGATCCACCCAGAAAAAGAGCATCCTCCATTATTACTTTAATTCATGCAAGCAAACTGAGGCTCCTGGTAACTCTGGAGGAGCTACAGAGATCCACAGATCAGCGAGGAGAATCTGCATTATTCAGTTTTCTCTAAAGTTTACTTTTCTAATTTGAGTTTTAGCAAAAAGTGGCAAAAAAAGAAGTTTTGCTGAGATCAGCCCTAAACTTTATGGCCTACACTGTGTATGACAACTAATAATTGATGGCTTTTCTTATTTACAATGAAATAGATTAAAATATGTTTATTTATCAAAGAAAACTGTTGATCAAAGCTTTCATCCAATTTTATTGAACTTGGAGTTTTTTCGTAGAAAAAAAAATGCAAAGATGTTATTCTCTGTTATATTTTCCTCCCATATTAAAATCATAAAGTTGCGTAACACTTTAGTAAGACTCTGTATATAAAGTTTTTATATAATAGTTACATTATGTTTTCACCCATGCAGCAGTGTGTCTTTCTTTGTCTCTCAAGGCTACAGAAACTGGAACAGGAGGTTATAGGAGGAGAGCAGGCCAGAAACAGCGAGTTACAACAGAGACATCAGCAGAGGAAGAGGCTTGCTGATGAGAGGAAGGTCCAGCTCATCAACGCCTTATCTGAGGACAGTGAGGAGAGTGAAAACGTGCTACTGAATGTCTACAATTCAATCCAGGAGGAGGTTCATGCCAAAAACCAGAAACTGACCAAAGTCCAGCGTAAGGTGAGTGACAGCAGCTTCTGGACCCAAACTTTTAGAACCTATGGGAAATATAAAAGGAATAAAAACTGCAGCTCATTGGACAGTTGGTGTATTTTTAAAAGAACTTTTAAAATATAAATTAGCATCACATATTTTAAAATGGGTGCAAAATAAAAGCAACAGCTAAAATGTTATAAAAATGCAGAAATTGCTCCTTTATTTTTGACGATCTTTCATAAACTTTCCAGCATCAAACCAAGATCCCATTGTTCTGTTCTAACAGCTAAAAGCAGCTAAACTAGAGATCAGCGATTTGCAGGCAGAGTTTGAGCTGGAGAGGAATGATTATTTGGCAAACATTCGCCGATTGGAGAGGGAAAGCCAGCTGCTGAACAGCCTGCTTGAGCGCATGGTGCCACTGGTACGCAGAGACTGTAACTACAGCAACCTGGATTGCGTGAAGAAAGAAGCTGTTTGGGATGAGGATAGCGCCACCTGGAAGCTACCGGATGTGATGGTGCAGAAAACAACACTTCCTTCAGGTAAGGAATGTGATATGATGGCTTTTATTACTAATATTTGTAAATTTAATAGAATTGCACTCCATCCAACTGTTGATTTCATTTAAAAATATATATATTTTGTTCTCTCTTTCTTTTGCTCTTTGTAGCAGTGGCTTCAAAGCCTTCCTCTGGCAGAGCTTCAGGTTCAGATCATTCAGAGTCATTTATGGTGTGTACATTCTATGGATAATCCTTGACATCAAAAGCACACTGTTAGTTAACATGAACACTATGACACATATGAATATGTTTTCATTACATCCTGTCTTATAGCAGGTTGAAGAGGACAGATACAAGGAAATGTTGGATCGTAAAGACAGTGAGAATATGGCCAACAACTACTTTAAGTCAAAGAGAGCCAGTCTGCTGCTGGGCGCTGATGCTGCTAAAGGACACGGTGAGCCAATCATGGTGATTGGTAATCAAGACACCTAAACACAGTGTTGTGCCTGAACGCGTTCATTGAACGAAAGTTCATGAACTCGTTCATATTTTGGGCGAACGTGAACTGAACGTACTGCATTATTGCCTGATGAACGTTATTGTGAACTCGTTCATTCTGGTGTCTGTGAACGGCACGCTCTCTCAGTTCAACTCCGTTTAATAGGTTGCCAGATTTCTATAAAGCCCTCCAGGCGAAACCCCGGCTAAATCACACCGTAAACAGGCCTTAATATGTAGCGGGAAAAACACCCAATCTGGCAACACCAGCTACCAGCGTCGTAGCCTACAGCCGCGTGCGTCATCAAAACAAAATGCAGCGTGGAAGCAACAGCAGCATGGAGGCGACTTAAAACAGGTTTATGACCAGGTGGTCGGTGAGGACGATGGCAACAAGTTTGCCCGCCGGCTTTCAGTAAAAAAATCCGCACTTCAGTAACCTTAAATTCCTACCTCAGCCTGGTCCCTCAGTTTGTGTTAGTAAAATCTTCTTGAGCGGAGGTCTTCAACAGGGGATCCACGACCCCTAGGGGGTCTACGGAGGTACTGCATGAGGGTCTGCATGGTTAGTAGATATTTTTATATTCCCCCCCTGCATTTTTTTCCCCCACTAATTGAAATGTCTTTAAATACTCATTAACATGAAATCAACACACTGTAGTAAACAGATAAATGGAGGCAGAAGATGTCTTTCAGTCATCAATGCTCACATTCAGCGACACACAGGAGCTCTTTCAAGCTGGGCACCGTTTCCTTCACAACACCTGTCCCATCAACCAGGAATCAGAATCAGAAAAACTTTAATAATCCCAGGGAGAAATTAATTTCTTTACATTACTCCATCTGTAATAGAGTGACTATAGGACACAATTTCATACAATATATATAGTTAGGGGGTCCCCGCTCCATCTCGCCATCAGTTTGGGGGTCCTTGGTCTGGAAAACATAGAAGACCCCTGTTCTTGAGGGTTTTACTATCCATGTAACTTGTTTGTTAAACCTGCCTGGTATAAGTTTCCAGGATTCCTTTTTAGTATGTATTGAAATGGAATTTCAAATGGAAAAAATTATATAAAAAAAAAAACATTTGCACCTTAAAGACTACTTTCCTATTTTTCTTTTAATAATTACTCATTAAAAAGACCATTCAAGCAGCACATTTTTCCTGATGTTTTTGAGAATATACTGTAGGGGTGAAAGCTGCAGCTGCTACTAGTGTGAAGTGAATGGACAGCAACAAAGCGTTAAAGCAACAATGGGGAAATGCTGTCCCCTCAATGCTAATGTAAACCCTGGTTGGATAAGGATTCAAAACTGGATATGAAGATGAAATCTGACGCACAGTTTCAGAGTTACAACTGATAAAATAATTGCTGTCTGTGGTTCTACAGTAGGCTATGGTGTAATTGAGCAATATATGAAAAAAAAAAAGAAAAAAAAGAACTATGAACTAGTTCGTTTTTTGGAATTGTGAACTATGAACTGAACTAGTTCATTTTAAAATGTGTGAACTGAACTTTGAACTAGTTCACGTAGAAAGAGAACTTTCCCAACACTGCCTAAAAAGATCAGAGAACTAAGCTGTTCTAATATAAATAGAACTTTGTTCTATTTTGCATCAGTTTAAAACTAAGGTCCTGATCTTTAAAGATTCCTAAAATAAAAAGTTAGAAGCCATGAAGATAGAGATAATGATGATAATTATTTAAAACAACATAACAGTAACAACGATGAGTATTATTTATAGTACACTTTACATAAGTATCCATTACATTGCAAAATAACTTAAGCCTATGACTTGTTACTTTAAGAGTCTTTTTATTTAATGCCAGAGTATTTAAGTTCTCTCATGTTTTTCTTTTATTGCATAAAGAATTGCTTTGCTGCAATAATCTGAGCTTGCCCACATCTTTTCCCCCACTAATCATTTTGTACCTTAGACTTAGACAAACTTTATTGTCATTTTGTATGCACATAGCGTATACAAAACGAAATTTCGTTGTGTACAGCGTGCAACAGTTGTAATGATATTGCAGTTGGAGTAGATAAACATTACCAACCAATATAAGGTGCAGCAGTGATCAGGATTTAAACAGTGTACGTAAAAAAAAAAAAAAAGAAACCAGTATAATGGTGCAAAAGCATTCATATGAAATCTTTCAGTGCAGTGGAAAAAAATATATTGTGCAAAATGCAGTAGAAACGTTGAGTTGTGTACTATTTAAAAGGATTATGAAAGTTCAGTAACATTGTTAGTGCAAAATAATGTGATGGAGAGTCCAGTTTAGAGTTCAGCAGTTCATCAGTCTGATGGCAGTGGGGAAAAATTAGTTGCAAAATCTGCTGGACCTGCAGCGGATGCTGCAAAGCCTCTTCCCAGAGGACAGCAGGGAGAACAGTACCTGATATGGAGATCTCCTCTCTCAGCTTCCATGTGCTTTAAAACATGCACATCTTTGACATTTAGGCCTTATAGGAGCCACAGATATCGAATAAGGAGTGCTTAATTGCTCATGTGGAAAAAACTGTGCTTGTGCTATATGTGGCTGCATCGTGGGTGATCTAGATTGCTTACTGAACTGTCTTCCCTATTAAAACAAGCAGATTGTGTGTTCTACTGGTAGTTTGAGAGCAGCAAAAAACTAATTTTAAGCCATATAATTGGAGGTAATGTAAATTATAATAATAAAAAACAAAAATGATAATAATAAATATTAATAATATTGCAATTTACATAGGTATCACAAAGTTCTACAAAGAAATGTAAAAACAAAAAAAAAATGAAAAATAACAATAATGCTTGGATGCTCTGATCACTGAATTCCACATACAAACAAGTTTAAACATGTTGTAAATACATGCAAACCGTTTAAATGTTAGATCTTTTTCTTTTTTTGGGTTGGGGGGTGGAGGGTGGGGGCGCTGTTTTTTCTGTCTATTCATTTTTCTATTTTTTTCTTATCCCCTGGTAAACACATTAGGCTACCGTTCTGTGAACGCTCCCAACATGACCCCCCCTCCCAGATCTGACCCCGTCCTGCCTCGGCCTTTTCGCCTGGAGTCTCTGGAGGTTTCGGTGTCCAATGGGAAGACAAAGCGCAGGAAAAGCAAGCCTCACATCCATAGTGAAGGGCCATGAAAGGACATGGTTAAAAATCGAATTCCAACCTCACCCAACAATCTTTAAATGTGCATGAATGACGAATCAAAACATTTATTTCAGGCAGTCTATTACATTTTGTACAATTTTATGTGAGAATGTAGTTTATTTTCATTACTTAGAGGACTGATTTGCTCGGGTAAAATACTGTAGTGGTTGATCTGCACAGTGTAGCATGAGGAATTTAGTTAATAATGATTAAAAAGTCTATTAAAAGAAGCTCTCATTACAGAGACATTGTCAACAAGGTGTTGGTAGCTTTTTTTATGTTTTAATTTTTCATGTCAGTATGGACCAGATTTTGGTCCTCTTTGATCTGAGAAAATGTATTGGCTGAACATCATGATTTAAAATCACCACATCCCAGAGATCAGAATAGCTGTGGAAGCCATTTAAACTGAGATTTTATTAGAACTTTAAAGCTACAGTGTGTAATTTTCAGCGACATCTAACGTCCAGACTGCAGCAACATGAACATCTCCCCCCCACCGCTTCTCCCCCCCAACAGTACGGCGAGCGTTAGGGGACAAAATGTCTTCCACGACGTCCACATCACCTACCTTCTCAAGTGATGAGGTTTGTTTACATAGATAATTTTACAGATAGTATTTCATTAGTCTGTGTAGGGTATAGATTTCATGTAGACTTTAGATAATAAATATACCCGTTATTTTTTCTACATCGTTGTGACGTTTTGGTGAGCTGCTTTGCATGGTGATATAAACAGATTAAGTAATTGTAGTCATTAGTTTAACAGCGAGATTGTGTTCGCTGGAAGAATATATATTCCCCGTTTACAGAGTCCAAGTCTTATTTGTTGCACGGGGGTTACAAGGCGAGGGAGAGGAAGAGGGCGAGGAAGAGGGAGAGGGCGAGGGCAGAGAGGCCGGGGTGGGCGTGCAGCTAGGGCCAGGCGAGGGAGGGGTGCCAGCGGGGTGAGAGCAGAGGAGGAAAGGCTTGAAGATCTCCAAAGGAGCCGGAGAGAAGTAACCGAGGTATATATCCAGAAAATTATTTTACAGACAATTACTGAATCATTACCTATGAAACGTCAGGGACGTTGCTGAATAAGTATACTGGAGAGTAACAGCATCATCACGCAGCATGTTATTGTTTTAGACAGGTCTGAGCATCCTGTACTCCAAAAACTGCAGTGATATTAGACAATTGTGTGTGTAGGATTAATTACCTGTCCAAGAGAAAACTGGCAACTTGAGCGTCACTTTGAAAACCTTTTTCCTCCATCAGTGACTTCCATCGTGTAAATGCCGTGCCAAAGTTGATCCGTGTTTTTTGTCGTTTCTTGTCACGCTTGCGTTTATTCTCGTCGTGTTTCCGCTTCTTAGATGACGGGGGTTCGGTGTCCACCGCTTTTCGTTGTGATACAGAGTAGGCATGATCCTCCATTCGTCTGATGTTTGGCCACACAGTGCCAAACAGTTTGCAAAGTCACTCACGCCTGCCGCCTTGTTCACCTTTCTTGTTACTGAGGCGCAGTATACCTGCTTCTTCTTCTTCTTTGGTTTCAGGCAGACTAAACGCTTCTCAAGCATAGTACTGCCATCTACTGTTCAGTACCGTCTCAGTTCATCTCTCTCAACTTGCCGTAGTTATTTTCGAGCGTAATGGGAGATCTCGCAATCGCTAGTTTGTTGCCTCTGCGCTTGCCGTAGCGCAAAGATGTCTGCCTCCATGGCTGCGAGACCCGCTCCTATGTAATTATAAATAACGAATTCTAAGGCAACGCAAATATTATGGTTAAAAGGCTGAGCTCATAGGTGATGATAAATAACATAGTTATGTATAATATATAAAATTTCTGACTTTATATCCCTGCAATTATTACACACTGTAGCTTTAAAGAAACTGGTCTGAGAAAATCTCAACCTTGTGACGCATCATCCTGCTAGAGGTAGCCATCTGAAGATGTTTACTCTGTGGTCATGAAGAAACAGTAACAATGGTCAGGTAGCTGCAGTGTTTTAATGAAGCCCAGTTTTTTATTTAGTACCAACTACAGTTAATATTTCCAGGGAATATCCAGGTTACATTTTTGCTGGTGTCAAATTGTATCAAGCCTGTTTGAATGTGGCCACAGGTTCCGCTAACAGGAGAGGTGCAACATGTGGACCACTGCTGCTGAAGCTCATCTGCCTCAAAGTTTCACATGTTGTGTATTCAGGAATGGTATTCCTTTAGCATACTTTGGCTTTAGTGACTTGAGTTACTTTACCTTCTTATCATCTATAAACATCGGCGCTGTCTGTCTCTAGCTTTTGACTTCAAGAGCACATTTTTCTCCATATGATTGTTCATTTTCATTTTCAGCGCTTAGACTGGAATAACATGTTCAAAGTGATTGTAATCTTCGATTATTTTTGTCCCGATGTTCCATTTATCTAAAAGCATTCTTTGTTGGATTGATCTTGGTGGATTTGCTGTTTGTGTTATTGCACAACTGAAATTATCTGTACCTAATAAAATATCCTTTTGCATATATTCAGTGGTGTCAATTAGCAAAGTACAAATACTTTGTTACCTTACTTAAGTAGAAATTTTTTCTGTCTACACTTTACTTGACTTAAAGCTACAGTGTGTAATTTTTAGCGACATCTAACGTCCAGACTGCAGACCGCAGCAACATGAACATCTCCCCCCCACTGCTTCTCCCCCCCAACAGTACGGCGAGCGTTACGGGACAAAATGTCTTCCACGACGTCCGCATCACCTACCTTCTCAAATGATGAGGTTTGTTTACATAGATAATTTTACAGATAGTATTCTCAGGCATAATACTGCCATCTATTGTTCAGTACTGTCTCAGTTCATCTCTCTCAACTTGCCGTAGTTACTTTTGAGCGTAATGGACGATCTCGCAATCGCTAGTTTGTTGGCTCTGCGCTGCCGTAGCGCAAAGATGTCTGCCTCCATGGCTGCGAGACCCGCTCCTATGTAATTATAAATAACGAATTCTAAGGCAACGCAAATATTAAGGTTAAGAGGCTGAGCTCGTAGATGATGATAAATGACATAGTTATGTATAATATATCACATTTCTGACTGTATATCCCTGTAATTATTACACACTGTAGCTTTAATTATTTTTTAAGACGACTTTTTACTTCTACATTTTAAAAATAGACTCATGAGTTTTGTATAATTTAAGCCGATTTTGGCTTTGTCCTGTTGGTATTTAAAAAAAATAAAAACATCAAAATAATTTGTTTTATGGAAAAAAATAAGTATTTCTTTGTGGTTGGCCTCGTTCGCCGAACACCAAAATAAGTAATTATTCAAGATGAAAGTTAAATTGACATTGTTGCCATTACAGTTTTTTCTGAATGCTTAAGCGCTAATCTTGATTCTTGTAGCACTATTTCTAAAACTATTAATACGTATAGCAAAACCACACACTGAGTTTGCAAAACTAAAAGCACAAACACTGCATTGCACTTAGTTTGCAATTTTGTAACACACATTTTGCAAAACTGTAGGCACAATCCACTGCACAACACTCTGTTACCAAATTTCCAACACACTCCTAGCAAAATTATACACATGTATGGCTATCATTAACACTATTTTGCCAACTGTCTGGCACACTTTTACATGTGAAAACTGTTTTAGATAATTAGTTCACTTTGCAATCAGCCTAAGCACTATAAATAATAATAATTGATAATGACACCATCTTTCAAAATAGGCAATAAGCATTTCTTCATGAAGTTGTGTACTTGCACGCCACAGAATAAGAATGAAACAAATTTACAGAGTTAGCTATAAGCCAAAATGGTGTTCTTCACCATCATGCAACCATAGGCCCATACAACACTGCACACGTTATTGCATTTCTGGACACATTACATGACATGCTCACTGTTCAGAGACCAGAGCATACCCGATATGTCATCATATGGGACAATGTTATCCTCATCAACAGGTAGCCCTTTTACAGACAATGGAGGAGGCATGTGGAGATATTGACCAGGCATCATGTCAGGCCTGGATACGGCATTCAAGGAGATAATTTCCCCGGTGCCTTGGACTGGAGGATGTCGCATGCGATGTGGACGAAATGTTGTGGCCGGACCCAGAAAGACGACATGATGTAGGCTGATTGTTTTTTGTGAAATTACTATTTTGTGTTCTGACTTTGTCTTGGTTTTGATAAGTGTGAATAAACAGCAATACTTGAAATTTGGATCCTTGTATGTTTACATGACACTATGACAAGAGTATGACCTCAAACTGACATCTGTACACAGAGAAAGAGAAAGCCAGATGTGTTTTGTATTCATACCATCAGTGTGTAGTTGGCACATTGTGTGCTTAGTAGATGATGGCTTGTGTTTGATACGAAAACACCATTTTTACAAAGGTGTGAAGAGTTAATATAGCTGTGTTCGCTTTTGCAATAGAACTGCAATGTAATGCAGGAACAATTGTTCCTGCATTACTTATACTTTTATATTTTAAGTACTTTTAATAATGGTACTTTTACTTGAGTAAAAAGCTTATGTTGAATTATTATGCTACAAACCTGTTTTTAAACAGTTGGATTTATCCTACTTGAATAATTAATATTAATACTTTTGACACCTCTGTATATATATATATATATTGTATGTCACTACAGAGGGAACCTTTTTAATAAGCTGCTTATTTACTAATCTGTAAATCTATCAACCCTCACATTTCCTTTGTAAAAGCTGTGTTTTTTAGTTTAAAATCACTAGAGTCAGATTTAATGTCTCTCTTTTAATCAGACATAAAAGAACCAAATACCAATTCACTATTATAATTTGAAAGTCATGCTGTAGCTTCACTTTTTCCATCATTCCAGTGAGATAAAAGTAAAAAGTTCCACGTGGGGGGTGTCAAGAAAACAGCTTATCTTTAGCACCACATAGGGTTATCCTCAAGATAATCGCATAACGGGAGAACAGCTGAGCAGGCTTTCTCCTCAGCTGAGTGGCATGTAAGATGAGCAGTTTAGCTGATATGTTCAGTAATGAAAATGCAAAACGAAGTACTTCAGCTTCAGAGTGAAATAAAGGTCAAAGTGGGGGCCTGCAGGTTAGTGTAAGTTGGTAATATTACAAAGTCAAAAAGTCTTTATCTTAAGGCTAAAGAAAAACAAAGGCTGCAGGACTGAAACTGAGGCTGCTGGTTCTACCCTGTGGTCTTATGCAAGGCGTCGTGCTGAAATAAGGCTTTCAAGGTGCAGTACATATTGTGCAAACTTTATTTTCAGTAGCATTAGTGAAAAAAGCTACAAAAAGCGATTATACATTAACATTATTTCCTTTTTAACAGCAAGTCAACTTTTTAATTCACATCTGAACAACTCTGTATCACAATTACACATTTTTTTAAATAATTAAATGTTTGAGATCGACCTCGCAGTTGATAAATTACTGCAAAATCATACTTAAAAAAAAACACCATTAACAAATGACAACAGATTTACTCCAGGCACATCAGTGAAAAGTCAGTAATCAGTAATTGTGATTTTGGGCAAAGCCTCTTAGTGCACTTTAGGGCGGATTTTGTTTGTGATGTCTTAATGAGTGCCCTATCAAAATTAAAATTATGTAACAATCACGTTGACGTGTGTTGATTAGAGTAATATTGTCTTGAGAAAAATGTAGAAATGAATGGGTTTGTAATGTGTAAGGCCCATTTTTACCACATTTCAGAACATGAGGAAATGTTTCCGCTTATTTTACCCTTTATTGGGCTGGCATCATTATTACATTTTATTAATTTATTCTCCAAAGTGCCATGTTTGAAGCTCCAATGCTAAATCCAAAACCTCTGATGTTGATGGTTCTTAGAAAACCCATCAAGTTAAAAACACTCATGCTGTATGCACGGCTCAGCTCTTAAGCAGACCGAGTTTTCTGAGAGCCTCTTCTCGATCAGATCCCATTCCAGGAACCACCATCGTGGTGTAGGCCACTGAGTCTCCGGGTGTGCCGGATGAAGGCTGGGACGTGGTTTTCATTGGCTTCGCACAAGGAATGTGTTGGGCTTCAGGGTGCTTCCTGCTGTTTGAGTCGGGATTCTGGTTAACAGAACGCTCCAAACCTTCAGTCTTCGACCCACTGGGCTGAGATTTAACGTGTAATAATAAAACAGGCTGCTGTTCTTCCTTGGATTGCCAATAGACACCCGTACTCTTCCTCAGAGGCCTGCTCTTGGGATCCGGTTGCTTTTGAGAGGAACTACTTTTTGGATCCGATGGATCTTTGGCTGTTTTTTTAGAATGGGGTTTTGCATGAGGTGGTGCTCCATCCTTATGCTTGTGATCTTTAAGCAGACCAAGCCTCTGTAAAGCTTCCTGTCTCACAACATCTGGATTTGTTGCATGTTTGACCCTTTCTGACATGTCGGCTGTTATGGGTTCCTCATTTTGGACGATGTTGGCAGGTTTCTTTGGAGGTTTTGGGGGCACAGCAGGAGGATCTGTCTTAGACCTGTAAACCTCTGAGCCAGATTTGGTGGCATTTCCAAATTTTTGCCCTTCCACTGGTAGTGGACATTGTCTGTTCAAGTCTATAGTGTGATCAACTGATGGACATAAAGGTGTCTTCTTCTGGGAGGCATTTCTCCGCAAATGAACGAGTGCATCGTAAGACAGAGGTCCTCTTGGTAAAGGGCCTTCTGCTGGCTTAGCTGAGTTTTCCTTGCGTTGTGCGGAAGGCTGTACCACAGGTACTGGGGAGGTGGAACGTTTCTGGTTGTGACCAGGAGACAGTTTTTTGGATTTTGATTTCAACTGAGACTGAGAAGAAGCTGTAAGTGCTTTTGTACCGGGAAGAGAACTCTGAGAACCGCTTGCCACAACAAAAGGCGTAGGAACAAGGTAGCTGTGCTTGTGTTTAGTGTCAATATTTTTCTTGATGGGTTGTTTATCTGGTTTCTCTGAACCTGGTGGGAAGACAAGCGCAGGTTTTATGCAAATTTTCTTTTGCTAGAGTCAATTCTTGTGAATTAATCTAACATGTTGTCAGAGATGAACTCACCGTGCACATTGCTATTTCTCATAGACACAGACCGGTCTGAAAGTCTTGCTGCAAGGTTGCCAGTACCGGACAGTCGTTCAGGCTCGTCATGGGAGACTCCACTATCATCTTCATTATCCAGAGACTCAATGGTTTCCTCCAAAAACATTAGACAGGCCTTTTCTTCAGCAGAAAGATGCTCTAGACTATCGTCACTCTAAAACACAAAAACAAAAAAGCTCTCATAAAGAAACTACTGAAGAAATAACATACAGATAACATACCTCCATCTCAGAATAATAAGCAATAATGAGCCAAAAAAATCCTGTAGAATTATGGTTCCAGGTTTTCTGTCCTTGAAACTGATTCCTCTTAATATTTCTATCTGCTTGAGAAATGAGTAGCAGAGAGTTTTTGGAACGTTTTTGGCGTTTGGAATTAAAGCTCAGATACTCACAAAGCCTGAATTGGCGCTGACAACACTGTCGCAGCTTCCGGCACTCTCCATGCCGTTCATCGTCTCTGGTTCAGTGCCGCCTGGCCACGTATCACTTTTTGGCATTTTAGTCAGTGGCACACATTGTATTGTTAGCCTGTAGGAGGAAAGTAAATGAAAATAATAAACGAGACCAAATACAAATTGCATTATAGCCAATAACATTTAGTATCAAAGAGGGATCCATTCTGAAAATTTGTTGAAACATAAGATTATTCTGACTTTCTGAGATTCTGACTGAATAATATACAAGTATCCTAAGAGCTCTTTTGTTTTATTTTAATTTGTCTGCTAGTTTTTAACAAATGGACACCTTAAGACTAGTGCTGCACAGGTATGGGCTGTGCTAATACTGCACAGCCCATACCTGGCTGTGCAGTATTAGCCGATACCGATACCATCTGTTACCATTTGTATACACAGAGTGTATACAAAACGAAATTTCATTTTAAACAGTTTTCAGACAGTGAATGGGTGGCTTAGCTGTGAAATTTACATTTGCATTCATAAAGTGCAGCAGTGATCAAATGTAAACTGTATGGGAAAAAACATGGTGCAAAAGTCATTGATGTGGAAGTTCAGAGCATTAGCAGAAAAACCTTATTGCGTTGAGTTCTACTTGGTATGATGTCATCAGTGTGATGCAGAGTCTTGATTTGTGTTTCTTTATTTAGAGTTCTTTTTTTTCAACAGATCAGCAGTCTGATGTGGAAGGTATAGTGGAGGATATGCGTACATTTTTTAAAAGCCCCCTCCACTTAAAAACTAAAATGCACATGCACGACCCTGTACCCGCTCTCGAGAGGGAACGCCTATTAAGCGCCTGATGAGAACATGCACAGGCCCATTTCTCCTCATGCATGCTCTCTTTAAAAGTCGCTGTTTGCATTACTCATACAAACTTACTTTCCAAAAGAGAATTTGCAATTTTTCCACTATGTCAGACTCACCACCTGTAAGTGAAAATGGGGACGAGCACGTAGGACACCCTTACGTAAACGTATCACCAGAATGATTGACAATTAGGAGGACCACTTATTTTATCCACCAAGAACATCCTCCACTAAACCTTTAAGAATGTGTATTTTATTATGTAAATTTTAAAATTACACAAACAGATTAAAGGTATGCAGTTTTCAGGCTCAACATGCTAAATTTGTTTGTGTAAATGAATATCATTTTCCCATGTATGCTTATTAAAAGTCACATCTATAGGGGTCTAGATTTTTTGGAGCGCTCCAGTGATGTCCAGCATTTCTATGGGATGTGTTAAGAACGTTAAAAAGAGACGATAAGAGACCTCAGCCTGCTCATGTTGTGCATTACAGCACACCTTTTCTCACTATCTTCCATTTAGACTGACATTCATTGTTTTCCTTCTCACCTGTAAAAATGTGTAATCATTGTCTAGGTGTCCAAATCTTGCTTTATTTACAACTGATTTAAGGATCTTGCAGAAAAAGCTAAGGAAGATATACTCTCTGTTTAAATATTGGCTACCACTAATTCATTCACTGCTTTATTGTCTTTTCTTTTCTGTAAATGGAATCATAAAAATTATTATCATTACCTGGAAGTGGAAAACTTTGAACATGTACTCATTAACAAAGAGGGTTGTAAAATAAAGCATTAAAGACAAAGCAAATAAAGGCTACAGTTCTATGTAGAAAAGATTAACGATAAAAAATAAAATAAACGATAGATAACGAAGCCCAGAGGCACTTCTGCATTTGCATGAGTCTGAAAATAGCGGCTGGATTAAGGGGAAATTGGTGGGGAGACGGTGTTAAAGCAATTATGTAAAGAACATTTTTGCCTTCAGGTAATTGAAACGATTTATTTACCCCCTTTTTTTTTTCAAAAAAGGAATAAATTTATAGTTTTTTGTAATATACTACTAAAAAAAAAAAAAAAAAAAAACCTTTGTGCCGAAACAGCCATTTAAAACATCTCCTCCTAATGATTTATGTTACAGTACTTCTTTTCTACACAAAACACACCTATATAAAGTTGACTTTATTTAGGATGTAGTTGTATAAACACATATATTTAGCCATGACTAAATCCCACTGTTGTGAACACAGAACCAATGAAAACAAAGCTAATCCAATAGGTCATTAGTTACTCAACTGAAACCTTGTTCATTGTAATGACTCCTGCTTTAAATAATAGAACAGTGAAAATGAAACATAAATATAAAAAAAACCACAACCCTGAGCTAACATAAAGAAGACCTCAGCTAGATATTGAGTATGATGATTGAGTGATATTACTTATAGGAGGAGGGCAATTATATTAGGTCTGGAGGTAATTTTGGTCTAACTTCATGCACATAGAAAACTGATTAGAAGATTGATCTTAAGAAAAAAACAAAAACAAATGGTTACATAATCAAGCAATACCATTTATAATATGTGTTTATATATATATATATATATGTATATATATATATATATATATATATATATATATATATATATATATATATATATATATATATATATATATATATATATATATATATATATATATATATATATATATATATATATATATATATATATATATATATAGTCACAACTTTTGTAAATGTAATAGAGTTTAGTTTTTCTGTATCTAGTTTTATCATTCTTGGTTGAAGAAAAATTGTAACCTGTAAAGGCATGTGAGTGTTATGCTTAAGACAAACAACAATCTTTCATAATTATTATCAAAATATGGCATTATATGTTAGTCTAAAGAGGCATATGATTGGCAGACGATGCCCTTCCTGGTCTTACTGTAAACACTGCACAACTACTTGCTTTAGTGATTCTTATTGATTTAACTTTAAAAAAAAATAAGATGACTATAATAAAGTGAAGTGAAGGTATATTCTTAAAGCTTAGTCAAACTCATAAAAGTTATTTCTATTACACAAAAACTAAAGTAATATAAAAAAAGCTTTTGAGTAAACTGAAGTTAGATTTTTTAAATTCTGTCAAACTCATAATATTTATTTCCTCTACTTAAACACATTTACGTAATCGGTTACGAGTTTACAGTGCAGATTTCACTTAAAGCTGTTTTTCATACCTTCATTAGAAAATATGTTCTGTTAACCTGAAGTGACTCACACACACACTGAAAAATTTCCAGCCATAACCATAAAACTCCTGATGGCAAAGACTGGCATGCTATCTTCCCTTAGTGGTTGACAGATATCTGCTGTCCTACCCAATGCATGTGACCTGGATTACACATGGCACTCCTAATCTTCCTTTACTGGATCAGTTTCACAGGAAGGAGAGAGGGCTACTTAGAGCTATTCCATATGCATTTTACACGTTACCATCCTGATCCTTTATACTAAAAATTATAGATAGTAGAGTTTTTTTTAAAATTGCATAAGGGGTATATCAGAGCACTATATTTTTAAGCAAAAAAATGTGCTTACTTATGCTGATGGGGTTTCAGGTGTAAGGGATCAGTATAGCCATTGTAAAAAAGCCAACAAACCTTTGGATTCACGGCAACACCCATGGCAACAGCGGCCGGACAAACCTGACCCAAGCAGGCATCACTGTATAAGGTTTGCTAGAACTGATTGAGCCCAATATCCAGAACCACTACATCCACACTCCCATCAGTACTACTATAGAAATAACCCAAATGCATCATGATAAAAAAAATAATTTACCCAACCTTTATCTTGACTTACACACATTTATTAGTGCACAGCCAATCCCACAAAACCAGGATATGCTGACCACGATAATGAGGCAGAAAGTAAAGCAATAAATTTAACTGCTTTGAGAGAATTACATAACAAGCTAAATCATCCTTTTTTTGTTTTATCAAGGCAGCTATAGACCTCTATCCAGGCTTTAATTAGGGGCCAAGTTCATTTTGTGGACTGTTTTCATTATGGTTCAACATTTAGAAAACATCCACTGAATATTGAAGTCTTTTGTCAAACCTTGATAAAGGTAAAAGTAAGTGACCTATCACTTGTTTTAAATGACAATTATTTTAGCTGAGCATGGTTCAGTTGAAGTGATTTAAGACATTATAATCCAAATAATTTACCTGCTAAAATACATATATCTATGAGAATAACAGGCTGAATCAATGATTAGGGAAGCCTACCTGTTTGGATCCTGACGCAGCCCTCAGGTAGGACAGTCCTCCTCAGGCCGGCGTTCAACTGAGTGCCAGATAAGAGCCTGGATTCATGGATCTGAGGACACCTGCGTGGACTTTGAGCTCTAAGCTCTCAGCCAATCAGATAGCAGCACTTTCCTTAGTGCATGCAAGGCTGTTCTGTAAACAATGATCTGTGGTATTGTTCAAGGAAGATCATGCCAGCAGGCTTTTATACAAGGAGTTAATGAGTGCTAATACTGTTCAAGGGTTTAATAATAGGGGTAACTGTTGCCTCTTTTACACCTGAGCTTTGTTTTCCTTCTGTCACTTGAATCTGCTTGTTAAGCAGCTAAGAAATATGTAAATTAGAGCATTTGAAGAGTGTGATACGAGTACACTTAAGATTTGGTGAAAGAAACGTGTTATTTTTGCTTAGGTATAGTCTTTGAAAACATTATTTTTAAGAGAAGCTAAAAACAACATTTAATGTAATCTCAATGTCTGCAAACAGAAAGTCTTCATATAGTTTTTGTTCAATGTAATATATTTAAAATTAGAAACAAAAAGTATTTATTTTATCATGAAGAATAGAATGGATGGCAGAATAAAATTATTTTGTAGATTCATTACAGTGAGTGAAGTAAACCTTATGATAATTTCTGCTCATTTTGATGACTATGGGTTACAAATAATGTAAATGAAAACATAGTTTCTCAATGAAAAAACAATGAAAAAAGTCCTACTGAAATGTATGTCCATTTACCGTATATTACATAGTCCACACTCTTGTTCTTTTGCACTAATCACGCAGCACAGTATGGAGCCGATCAACGTGTCTATCCCAGGAAATCCCAGGTTATTTCGACACCTCTTGGCAATACCCTCTGTAAGGTTTCGGTAATGAAGGTTTTATGATCAAACTCAACGATACCATGCTGGTTAGAACAGGAGCTGGTACTTTAGGTAGTATGTCATAACTAGAGATAGGTAGAGTACCAAACATTGTACTAAAGCAAAAGTAGCACTAACTCAATCCAAGAAATGACTCCAGAAAGAGTAAAAAAATATTTTGTTAAAAGCTTACTCAAGTAATGAGTAACTCATTATATCTGATTTACTGTTAAAATTATGTAATAATACAGATTAAAATGTAAAGTTATTCGCAAATTCAGGTATTTTAAAGCCTATAATTAAATAATTGAAACATATGAATAATGTAATTGAAAGCAAGGGAATTTTATTTGTATTGCACAATTCAGTACATGGACAATTCAAAGTTTACATGAATTAGATAATAAAATAGAAGAAAATAAAAGCGGGTTAAAAGCAAAAACACTTAGAAAACAAATAAAACAATTGGACCAAAACAAGCAGAATAAAAACAAGTAAAAAAAAAAACGGATAAAGAAAGTAAAACATTTGGAGCACAACCTTAGACTAATACTCCAGTTAGCAGTTTAACTTCTAAACAAATGGGTTTTTAACTTTGACTTGAAAGAACTCAGGCTTTCAGCACTTTTACAATTAACAAATACTTCAGTCAAAAGTTGTTGACTGGATATTGTTTCAGACAAGCTTGATGGATGTAGCAGCCAAATATTTCACTCAAGAGTAGCAATATTTCACTAAGATATACCCAAGTAAAAAGTATGGTGCAGTAAAACTACTTCTAAGAGTATATTTTTGTCCAAAAGTAACTCAAGTGCAACTAAGTGAATGTAACTAGTTACTTACTACCCACCTCTGACCATATCTAACACTGATTGTGTGCCGGGCATTGGAAAGGTCTTCATCTTTTAAAGGACTGTGGACCACTTGGAAGCATTCAGATTCTTTTTCTGCATTGGTTTGTGTGTTTTTTTAAATTACTAAAAATATTATGGACGGGTTTTAGTGAAATTTTAATAGCAGGTGCGTATTGTGGCTGGCAACAAATGGTTACATTTTGGTGATGATCCGGCTCACCATGTGGATCCAGCAATGTTTTGAAAGATTCGGTGAGTACAAGTATTAACTTAAGGTGGAAGTCACAATATTTTGGGGGAAATTAGCTACTTACATAAGTGCTTTTCTAATTTCATCCTGTTTTCCTTCCAGCCTGTGAATATGGTTGTGGTTTTCCTGCCTTATAGTGAAACTGTCAACAGTCTTACTGTAACTGACTGTATAGACCAGGGGTCTGCAACCTACGGCTCCAGAGCCACATGTGGCTCTTAATAGTGTCTAAAAGGATATAAAGAACTAATTAATGTACTATAATAACAAATGTCAGTCTTAGAATGTTTAGTGGTTTTTATAGAGGATATTTTAATTGGATTTTTCTAGACAGAATGACATTAAAGAACCAGAAAGATGATTTTAGAGCGATTGTTCTGTTTTATTATTTTAAAAGCTAAAAAATACAAATAAACTGTTGGTTGCTTAAGATGGAAACTGATTTCCTATGGCAGATATGTAACAAATATAATAGGATTTTAGTAAAAAGTCATTTTTTACTGGAGTAACACATGTCCTGAAAGCCTGAGTTCTTTGAAGATAAATTTAAAAACCCTTTGACCGTTGAAGTGAAACTATTAACTGAGGTATCATCTTAACTAGCGGTCCAACTGTTTTCCTATTTTATTGTTTGATTTATGTAAATCGCCTAGATTTGCTTTGTGCTGTATAAATACTTACCTTGCTTTACTTAGCCAGACTTGGATATGAATGGTTACAGACCCCTGGTATCGACCACATTATTTCTATTAATTCAACTGAATTCAATGGGCTCCATGCAGAACTCATCTACTTCCTGAACTTAAGACAGCTCTTTTGTTTCCTGTATTTTATTACTGGATGACCTGATTAATCCAGTTGTGTCTGGCCATGGTTAATGATGTCAAGCACACCTTGATTAATCAGTTCATACAGTAGAAAAATATTTTTATATAGCACCACTTCACTACATATCTCAATGCAATTTACAGAGACAATTCAAACAGATCAAACAGTGAGATTGCAAACAAACTGGTTGCATCGACTCATTGACTCAAAGGCAATCCCTGTTATCAAGATCCTGATAACTGAAAGATCTGCCTTCCATTTTTGTTTTAGAAATTCTAGGAACCACCAGTAAGAAGTCTGCAGATTGAGAGCAAAGTGCTCTGTTAAGAACATAAGGAATGATCATTAGAGCTTAGCCATTTAAGGCTTTATAAGGGCTTCATTCTGGATTTAACAAGAAGCCCATGAAAAGAAGCAAAGATAGGAGAAATATCTTTTTAATTCTCAATTTTTTACTAGAACTTTTTTTAAAGCCAACTGTGGCATAAAAGGTTAGTTTTGATGTATGCTGTTATCATTGAATTGATCAGAGATGAATTGTTAAAATATTTAGAATGAAGAGAAAGGAGACAAATTTAACTTTTCTACCTGAATTACTAAAATAAATTATCTCTGCACTGATGTTCTAATTTACTGAGATTCCGCTAAAAATGTAAAATTTCTACTTTGATGTCTCCAGATCTTTTTTTTTTTTTTTGTAAATAAAATCCTTACCATAACCCTGACATCATATTGCTTGCTATTAAAATAAGACTCAAACAATGATCTTTGGCTATAGGTTTTATTTCTGACAACACTTGAAGGAAAAAAAAAAAAAATCAAGTAAATCCAGTTATTCCATAGTGCTTTGTTTGCAACATTCAATTGTTGTTAGTTATGAAAACTTGGTAAATACAAACAAGTTACTTTATTGTTTCACCTTAATGCAAACTCAACACATAATCACTGCTAGGCAGAAAACATAATTTACATGATGCACAATATAGGTATAAAAACACAACTCATCCTTTCATCACACATTAACCCCTGCCACCTCCCTTTAATCATTAAGAAGTATTAGTCAACTCTTCCACAGTCAAACTCACCATCTTGGCAACAACTTAGTACCGATATTGTAGTAAAATGTGTGTAAAAAAGAAATTCTGATCTATGCCAACATTATGCGACAAGATAACAGCCTAAAAAAAATATCAAAATAAACCTTTCCTGACCTGATGTTTAAAGAACAGCAATTCCGTGCAAAGCAGTGGTGCCTGATTTAATGATAAAATGTGAGAACATGTGTCCAGTTGTGCAAAATGTACAGTAGATGACTGGCAATCTTGAGCTAACATGCACCAATATCATAAGTGTTTCCTTTTAGCACACAAAAAGGTGCAGTTTTTGTTGCATTAGCTGTTAAAGGGTTTTCAACCTTAAGATTTTAAACCTAAATCATAGTCAAAACAGTGAGCAAAACCCCTTAAATATTAGATAAGGTAAACAATTAAGGTTATTTAGCAAAACAAGATATAAAAGACAGTTCCAAGCAAGGCGATCGTATACACATGCCTTATAGTTAGGATTTATAGTCCACACACTATACCTCTCACAATATTCTGTTACTACATTTTTAGTACATTTTATGTTTTTTTTGTATGTGCAGCAGTTCAAAAATACAAAAAAAAAAAAAAAAAGAACTCACAGCATGATATGCAAAACCTGGAAAGCTAGAAATTCAAACTCCTGAAAACCTGTTCAACAACTCAAAGAAGTCATGAGCCACAGATTTTGTCAAAGTTTACAGCACCGTCATTTTAAAGAACTCAACAAAACAAGACTACTGGTAAATTTTATTGTTTACACAATAACCAAAAAAAACAACAACACTTAAGTTCATTCTGACACTTAGCCAAGTGACACTTTAGATTAAAACAGAAGTCTTAGATTCTGATGCCAACTGCTCCATAAACTCAGTGGGATGTCAAAAAAAGCACATGATGTAATACTCCAGCTTAGCTGTAAAACACACTTTGTGCTCAACAGGTAAATCTCTGAGGCTAGCTAAATGATCACTTCCTGACATTTGTCTGCAAATAGAAAAAAAACAAGCCAACACTATAAAACAAACACGGATAACAGTCATACTTGCTGTGCTGCGTTTAAGACAACCGTGAATCGGATCACATCGCAGGACAAATAATTCTTAGTCGTCGTTCGGATCGCTTTGCAGAGAAAGTTTGGTCAGTCGCGGTTTAAGTAGCTGTAATTTGGTACGTTTTCAACTCAAAGCATAAGCCACGTTGGTTCCATCAATGAGTATTCTCAACAGACCAAAACAAATCCTAAGAATTGTTTGCATATATAATTTACTCCACTGAATCATCTGAAACGATCCATTATCGACCCAGATTGATGGATTAGTAACAGAGTACTACAGTAGCGGTTTTTACTTTAAGAGCTTTCAGCGGTTAAAAAGTAATACTGAACCAATTAAGAGGCTTAACACAGTGTCTGAGGATTCTGCAAATACGATAATGTGAGGTAGAGGAACACAAGCAGGCCAACAGACTTTGCTGTACACGAGGGCACAGGAGTAGGAGGTGGTTCTAACTGTGAAAGGGAGGGAAGGTAACGCATACTTTCACACTTCACCGAAATTGGTGTGGCCTGTTTCCTTGGCGTGCTCACGGGCCTCCTTTTGTCCCACCAGGCCTGTCTGGCACACCATGCAGCGCAAGGCAAAGCGGTTAACGTCTGTGAACTGACGCTTGCGGCGAGCCTCATCTGCCAGCTCAAGGGCTTGGGCCAGGATTATGTCATCGGTGGTAGAGAAGATAGTCTGAGGAGGAGAATCGGAATTGGGAAGCTCTTTTTGCAGAGGGTCGTAGTGAATGCCGTCGTAGATGAGTAAGACGCGTTTTTGGTAGCCAGCGTCCTCCCCAAACCTGTCTACCCGAACTGTCTGAGTGTCCACCACACAGATCTCACACTGGTAGAACTTGGACAGAATGGACACCTCGATGGCGCCTCCCCAGGTGTCATCCCGTCTTATCCAGGAGCAGTACTCCTCATTGGTTTTTCCCAGCACTGCCTCGCAGTAAGCTGTAGGGTCACTGGACACTATCTGAGCGATAAGGCTGCGCATTTCAGGGGCACAAGCGGGGTCGTACACACCTCCTTCCACAACATAATACACACTGGTGAAGAGGCAGGAGTTGTCGGCGGGGACCACTCGGCGTGCTAGCACAGGTGAGAGTTCCAAGTGAGGAGCTTTCACGATGGGATGGTCCTGAGGTTTTGGTTTGTTCTTTTCCTCCTCAACAATCAGTGTGTCTCCTGTTTAGGACGATAAACCAACGACAAAAAACAGATTCAGAACAAAAGAAGAAACACCGACTTGAATATAGAGAAAAAAAACTTTAGCTCAGAATGATAATTTTAGATAGTTTTAGTGTCCAAAAGACATTTTTATACTCTTTGTGGAAAGGTGCAAGCACAAACTCAGCCATCAAAATTAAAATACGTTAGTTTTTAATGAGCTAAATATCAAGTTAGTGCATATATTATATACCTGAGCCTTTAAATTGACCCCTTTTTAACATTTGTTAGTTTAAGCTGCAGGGAGGGTCAGATCATTAGCATTTAACAAAAAATTATAGAAAAAAAAAAACACTTTTAAATAGCTGATTTATTCACTGTGTGTTATCTGTATATGATTCAAAACATACCTGATTTGATGGGATAGTCTTTTAAATGGGCATCTAAGTTTCGAAGATCGAGGCTGGATGGTGGGTAACCAATCATTATCTTCTGCACATCACATGGGATCCCTGTTAACTCCTCCACCTTACTCTTCAGCTCCTGGACACAGGACTGATAAGTCAAGCCTTGCATTATGTGGCTCCCATTTTTGGTCTTACAGCGAAGCCGCAACATCCTGCCAGCAAATAAATGATCCAAAGTTCCACATCACTTTGTAAAGTTTAGGGTTATATCCTTACTGAAACTATTACATGTTGCATGCACAGTCTTAAATAGGAAAATACCCACAATTCATCTAACTACATGAAAAAGCTCGAAATAAACCAACAATTCAACCAAATCCACAGAAGCGTAGTGTGATCAAAAACGTAAGCCAATGCAGTTGTCTTTGAAAGCTTTTCAAAATGTTCTTCCATATCCAGCCAGGATCACTATATCTGCAGGTCTTTAACTCATTTTATCTTTATCAAAGTCGAATTAAATATATAAAAAACAGGTTATTTTTTATTAGTTAGTAGTGCCGCTTTGTTAAGTCTGATGGCAGCAGGGATGAATGACCTGCGGTAGCGCTCCTTTTTACCAAAGGTGTGTAAAAGTCTTTCATTAAAGGTCCTGCTCAGCTCCTCTACAATCTCTACAATACTTTAAGAAAAAATATAAATGGCCTGACGTTTAACACAATTTAAATGCATATTTCCGAGTCTATTATGAGCATTTTGACAAATTGCATGAAAGCCTCTTTAGTTTGTTAGGCTTTTCCAGCCAAGTCTTTGTGGGAAAGTTGTACTAATGCTGATTTCATGATCATTAAAGCCATTTATTTGACTAAACTGATAAGAGCTATTTTCAAACTTTATTCTCCGAACAACCCATATGAGATCCTGTTATTTCATTGTATACTCAACAGTAAGCCTTGGCCCTATTCTTTAATTGAACGTTTTAAACAAAGTGACACTGACTTGAATAACAAGAGAACTGCTGAGCAGCAGGACAGTACACAATCCACTGCTCCACTGCTTTTGTTTTGGTCTCTTTGTTACAGTTAACTGCTTCATTGATTATTATGATCCCAACTCCAAACAACTAAGCCTCAAACTCGGCCTCAAACTGGCAAAATTAGATTACTGCATTGCAAACCTTTAAAATGCTGATTTTAAAGACTATGGGTCCAAACGGTTAAGGCTGAATCATTGAAAGAAGAGAGCTAGCTAAACGTCAATTGTTAACTGTGCTAACAATAGCATGCTAACTTAGCCGTCAAGCTATCTACGTCCGGCTAACTGTCATAGCTAAAGCTTTAGAATGGATTAGGTTCTTTGATGAAACATGTCCTTTGGCACCTTTGTAGTGTTACACGGTTCGTTGAACATGAAAAGAAAGCAAAGTGTTTTATTTTGTTTCCCTACCTGACGTCGACTCCTACCCTGCCTGCCAAACCGAACGCGCACAGCGAGCGGAAGTGACGTTCTTCTTCATCTTAACGGAAGTGACGTTACTTTTGTTTGTATTATTTTGGTTTTATATTTTTATGTGTAGTTCTCGAGCTAGGTCTGTTTATTTCTACTCAGTTCTATGAATAATTATTTTATGACTATTTTTTTTTTAGATAATTCAATGTGTATAATTTGTGTTGTTAAATTGTGTTACTATTGTGCTTTAAATTTGTTTATAAATTACTATTTTGTGCTCAAACATTTATACTTGTTACTTTTTGTTATACGCTGATATTGTTTTTAAAAGTTTATATTTGCTTTTTCGAAAAGGCTCTCCGTTAATATGCAAGAAAATAAAACAACTAATTCACACAGAGCTGCCGATTAACCTAACAGTTTTTTGGAGTGTTTTGGACTGTGGGAGGAAGCGGGGGTATCCGGAGAGAACCAACATATTTTCAGGGAGAACACACAAACTGCATGCAGAAAGACCCCAGGACCTGCAATGCAGCAGTTCTACCCACTGTGCGACTGAGCAGCCTGTCCCTTGGTCATCCACTCTAACTATAATATACAGCCAAAATGTATCGCAGTCAATAGTCTAGTTGTTAAACATCCTCTGTTAGGGTAGCAGCAACAGTCAGCTAATGTAGCTCAACTGAAAATAAGTTTTGGTTCTGTTCCAGAAACTTCCAGGAATGATTTTGCCAAGCAGGATGCCAGCATAAAAAAAACAACAAACAAAACAAAGCAAACACAACAAACAGTTTAGAGACTTTTCTCAGGGTGTTACAACCTGAATGTCTTCAGTCAGTGACTTTTAGACAAAAACATGTAATAAATAAGACTGTACAAAGTTATCAATGAAAACAGTTTTGTTTACACTATAATATAAATATATATTTATAGTTTATAAAATATTGATTTGCATTATTTTCCTTACTGGGATATTTCAAGGAGTCATCACCAAGAAAATATTTTTCCATGTTAAAATGCATATGTGGGTTTTATATGAAACCTGTTTCATTTATTTTTTTTCTATCTCGGCTCATTGTGCAAACCAGAAACATATACAAGAGCACGTTTTCCTCAAAGTCTGGTTTTGGTCTTCCTCCTTTATTGACCTAAATACTGAAAGAGTGCTAACATTAGCCCACCATTCCCATATCTACTCCACCAAAAAGGGCCAACCACAATCAGGGACTCACCTTCAGTGTTGCTGCTTGTGTAATTTTTTTGCCTATTGAGTTAGAACCAGGAAATAACGGTAAATGAACCATGGAAAACTGCTAATGTCTCAAATGCTACATCTGCAATAATATGTTTGCACACAAGTCCAATTCTCTTGTGCAAGAAAAAACAGGGGTATAAAAACGTGTCAGAATGAGCCGTATTTATTTTGATTTAATCAGAAATATGAATTGAAAGTCAACTTTAGATGAATTGTAGAAGTAAAATACCAGGTTCCTTTAAAGCTACTGATGAGTGACATGAATAGCATTGATTGACCCTTCACAATGGCATCTCTTAGTGGGTTGGATTTATTAGGCAGCAAGGGGAACAACTCCTCTTCAAAGTTGATGGATTAGAAACAGTCAAAGGGATTTTGGTATCTATCAAAAATGATCTGAAGGAGCAGGGAAGAACTTGGTAATGGAAAAGCATGGCTGGGTAATGCATGTGAGGAGCAAAGGCTGTCCTGTGTGCCTGAATCCATAGATGAGTTACTGTAGCTCAAACAGCTGAAAAGCTAAAGGCCTGTTCTGATAGAAATGTGTTAGAAAATACTGTTGTGGCCCAGCTTTGATGACACCAAAAAGTGGAAATCCACAAAGGCCACAGATGCACCATGGACTTATTTTACGCAGACTAAAGAAAATTGTTCCAGGTAAACTCCTTTAGTTTTGTCAGTTTATTTTTTCCTCTGGCAAGCAAACAAAAACAGACAAACATTTTCCTCCATGTTTCTCTTGCACTGGTAAAAAACCATACGTCCACCCAGGTGGTGGTCCTACCATTGACTGCCTATTTATAAAAAAAAAAAATAATTAACCTAAATTAATCATAACTAACCAAAAACAAAGGAACATGACTAAATAACCAAAAAACATAATCTCATAACAGATATTAACAAAAAATAATTAGCTCCTACAAATACAGTTTACCAGAGTTGGTGGTGCTTTGCACTGTATGCTGGCCACACTCCCATGACTAAATGATGTATCCAGACGTTTTTCTTTTACATCTTTGAACAAATAAAAAGGCTTTAAAAGTGCAGAAACAAATAAAAATACCTTTATTCATTTTAGCCACATTCTTTCCACTTCAGACATAAAATATCCTCATCCGATAAGAATCATTATTACAGAAGGTTTCCAGAGCATATACATATATCTTCATTGTAAAAATATTTCTATATCACCCATTTTTGTACTATAATGAAAATTGAAAGTCAACTTTAGATGAATTGTAGAAGTAAAATACCAGGTTCCTTTAAGGCTACTGATGAGTGACATGAATAGCATTGATTGACCCTTCACAATGGCATCTCTTAGTGGGTTGGATTTATTAGGCAGCAAGGGGAACAACTCCTCTTCAAAGTTGATGGATTAGAAACAGTCAAAGGGATTTTGGTATCTATCAAAAATGATCTGAAGGAGCAGGGAAGAACTTGGTAATGGAAAAGCATGGCTGGGTAATGCATGTGAGGAGCAAAGGCTGTCCTGTGTGCCTGAATCCATAGATGAGTTACTGTAGCTCAAACAGCTGAAAAGCTAAAGGCCTGTTCTGATAGAAATGTGTTAGAAAATACTGTTGTGGCCCAGCTTTGATGACACCAAAAAGTGGAAATCCACAAAGGCCACAGATGCACCATGGACTTATTTTACGCAGACTAAAGAAAATTGTTCCAGGTAAACTCCTTTAGTTTTGTCAGTTTATTTTTTCCTCTGGCAAGCAAACAAAAACAGACAAACATTTTCCTCCATGTTTCTCTTGCACTGGTAAAAAACCATACGCCCACCCAGGTGGTGGTCCTACCATTGACTGCCTATTTATAAAAAAAAATAATAATTAACCTAAATTAATCATAACTAACCAAAAACAAAGGAACATGACTAAATAACCAAAAAACATAATCTCATAACAGATATTAACAAAAAATAATTAGCTCCTACAAATACAGTTTACCAGAGTTGGTGGTGCTTTGCACTGTATGCTGGCCACACTCCCATGACTAAATGATGTATCCAGACGTTTTTCTTTTACATCTTTGAACAAATAAAAAGGCTTTAAAAGTGCAGAAACAAATAAAAATACCTTTATTCATTTTAGCCACATTCTTTCCACTTCAGACATAAAATATCCTCATCCGATAAGAATCATTATTACAGAAGGTTTCCAGAGCATATACATATATCTTCATTGTAAAAATATTTCTATATCACCCATTTTTGTACTATAATGAAAACATAATATTGATTACATTCTGTGATATATGAAAATGTAATTTCTAGGAATATATATTTGAAATTTACTAAGGCATTGCTATATTTAAGAAATAAAAATGGCACCAAAGCTCCAAAGTACTGCATGTTTGGGTGACTAATAACTTCTGGTGCACATGCACTACTGTATATGATGTCAGTGATAAGAGTTTCTAGTCTAAAACCTCAACATGCAGAGAAAAGACAGAGTGCTTGAGATAAACAGCAACGTATTATTTTGCATTATCATGTTTATATCTCAGAAGGGAATTGCCCTGCTCCCTGTAATCCTATTGTTATATAGAATATGGTAAAAATCAATCAAAAATCAAAAAATGAATAAGATTTTCTATTGTTTGGCTCATGAAAAAGCTGATAAGCTGTGAAGAAAAGCGGAAGAGGATCCAACCTTCAGTCAGAAACGGACGCATCCACTAGATTCTTCGCTGCTGTCAAAGTCGAATCCTTCACACAGGGACTCCTTGGTAAGAAAAACAAATGTAACCAACATTTAAAAATCAATTTGTCACAACAAAAAATGTAGTTTGGAGGTACTGTCATTACTCAAGAGGCTCAGCAAATTTTAAGCCTTGTTAAAGACTAACCTTAGTATCTCTCTGTAACATATAGACATTAATGAACAAAATGAATAATTAATGTCATTATGGTCTAATGCTCTAATGTTAATGTCTTGTACTGTACAGCTTTCATACAGTTCTGGACATAAGTTAAAATACGCTTGTGCTGGATTTGACTGATTTTCAAGAATCTTTATTTTTCTGGAGTAAAAATAATATGTTTAGACTTTATAAGTATTGATTGTGTGAAACAGGTTACATTTTTTATGAGCTTTCTCTAATCCATTAGTTACATTGATATCGACTAATGTTTAGAAAGGGAAACATGTTTTTTTCCCTCAAGCCATCAACAAGCCGCTGGCATCATTCTTTCTGGATATTTGTAAACACATTCTAGCTTTTTAAAAACTGGTAGAATTCATCAGAAAAGTTCAGGTTCTTGTCTCATTTACATCAGTATGCGGAAGGCATTTGGCTTGTCCATGCAGTCAGCTCCTCTTTTGTTTTGGACCATCTTAAAAGTCCCCTAAAACCTGTTTTTCTGTGAGTAACATCAGAGTTCACCATCTTCTAGTAAATGGACGGCTTGAGCTTTAACAGTTCCTAGGTTGCTCTTGCACATCCTCAACAGTTTTTCATTTGAGAGGGTTTTAGTCAGGTGCCTTAAAACTCGGACACAATGCGTGGCAGAACAGGGTTTCGAATTAACGTAGGCTGACATTATACTTCTGGAATGGCCTTCTCAAGCCCCAAATCTTATCCTCTTCAAAATGTTTGAGTTATATTTAAAAGCTGAATCTATGCCAGGAAAAAAACAACTTCAATGACCAGCTGTGTTAAAATGAAAGGTAAAAAAAAAAAAAAAAAAATGCAGCCAGAATTATGCCAAAAGCGGCAACAAAATGACTTTGATCATGGTAGAAACATTCTTAGGGGCGTTTATTCCCAATTTTGTAGAGCTGGTCGTCTTTATTTACAGTATATTAGGCAGAAAAAAGCAGAGATGAAGCGAGTTAAACCTGGACAGCTCGAGGAGCAACAGCCTCCATGTATGCTGCTCACGCCTGCGGCATCCCGCCAGGGGAAAGTTAACCAAATATGGGCAAGAATATGAAATAGTTTAAACTGGTACGTATAACTCTGACCTGTTTGGAAAAGGTACAATGAATTCAATCTGATATAGATCTACAAAACTACTCAAGCTGTAGCCATATAAACTCTTCATCATGGAAGAGAAGGACATCATCCAAATCAGTTTTTAAAAGCACCAAATATGGACATTAATGACCATTACGACTGCATAAAAAACAACTAACTGGAACTGTACTCAAGCAGACATTGATTTATGGCACAAGTTTAATAGGTAAATACTTTTGGTCAATATTTTACTGATTCAGATAACTCCACTACAAACATTTGTATGGTGGTAGTTTAGCAAAAAATAGAAGCACACATTCAGTAGTGTACATTACGGTGCTTTTGATGGGTTTCTGATGCAAAACAAAGCTGATACTAACTTTTACTGGACAGGCTAATGGAAAATAAGAGAATCTAGATCAACTAGAAACCATATAAACAAATTAGACCATAACAAAATATGAATTATTACACAAATGTATAGATATGGATCATTAGGCATTGAGTTGAATTATGGGTCAGAAAATGAAAGTCTGGCTACTGGTACGACATGTCTAAAAATACTCACAAACAACTGCCTCCTGTCCGAGTCTGTAAGACAGGTTTTGAGGAAGCGGAGAGAGAGAAGACAGACAGAAATGTGGAGAAAGACAGAAGCTCTGTACCACAATGCCAGGCCAATGATTGCACGGTACTTAAATCTACCAGTACGTTTGCAATATTAGGAAATACTTTTGTTTCCCCTTCAACTCTTTGCTTGCATTTATGTTATATAATCATATAAGTGTAATAATTTGTAAATAAATACTTCTAATGTTTGTGTGTCTTTGGGTAGCAGAAAATGTAAAAAAAAATAGCAAAGAGTTGGCATGCTGCGCTGCACATTCAAGCTGGAGACAGTGTTTTGTGAGTAAAGGATCATGCAGGACAATCAGCAGAAGGACAGAGCAGCTCTTTCAAGATGCAAAACACGCCCTGAGAAAGAAATACAAATGCAGCGGTGACATTTATAGTCATTTGCAACACACACACACACATCAAGAAGGTCCAGAACTGAGGCAAAAGGACTAAACACAGGGTCACAATTGTGGTGGGAGGTGACTGATTACAGGTGACGCTGACAGATTTAGAGGGTCAGCCTGTAATTCTGTCACTAACTTGGCTTTGCAGACTCTCGGGCATCAGAGCCGATGGGGTAGGGGCGAGCGGTAGCCATGGCTGGTTGCCAGCGCTGTAGAGCCTGGGCCGCTTGACCTGGTCGTGACTTGACAAGGGAGTGTAACTATTCCTCCGATGTATGAGAGCAGACTCCCTTGGATTTTTACCCTGGTCAGAAGATGAAATACCGCAAGTGTTACAGGAAAAAAAGATGGGGTTACAGATGAGAAGGGAGAAGCACCTGAATGGACACAGCCATTCTAAATACCTGGACATTAATTAATAGAAACAGTGGAGTTCTGACAAAAAAAAAGAAAGCTTTTATTACTGAAGTAAAGCTAGAAGGCCTTACTAAAGCGTTTGTGTCCTCTTAATTGTCGCATCGTAACAACAATCGTATTTGTATCAAACAGCACAAATTTACAGATACGTGTGAAATGGAAAAAAATATATACATTTATTGCAACCAATTCCCCTGGATTGGGATAATGTCTTGCTAACGCTAAACCATGAAACATCGATCTGTATAAGGAGGCTGTTCTTGCAAGAGTGGTTGACTGGGGGAGACCCTCATTCTTTAATTATTATTAAGTAAAGACATTTTTTTTTCAAATAGTCATGAAATCAAAATCAAATTACGGATTTCTTTAAAACTAATTAAAGAATTATCTTTATCAGATTCTCCATCTTTCTCTAAAAGGTACTTAAGGTTTTCCAGTTTTGGTGCTGCTGGAGATTTCTTCCTGTTCGAAGGGAGTTTTCCTCTCCACTGTCACTACAAGCATGCTTTGACTCAGGGATTGCCTTCAAGTCAATGAGTCGATGTAATCAGCTAGTTTTCCGTAGGTAAAAAAACTTTTAATCAATCTGACTGAATCATCTGATTGAATTATCTCTGTAAAGTGACTTGAGATTCAATTCAATTCAGTTTATTTCTATAGCGCCAATTCACAACACATGTCATCTCAAGGCACTTTACAGTTCACCAGATCATCCAGTCAAATTGATTCAAAGTTTTCTATCTAAGGAAAACCCGTTGATTGCATCGACTCTTTGACTCGAAGGCCAGATGAGATGTGAATTGGTGATATATAAATAAACTGAATTAATTAAAAACAGCCTGAGTTAAATCAGTCAGACAGCTCATCCTTGGGTCTTCTTGGGGCCCCTCTCATTGACCTGGATCGGGTCCGTCCAACTGTGGCTCTGAACTTTCTGTTCCTCAGCTTAGTCGACATAAGGTTTTTTTAATTATTTGTTTAATCCGGCCTCCAAGCTGTGTTTCCAGGGAGGCACCGGCCACTTCCATTTTAGTTAGAAACGTGTCACTTCCTTTCATTTGTATTCAAAAACCAACTGTAACCAATTAGAAAAACATTGGTCTGAAAGATTAAGAAGGATACCAATGCATAAGAAAAAAAAGAACAGACATTTTAAACAGGTTGATTAAACATTTCTGTTTTAAGAATTAGACTCAGCTTTTCACTTCTCTGTGTTTTCTGCTCAGTCCAATGTTTTCCATCCCATTAAACACGGAGACAGGGAATCTATCAAAGTTACATGACAGCATGTGGAAAAGGTTGACACTTTAATACTATATTTAAGATAAAGTTCTGGACTAAGTTTAACAGCCTGCCTTTTTCTTTTTAAACACACAATCATTAAATCAAGATGCAGTCAGATCCATGATAATAATCAAGTCAGCCAAGCAGTTTAAATGATCAGCCACAGCTTCCAGGGAGCTAAAATATGAGTAAACATAAACTTAAAACAGTTTTCTGCTTGCAGCTCAGGCCAAGCTGATTAATCAAAGTTAAAGATAGAAAGGGCAGAAAAGAAGTGGGCTGTAAAGAAAGGCTTTAAGGCAGCAAAGTCTCGCATGGAGGGATCCAATGCAGCTGTGGGGCCATTGTGTTGAACTAACAGACACAACAAACGACACTCGGGTCGACTTTGAATCAGATGCTGGTCGTTTGAATCCAAATTGATAAAAAATATGTCACATTTAAATCATTAACTCAACACAGCAGCATACACATTGGTGAATGAATTATAATGATCTGTTTTTCAAACTCCAACTTACAAGTGGCCGGTCTCGGTGTGTGTTTACCGCCTCCACATTTAGGTAAAACATCTCCACTTTACAACCTGAGAGAAAAAGGAAAACAACAGGCTAAAAAACACTAAACGCCTCTATATTCATGGTTATTGACACAGACCTACCATATGCAACTGGAGTTAGCTTAAGAACTGTGTGGAGGGGACATTTCATGTATGGCAGATCATCTGGGAAATAAAGTACAAAGGTTATCAACATGGTGTTTGCAGGTTCAATATGTTTTAGTGTGCGTATTTGCTAATTTTTTTTTTCACCTGCACCCTTGTCCAGGAAGTAAGCCAAAAGACAACGCATCACCGCCTGGTGGCAGATTACCAGCACATTGCCTTGTCTCTCTAACTCCATGATAACTGGTTCAAGACGCTGCACAAGATCTTGGTAGGACTGATAGACAGTTAAAAAAAAAGACAAGAAGAGTTGTGTAAGAGCAGCAGCTCAATCAGCATTCACTTTCTATGAATTAGTGGAGTTCACCTCTCCTCCTGGGTAGCGGTAATGGTATTTATCCTGGTCTCTCGAAGCAAACTCCTCTGGAAAAGTCTCCTGAATCATTTGGTAAGTCATCTCCTCGCATACCCCCTGAAAAAAAATACAAAAATAAAAGTCAAGTAACTTTCAAAATTATATATCATTCGTTACAAAATTAATAAAAACATCCTGACCTGTGCAAAAAAACAGGAATACAGAAGCTTACCTGCACCACTACTATCATAGCATGGCATCTTTAGGGTTTAAAATGGCTGGTTATTACATTCAAAGCTTGGCTCTGCCCTTTGTTGTGCTAATATTAATCACATATGAACATAGCAAGGTGATTCTTATTTTTTGGCTTGTTGTACAGAGTGATGCAAAAAAAATGAACAAAACCTACACAAGAAATGGTTTTATAGTTTGTGAATGAGAGAAATTTCTGCACATTTTCTCACATTGTTCTCTTCTTATTAAAAAAGTAAATCTCAAAACTAAGCTTACATCTTTTCAACAACACCTTTAAGGGAATTTTCAAAATTCTAATTCAATCATTCTAGAAGCTTCATAAAGCTAAAGTTCTTATTAAGTGTCAGTGAAATAATCAGTGGAATCGGGCCCCTTGGTACTGACCGCATCGATCTCGTTGAGGATTTTCCACTGCTCGTACGGCACACCCAGCTCTTCTGCGGTCTGGATGGTCCTCCTCAGCTGGCTTGTCCATACCTTCAAGTCCGACAGTTTGTGCTCATCAATGAAATCTCGCAGGGCGTGGGCAAACTGGGCATATGAAGAGGGGAAGGAAAGCCAGGTCGTTATGCTGAATTATTTTCCTTCATAATGATGTTTTATAGGGAGCAACAAATGAGAGGGATAAAAGAAAAGGTGGAGGCATGCATTCATGGGCGTTAAACGGCCATTTTCCAAACATATACTCTTAGGGACCATGATGTGCTTTTTTGGACCCCATCAGAAGGACCGCTGTACTTCGATTAAGGATCAGGTTTAGGACTAAGGCTTGAATTGAGTTTAGTTTAGGTTTAGGCTTAAGCATGTTGTAGTAAATGTAATTGTAAAAAAAAATGAGAATCTCCACCGGCATATGCTGGTAGGGTCTGCCACATAAGGCCCAATGACATACATAAATACATGGATACTTCTGCAAGGCACTGTAGACTCTGGTTCTCAGCTTGAGTGGAGAGAGAGCAGCCCTGTTTTACCTGTTTTCCTCTTGGAGAAAGCTCAGAGTCTCCTCCGATGCGTCCTTCCATGTTGTGGTTGCTCTCTCCGTGTCGACACAGGTAAATGGAGTGTGAGTGCACGTGGATGTTCATGAGGTAATACACTATCTTGCTTTGGATATAGTCCTGCACTCGGTTCACCAGGAAACGTTGGCCCACATTTATAACCTTGATAAAGGAGAGGTCCCTGCAGGAGACATTGGGTAAAATGAAATAACTGCTCACTGTCGCCGTCTAGTGTTTCATGTCTAAATCACAGGTTCTTTCAACATCAGTTTTGCTTGAAGTTACCCTAAAGGGAGAACAATAAGTGTTTTCTGTGTGAAAAAAACTTGATAACATCCTACTTGTCATATTGGTCAGGATCTAATGGTTGATAGGTGACCTTGTAGCACTCTATCCGTTTCAGGAAATCCTCCATTACCCTCTCTCTGTGTTTCTCAGGGTAGTCTGGACTGGAGACTTTAACTTCCTGCAACGGCAGCGGGACGTGTTTAAATACCTCAAACAAGCAGTGCATCTCTCATTCTGAACATTAGTAGATCAGGGCTGAAATGAAGATCACAAGACACAGTCCAACCTCACAGACGAGTGACATGAGGTCATACCAGAATATTGGCAGCAATAACGTCTGGGTCGTCACACACCGACTCCACAAAAAACACCTGTTGGAAAAAGGGGCAGATCTTCAAAGATCATTCATGAAATTCAACTTTAACAATGACAAAGTTTCCTTTAAGGAAAATCTGCAAAGATATATTAAATATTTTAAATCCAAACGCTTATCTTTGTTATTTTTTACATTATTCTCATAAGGCATTGAGTCAAATTTCATAATGTGACACTTATACTGACTATATAATGTGTTTTGGATTGAACTTTAACACAATTTTTTATAACACTATTATAAAACACATAGAAAATTACACTGACTGCTATTTGAGATGTTTCTTCTTAGTATTGTTTTTAGGCGCAACCACTCAAAGCTGAAGCAGCACTTTAACAGGCAAAGTCAATGACAAATGAAAAATATTAATTCTGTGATATATTTTCCTTTTTTGAGATGCTGTCCAGGTTCATAAATATTTGAAGTCCATTTGGAAACATGATCTGAACTGAGAGGCAATATTCTCACAGAAAACCAATGTTTACACTCAGTTTTTGTTTCAGCTCATGCATCGGTGATCCTTAAGACGCCTGAGGAAATGTTCTCTTTTACCAGCGCTAATTACTGAATGTAGAACAGCTTCTCCAGCTGTCTGCAAGGTCATGTGCATCAGACATCTCTGACATCAATGGAAACATCCCGATAAAATTATGCTCTTTATTTTCACCTGCTGCCAGCCAGCACTGTCTTCCTGTTGCCTCTAAAAGAGTTGACCTATTTCTATACCGCAGTTTGTGGAAAACAGGCGCAGGCAACAATGCTAAGCATGTCTTCACATTCAGAGGAGGCGGAGCTAAGAGGGATAGCTTCCCACCAGACACCCGAGTATTTCAGGTTCATTTAGCTAATTCAGGCCTGGACTTCACCAAACAAGCACATAATGAAAGAAGGGAAGAGAAGAAAGTAATGAGAAGGTGCAATAAAGCAAAAAGGGTTTGGAGAAAGGGAGATTTAGTTTGTCTCTTTGGATAATTGCCCCATTAGTTTTATGTTACATTTTTGGACTTTGGAGTCAGGCTGAGCTCTATCCTATCAATACAACAACAGCACACTAACAAGATGTGACAGAAAACCACAGAAAATTGCAAACCTGATTAATGCTGGAAGACAATAAATACATAAAGTCATTGCTGGATTTGAATTTTAACATGAGACCAGAAACAGAGAATATACTGTAGGTAGAGCACAAAATAAAAATGGATATGAAAATACTACACTTCTGGAGTTCATAGAGTCGGAAAATTGTTCTTTTCCCCAAAAATCTTAATTAACTTAAAAGGGTAAATACAGCCCAAATCAAAGAAATAAACACCAGCCTTATTAAAAGGATGGATGCTTCTCCCTGGGGTTTCATTTAGGGTATTTCTGATGAAATCATTCCCCAAATACAATTCCCCAATATATGATGCTGTGTTGCTCTGCATTTTTTTACTTTAGGGGCAAAGTTCGATGAAACATGACAAAATCTCCGCACTGCGGGATATATATATATATATATAAAAAAGAAAAAACTGTTCAAATGCCACTTCAAACATTCAGAATTTGTCAATTTTCAAGTTTGCAGGGACATTTAACATCACTATTTAAAATTGACTTTTAATATTGAAACTTGGCTAAATGACCTCTCTCCATGTAAAGGATAAATAAAGTAAAGGATCTGACTTTAAAAATGCAAAATTAAGACTCAGATCAGTGTCAGAGCCAGATTACAAAATCCTAGAGAAAAATATGATATAGTCTTTGTGAACCACAAATAAATAGTCACAACATCTAGTTCATTTGCCCAAACTCCCTTCTTTTCTTACCGTTAGATGTGTTTTACAACATGTTCTCCAGTTATAAAGATCTCATGGATAAAAAGGTAAAACAGAGTACAATTCTTGTTGCTGCATTTCACAGAGAGAAATTCAAGGCTAGTTTAATAACATGTAAAAGCTCAAGGCTGCACACTCTAATCACACAAATGAATAATGATAATAAAAAAAAAAGTTTTACCTTGAAGCCATTTTCCTTCACAAAATCTTGAATAAGATCCCGCCTTTCCCTCGTCGTGTTTGTTGCATCAAAAACCTGACCATGGAAAAACAGGGAGGTGCGTCAAAATCGCTTCTTACCAGAGAGGGTTATGTGATTAAAAGGTGTTGAAAACAAACCAAATGCACATAAAGATGGAGAGGAAACTCACTGCAATCTGACCCCACTCCTCTGTCAGGTAGACCCTCACGTCCTGCAGAGCCACCAGAGCACACTGCCTGTAGGGAGGGAGGTCAAACCCAGTCACTGAGATAAAATGTCTTATTAGGGATCGATATCAGAAATAGGTGAACATTATGTTATAAGGGTTCTGTGCTCAGTTAATCTGATTAGGTTAACAGATTTCTAATCACTCAGTCGAATTTCAGTTAAATCCCTTTAAACAATTTTTATGGGAAAGAATTTGAAATGTTGTGTCTAGCGATGAAAAAAACATCCTTCTCGTTTACTGTGCTATACTTTTTAATTTTACTTAAGTAATATTCTTGTAAAATATTGCTACTTCTACTTGAGTAAACTTTCTGACTTTGTCCTCTGTGAGTAATTTAAACCATTCCAAAATCACATAATCATATAGTAAACAGTAGATATTAACAGTGGAAGTTTGTTACTCTGTCCTAACATCTATACAGGTAAGGATTCGTTTTCTAAGTGTTATGTTGGAAAAAAATTGGTAAAAGTATTTCTTCTGCACAAATTTGTTCTTTTATATTCATGACGTGGCCTCTGTATAGGAGTCGTGCACACTAACCAGCATCATCTCGATACATTAAACCTGTTATGTTAGTATCCAATACTTACCCAGTACTCAAGTAGCCTTTTAACCAAATACTTTTTCACTTTACTTGAGTCATTTCTTAGATGTCTACTTTTTACTTTTACTTGAGTAAAAGCATGTTAAAGTATCGCTACTCATCTAATATAATATTTGGGTACTCTACTTAACTCTGCTTGTGTTGTATAATGAAAAATAATCCCAAGTTAAACTCAGGCATGCAACAGAAAATAATATAAAGTTGTTATAATTTAAACATTTTTTTTGGGTAAATCAACCTGAAACTGAAGTTGTTTAGAGAATGTGTGAACAATCTACAAACTCAAATTTATCTCAAGAATAAATCACATCCAAATTGGTGGTAGAGTTCAAGAATTACAGCCTTGTGACGTTTAGAGCCATTTCAAACTGTGTTTTGTGGACAAAAGCATCCTCAACTGTAAGACGAAAGCAAGCATAAGGTATGTTGTTGATCCCACGTGTGGAATTTGCTTATAGAAGCTCGTGACTTGAATACAAAAGTGGTTAAAGCTCTTATCTCTACAAGTGAAACTGGCAATCCTTGGGCTGCAAAAGCAAAACAAATCCTTCAGGGAAATGGTGGGAACATTCGGAGCTGCCAAATTAGCAGTTTGTTCCATGTTCTGGTAAAAAGGAAAGAATGCACTGGAGAGGCAAGGACGCCTGGAGAAAACAGCACAGCTGAATGGTGAGAAGATGCTTCTCATGTTAAAAAAAGGTCCCATCCAGCCAAATGAAAATGTTTTCGAAACGGTAAACGTATCATTATCCAAATCTAGGATAAGCCTCAAAAACAGAATGGACAGAGTATATCTGGAAACAAATCCCAAAAACAATGAGAAGACAATGCTGAGGTATGTTGATAATAGGAGGGGTGGGGTAGGGTATTCTTTTGTTTTGCTGCTAAAGCCTTAGGGAGCCGGAGAACAAAGGTACCACTTTTCATCACTTTTCTACATTCTATTTATATTCTCTAATTTGAAAGATTTTTTAACTAACTCTATGTTCTCTTTGCTTTTTCTCTTCATATTAGCTTGATCAGGCCTGGAGCTCTGTTAAGAAGGCATCAGCTGGGCTGCTGCTGCCAACAAGTTGAATTATCGTATACGTAGTTTGACGAGTTTGGCCTTTTTTCTGTGTTTAGTCCTACATTGGTCTTTTTGAGGCCTTGACTAGAGGCGGCTCATATTGAGCCTACGTATCTAAGGATCTTCCTCTTAAAAGGGAGTTTTTCCTCCATCATTACTGCATGCATGCTGAATGTGAGGGATTGCAACAGAGTCATGACACAATGCTGAATGTCTACTGTTGACATATGCTCATCCAGGAGGAATGAATCCTGCAAAGTCATTGATTTAATTATCCGTTAAGTGTTAGGATGTGCTGTGAATTAGTGCTCTATAAATAAACAAATCTGAATTGAATTCACTTTCCCAGCATTGAACGTAACCTTGTGAAGCTCACTGGTTACAATTTATTAATCCAAATGTAGAATGATTTGAAAAGAAATCAGAAAAATTGTTTGGTGATTTGATGAAAAGATTTACCCAGGAAGTTAATCTTCCACCATCCTTCATTTCCAAACTGTAGTGGCTGCAAAGGAATTCTTAAATTACCCCTGCTTTTCTTCTCTACTGCTCTACAGCAAAAGCTAATATTACAAAATGTGTAACTACTACTAGAATCTCTTTCACTGCACCCTTCTGACAACAAAATGACTGAACTGGAGGAATATTGATACACATCCGACAGCTATGCAGCCCCATGGAGGACTTATGTCACTCTGATGAGTGACAGCAGCAGCTTGTTTCATATCTAGGTCACAATTCAGCAGTGGGATGCTGTCAAGTGTTGGTCACTTTTACATGATAGTTATGCATTTGAAATCTGAATTAATTTACTGTAACAGGAAAAAAAGGGAAGAGGGCTACTTTCTACTCAATAATCATCTTTAGGAGCTCAATGCATATTTAGAGTTGACATATAGAAAAATCTGGTGGTCATAATCTGTTTTATTCCTCTCTGTATGTGTGTGTGTCAGGTTGGACTAGCACAAACATTTGGCTGACTGAACTTTGATTGTGGGCCAGAAAAATAGCTTAGTCACTGATGCAGCGGAAGAGTGCTGGATGGAGGAAATTAAATACGCAGACAGCAGAGATAGTACCCCTTGCCATCACACAGAAAGTGAGTGCACTTCGTAATGATGTCACAAGAGGACACAAGATTCGCCCACAAAATAAGACTTACTTTCTAATTTTCATGGCTTCCTTATTGTCGTGGCGGAAGAAATCATAGGATTTATAGGCTCTGACTGCCTCCCTGCGATACACACCCAAGTTAAACACTGTGGAAAAAGGACACTCCATCAACATAATGCCAATACGGTCATCATAGCTCACATTTTCCTAGTAGTAGGGATATTTTGTTGGCTGTTTTACTTAAAAAAACAAAAACTGATTGTAATCTGATCGTAAAACTGAGTTCCTAAATAATATTTTGGCGTATTGCACTTTTTTTTTCCAATACAAATTCACATGTGGATAAAACAGATAAATAAGGAAATGTGTCAGATAGAATCTTTGTTTCTCTTTTTTTAATGTGTCCCATTGGGCAGTGAGGTCAAGGTACTTTATTTTGATCAATAAAGTGCAACCCAGTTCTGTTTGATCCATGAGCGAAAAAGCAAGTCCATTTAAACAACTATTAGAATAGGAATAACTGCTTATGTAAGGAAAACATACGAACCAACTCACTATGCTAACTTTGCTATATGTTTTTAATCATCCTGAGTCATCGTTATTTATTTATTTTTATATATTTTTTTTACCTCAAAAGTGTTTGATTATGGTTTAAACTGTTAGTATTGAGGAGTATTTCTAAAGATGTTCTAAAGGTCTGTAAGAAGGTTTTATTTAGACTCTGGCTGCTTTTAAAGTCATCTTCTGACAACTTATAATACCAGTCTTAATGTTTTTATTTTTAAGTGATCAGTACAACATAGAAAATGCAGCCATTGACTACAAATAATATTTGAAGACTTCTAAAATAGCCTGAAATACTACTGATAAAGATAATTTCAAAAACCTATGTCCCCATAAGCAAAGAAAAAGTGCAGTTATGCAAAAATATTCTTAATTTACTTTTTGTCCTCTAGTTCTATTTTTTCCAGAAAATCTATTATTTATTTTGTCTTTTATTGGTTATAACTGTGCTATAAGCTATGTGTTTGAGTTTCACCAGCTAAATATAACTTGGAAAACAAAAAAAATATATTTTTTTTGATGTTACAATTTTCCTGGTTGATGGAAATATGCAAAAATATAAAATAGAGTAGACAGACTCAGCAGGTCCACATAAGATATAGATGAATTGGAATCACTGAGCCAAATTACAGGGAAATCAGTCCCCATGTTGTACCTTTGGTCGGGACTCCAATCCAGTTAAGATAACGTGTGAGTTTCTTTGACATGTAGGTCTTTCCTCTTGCAGGAAGGCCGATCATCACAATCATAGTTGGAGAGTTTGTCATATAGGAGGCCCATGCTGCAAGGATGCAAAGAAGATGCATTATTTATAGCTACAAAAAGAGAAAGAGGTTTAATATCTAGGCCACTGTGTGTAGACCAGACAAAAATAATTGTCTCTTCAGACACAAATATCCTTTATGGTCAGAGGTCCAAAAAAGTAAATTAGAAGTACTAATATCCTGGGAATGAAAACCAATTTTCCTAAGAATAATGGAAAGAAAGTGTCACATGAAGTATTTTTAAATTGGTGGTCATAATTGACCTTTTGTTCATCTTTGCCAACAGAAACACCCCCAGTCTTTCTCTGACCTCTGAGTAAATTGTAGTTTTAAGTAAAGAAACTTAAGCACAAAAGATGTGATTAAAAAAACATTTGTAAATTGGATCTGGATTGGAGAGGACAATGCATGGGCTCACATTACAGATGCAACTGTGGAGTCTTGATGCAGTCATGCACAACTTGTTCAAATCTAATTCTGGGAAACCAATGGGTTTAAGTTCACTTACAGCACTTCTTCTCATTCCATCTCGGGTCCATTTTCTTTGTCTCATTGGAGTTTGTTGAACCTCCAATTTCTCTTTGGTTGCTGGACATGTCTGCTTGTTTTTTTTCTAAATGAAAACATATGCACACTCTCAGTGGAAACATAGTCCAAACTGATCAAAGAGGAATAATAAATGATAATGAACATTTAATGGATTACCGTAATGCAAAACCACAGGGGAAAAAAAAAAAATCAGACTCACCAGATGTCTATAAATAACTTATGGTTATGACTTTATGTATCCTTGGCAACATTGCATGCAAAATGATGGACCAATGATGCTGCTACAGCATCATCTATTAAAAATCATCTCACCATCACAAGTATACGATAGGACCTATGATGTCGGAAATTTGGGCATATTTAGGAAATAATCTAGAAAAGTCGCATCTCCTTCAGCACAATATGGATTGCTTTAATTTTACCTGACCGCTTAGGGAATCTTTGGTTCTTTAGCGCCGCCTCTGAAGGATTAAAAGCGGATGAATCCCCGGATCAGCAGGACCGACAGTCTGCAGCGACCGCTGCGGTCGGAGGAGCCGATCTGCTCGGTCAGCCTGTGTCCTTCGTGTCCTCAGCGCGCTGGGCTCTGTCCAGGCTGGAGGTGCGCCTCCGCGTCACATTCTGTATCTTTACCGTAAAGTTGGGAATAGAAGAACTGCGGCATTACTCCATAAAGTACAGCATCTGCAGCAGGCTTCTCTGCAAAAACAGGCCGACGTGTCTATTTGGGCTCAAAGATCAGTGCTCAATAAATATATAATATAAACAAATATAAACAAACACAAACAGAATTACATTAATGATTTAGAAAATAATAGGAAAATATATTTATTTTTGTATAACTACTGTTGTAGTTTACAGCACCCCCCCCCTCAAAAAAAATAAATAAAAATTAATAATAAAATAAAAATAAATAGGCAAATTTTTCAAAATTCACTTAAGGCAACAAAGAGGTTTTAGTTACTGAAATCTTTTGAAATTGTCATTTCATTGCCTAAGCAGTAGTGGTGCACCGATGCCATTTTTTTGCCCCTATTCCTGGCTGTGCAGTATTGGCCGATACCGATACCATATCGATACCATCTGTTTAAAATTGATGTGTGTGTGTATATATGAAGAACTTCATACTACTTGGATGTAAAATAATTTCCATCATGGCTTTGTCAAGCTGCTGCCTACCTTTGTAAAGCAGGAAAAAGACTAATACAAAGTGAATCCAGTAAAATTGGATTGCCTTCCTGGAATGGGTGACAATACTTGAATAAACTTTTAGTTCTCAAAACGGCCTATTTGTTGGTACTCATCCATACCGATACGACCATTTTAGTGCTGGAATCGGGCCCAGTCTGACACTGGTATCGGTGCAATACTACTAAGCAGTTTTGAATAATATCGCTGAACATTACTGATTCTTCCATGGAACCTCTCCCCACCCACAACATGTGGCCTAATTGCTTGATAAGCTAGATGTCTACAGAGTGCCTGATCCAAGCTCATTAGTTTAGTGGAGGAAAAAATTGTGGTAAATAGCAGGATGCACAGACAAGAAGAATTACCAGTCCTGACAGAAGACAGATGCATAGCCCAGTTAAGTTGGACTAAGCGTTATGAAAAGAGTCCAGCTGTCATCCTTCACATCACACAGTCTTTCACGTCCCACGTCAGTAATGGCACTCCATCTGTGTATTTCTACCTTGCTATAACTATTTACGTCTTTTTATTATCTTATTTCAATTCTTGTCCACAGTCATGTGACATCCTGGATTGACTACCTTCTTTAGGGTCTCCAAAGCAAATCACCTCTCAAGCTTCAGAGTTGAGAATGTAGCTGCTAGCTGTCGTCACCCAAGCTCCTTCCTATAAACACATCCCTCACGCAGGGCGCATCATCTTTAAAGTTCTTTTAGTTTGAGGTTTAAAGCCATCTTCAATCTCCCCCCTCCATATCTATCTGACCTTCTACGGGTCAGATCCTCACGGACTCCCTTAGATCAGCCTCCTCCTCCCTCCTCTCTGTTCCATCTGCCCATCTTTCCACCATGGGGTGCAGGACCTTCAGTGACAGCCATCCAATCTACAGAACATCACTTCTCTCTCACTGTTCCAAACTGCTCTGAAAGCACATTCCTCTTAGCCGATCCGGTACTTATTGTACCATCTTAAATGTTTTGTTTTATTGTTGAAATTTGTTATATTTATAGCTAATTTAGGAGCTTGTGGAAGTTTAATAAGATGCATTTAGCAGTTCAAGCATCCCTAAAAAATCTGCTTGTGTTTAGTCATCCCTGAATCAGAACTGGCAATTTCCTTCTTATTGTTCGGGAGAAAGAGGACCTGATTGTCAAAGGTCCTTTTTAAAGAAGTAAATGTTTTTTTTTTTATTTGCAAATCAAAGTCCTAGGTGAGCCACTATATAGTATTGAGTGGATATTACAATCGGAGCATAAAAATAGCTTTTAGTGCACAATTTCTATGAACACTCCTGCTTATTTGTCTTATTTATAAATTGGATTTAGCCATTCAAATATTAAACACAGAAAAATCCCTTGTTGTATAATCTTTAATATATAATCATTTTATATACATATATACATGTATAAATAGAATTTTTTGTGTGAATAGAAGTACTGAAATAAAGAACTGGATATATGTTAGTGTATTAAGATGGAACTATAAAAAACATTGATAGAAACTTAGAAAACAGTTTATTCCCCAATAACAAAGACTCTGTTTTCCTTTCTTCCTTTATTTTTTAAACAGTGGTTTTTGATAAAAAAAAAAAAAGGAGGCAGTGGTAAAAGATTTACAGAGAAGAAGTCCAAGAGATTACAACAGAGACCTAAATAAATAATGCAGAACTATAATAAAGAGTTTTTTAATCATACCAAGTCTGTTCATATGTGTTTTCTTGGCTTGAGAGCAGAAGGATTTGATTTTCCTTGTCTTAAAAAAAGATAACTAAAAAAACAACCAACCTATTTATATGATAATATCTATGTTTACACACCATTTCTCTTTCCTATAAAATACCACAATATAAATCTGGGTTCCTCAGTGACCTGAAGGTTCACTTGCTGCTATGATAAACCTCTTCCAGGGGACCTTTAGGCACGTTGTTAGTGGGGGCAGAGCTGGTGGACAGTGTTGATACCAAATCAGCTGAGTAGCTGGTAAACGTTGCTTGAGTGATTGTCCAAGCATCTCTGGTTTCTGTAGGAGGTACAGTCAGAAGTACACACCGTCAGTAGGGTTGAGCACTTTTTGCATATGAGGCTTCTGCAGCAGACGGAGAGCATTTCTGGGCTCCAGTGTCCGAATGTTAGTGGCATGTCCTGTTCTCTTCACATTAAGGCTTGATCTTCCACAGCTGAAAATATAAATATGACAAAGTGAAATTTGAGAAATCAAATTTGACAGGACATAAGAGCAGAGATAGCTGCCTAAAAAGAAGATCAAACAAGAGTTTACAGGGTAAACGGATGAGACTTACAAGGTATGAAACTTAACAACCGCAAAATAGGCTGGGTTGTTCTGAATTTTGCATCCACACTAAGAATTAGTCACGTTTTTATTATAAAAATGGCAAAAGCATGAGAAACAAGCCACAGCACACATCCTGATTTCTAAAGAAAATGTTTCACACTGCACAAACGATCAAGAAATAAGTAAATAATTCTTAAATTAAGTGTATTTACCCTTAATTGTAGTAGGTAAATAAGATGATTTGCTGATGGAATGAGTACTTTTACTCTTAAAATAAGATAATTAGGTAATATACACTTGAAAATAAGACAATGTAATTGTTTTTTCTTATTTTAAATGTAAATTGTCTTGTTCCATTGGCAACACCTCCCTTTTACCTTCTCAATTCAATGTTTCCAATGCGAGGTGATAGTCTTTGACGTTGTTTCTTTTATATTGACTTATGCCTCACTTACCTCCTCAATTCAAGAAAACACTTATTTTAAGAAAAAAATATTTAGATTTTCACTGTTGTAGCATTACCACACCTGAAGGTAAGGGTTCTCAACCATGTGCTAAAACATGTATTTGCAAGCGAGTGCCTGTGGATGGCAGGGTTGTGTAGAATAAATGTCCAAAAATGTTTGACTTTTGATTCACTTTTATAATTCACTAACCACAAATGACCAGATATTGAAAATAAATGTAGAGAAATACATTTATTTAGACGGCACACTTTTATGAACCGCTGCAGCAGGGGGCAGGTCGATGAACACAAACCAGAAAAGTTTAACATAATCTCCAAACAGCATAAAATCACTGAAACAGTTCTAGAAAAGTTAAGAATTATAGACCAGAGAAAAAAAAAAAACCCACATTGGTCAAGTGCTACACATTTGATTTAGTGTTTTACCATTGATCGAAGATGTACTGTTTTAAATATGATCTTTTTATAGTGACTCACTCTGATATTAAAGCCCAGGAGGTCACTGACCACTGCAGACACAGCCGAAAGGATGACAACCTTTGTGATGTTGTAGATCAGAGGGTTCATGGTCAGACCAAGCAGCCTGAAGGGGGTGTCCAACTCCTGATGAAAGAATTATTAGATAACAAAATGACAGCATTATTTCCATTAAGTAATAAAAAATATATGAAGACCACAAAATCAAGTCTGTCCAAATAAAAGCTACGTGTAACATTGTAATTTTTGTAACTCTCAATAAAAAAAAGCATTGGATCAAACAAAAACAATCCTTCACTAAATGCTTAAAAGCTGATTTCTTACCTTCATCAGCTTTGTGGCCAGTTTTAAAACATTGTTCACAATATTGAGCTGTTCTTTCTTAGCAGGCTTTTTCTCCATCTTCAGATACAAATTAATCTGTAACCAAGAACATGTGGAAACTCTAAGACGCAGAGGAAACTTATTGGAAGATCCTAGCTGTGAATCAGCTGCTGCTTTTGAAGCCTTGTGCAGCCAGAGGGCCTCACCTGCTCAGTGAGCAGCACTGAGGAGTTGCTGTATTTAGAGTTAGTCTCTGAGCCCAGCGTGGCGAGCCGCAGCAGAAAGGGAATGAGGGAGAAGCACCACACCACCAGCTCCCAGTTGATTAAAGAGACCAGGAATGTCTTGTGGCTGTGCAAAAGCTGGAGAGGAGATAATGTTGGTATCTGCAACCTGCTTTAAAACCAGTTTCATCTGAGGCTCACGGCTTAACCTAAATTAGATAATATGCACAGACCTTCCTTTGGTTCTTTTAAAGTCTCTCAGACTAACCTGAGCACAAATGATGAACGCAATGGACAGAGCTAAAAGGAAGATTGTGGAGACGATGACGTCTACAGATCGCTGAGGTCCTCGTCTCTGCAACAAAAAAGCAGGTCAGAGACAGCTTGTTCACAAAGTGCAGTGCACGACAATAAGTGCAGGAGCACACGTACCCTCAGGAAAGATCGCAGTGACAACCATATCTTGATGTTTTGCACTTTTTTCAGCCTGAAATGAGGGATCTCTGATTTTTTGGCTTTTCGAGCTGAGGTGAGATGGCTGAAGTACTTGGCAAATAAGAGTCTCTGTTGAGGAAAACAGGGAGATATTTCAAAGATCCCAAATAATTTAACAGCAATGAAGAAAATAAAACAGGTTTTATTACTCTAATAGATAGATGGTAAATTATTTTAAATGACTATAAAGCTAATATTTAAAATTATTCCTAACTAATGAAAGGTATAGCTGTTCACATCTTTCAATTTGCTACTAGAAAAGTTACTTTTTCTATCCCGATTTCTCTTTTTGCTAAGAAAAACAAACAAACAAAAACTATTCATCATTTTTAAAATTATGTGAAGTCATCCGAATGTTTAGCTGCTAATAATAAATCAGGATTTTCTCTTTGAGGTCTCCAAACGGTTCATGACACAACATTACATGATCAGTTGACACATTGATCACAATGACAGATTGTAAGATAAAGAATACATTTCTTATAACATTATAACATTTCTTATAACATCATTTCTTATATGGAGGATCTGCCAGAAGTTTGTTGTGTCTGGTATGTTAATGCATATAGTAAGCAGTTTGTAGAGGTTTAAAATGATCTTCTTATTGTCTGAGCCACCAAATGGTTTTTGGTGGATTTTGCCACAGTATTCTGTGTATAAATCATAAAAAAAAAAACTCTGCCTATGAGACATGGTGCATTTTGGCGAGGTAACAGCAGAGCAACAGGGTACAGGATTAAAAACTCATCGGGTTTTTCTGAATAAATTTTTAGATCTCATCTTGACCAGGACTACCTGGTAGAAGAAAACTGTATCTCAATGGGGACTAAATAAATGAATAACAGAATAAAGCAAATTTGTCAAATTATTCTATTATACCATAAAAAGGGAAATTTAAGGGTTTTGGATACAAAAAAATTAAGAATTTTAACTTAAAACCATGTATAAAATGATTACGAAGAAGCTCAAATTTTATGAAAAATATCTGTAAATGAGTGAATAGATGTCTCACCTGTTTGTAGGTTCTCTCAGCCACACACATCATGAAGAAAAAGAGCCCTGTGAGGCAGACTCTTAGAACCGTTGTGATGAAGAAAAAGGCGTAAGCTTGAGCATCGCATGTTCCCACGGCGATTTCAAGCAGTTGGTTTAGGGAGAGTGAGGTAAGGCTGGACATGTCCAAACGCTGCGCCAGGCGGAAGGCGAAGGGAACCAGGGCCAGGGTGGCCGTCATTAGACCGCCGAGCACGATGTAGCCAATCCCCTGCTCCTCCAACTTTACCTGGAAAACACAAACTGACTCATATCAGAGAAAAGAAGCTTTATATTCAACACAAAGTCCTGGTCATAAGTGTTTAAGCAGTCAGTTAAGGAAAACAGTGCTCACACACATTAAATGTTGAATAACATTCAACATTCAACTTTATTTATATATTTTGGATGACTGGTAGACTAAACTAAATTGTATTTTTTCTGTAGAAGAAAATTTTTTTTTTTCTTTTGGAAAATATAAAAATATGGTGGCTAAAATAGGTCAAACTAAAGGGGCCGTTTAATTATTAAAAAGTTCTTTTTAAACTAGAATGAAACATGAGCAAAAATCAGAGTTTAATTACATCATAACAGGTAAAAGTTTCAGTAGAAACACAGAAGTATTTAAGTATTATGAACCTTGGTCTCACATAGCGCCTGATCTTCCAGATTACAAATAAAAAGCACCAAATTACTTGTGCAAAATAAAATAAAAAATAAAAACTGAGTGTTTAATAAGTGGTCATGTTGCAAGTCATTCAAAAAGACTGTATATGTCTTTGATAACAGGTTCAAAAAGGGTTCAGGCCGCTCTATTTAAATGAGGAAAGTGTTTGTTATTAGATTTTAGGAAGCAGGGTGGCTACAACAGACAGAAGAATCTCTAAGCCATAGATTTGAAGCAAGGAATGACATTTTAAAAAAATCAACAATAAAATTAATAATGATAATTTTTAAAAATGCATTTCATATGTTTGTATCTCAAAGTGTCATGATCTGCCATTCTGGGATTTTTGGTTCTGTTTATTTCTCACTTTGGGTTTTATTTACGTTACTGTTTAGACTTATGTTTTTTTAATTACTTTATCTCCAGTTTGGTGTCATCTCAGTTATCTCATATTCAGCATTCATTAGTCTTTGCTCTAGTTTGTCATTTATTGTTTACAGTTATCTTTAGCTTATATTTTCCAGTAACTCTTCATTGCCCCCTAGTGTCACCTTCCTTCCCATTGGTTTGCTTGTTCTTTCTCTGCACACCTGCTCCCACTCACATCATTAGTCCAATCTTTGTCTTGTTTGTCTCCTCTCCAGTGTATATATACATATAAATATATATCCCTCTTCTGCAGTCCGTCTTTGCTGGATCGTCGTCTTTATTTCATGTCCACATCAATTCCTGTCAGTCTTTTCCAGTGTTTTCTGTTCTGGTTCTCGTGTTCCTCGCTCTCATCTCTATTTATTCACTGGATTGCTGAATGACCGAAAAGACTGAAGTCACCTGCTGCCATGTGGGTACTCACCACTTTCATGGAGTTGGGCCATAAAAAAGCCTGTAATGTGATGTAATTACCCTAATAATGTGATCAATACATGTATATTACATCTACATCATCAATTTAGCAGTTTTTGCAACATAATGAGTGTTTGTGTGCAAGTGTAATATTCTTAATATCTGACTACAGTATTATTATGCTCCATAAACACATACATTTTGTTGTGATGGATTTGTATAATATGTAATATTACATGATATACAGACTTCATACTGAATATGAAATGTAATGTGCCTATATTTACCATAAATTACAGCACGTTTGTGTCAAAAGCGATTAATTTATCTTTATTTTAAAAGTCTTAAGCCCCCCTGAAAATGAGAACATCCTCGTTGTTCGATGCTGTAGCGCACACATTGTTTACATTACAACCGGTCTAACTCGGGAGTACCAATATGGCAGCAGGTGACTGGTTCCTTGCTTGATTACTTTATGATTTATACTACCACTGCCTTTAACATTAAACCTACCAGAAAACATCTCTGCCTCCGCCAAAATTCTACATATCCTGACACAAAGTGCTACCAAACAACAGCAACATTTAAAAATAAATACATTTTCTACTGTTAATCAGTTTGTATATGTAAAAAAAACTATTAGACCCTTTTGCTTATAAATGTTTTTCTTATTTCCAGGCTCCCTATATCTCCAACACTCCAACACTGTTATTTAGATTCTTCTTTCAGCTTTCTTTAATTTCAAATTAGCAAATTGAATATTGTTAATTACACATTGTATAAAACTATCAAATAAGACTAAACAATGCATTATGGGTAATAGATACATAGTAAAAATTCAAAGACACATTTAGTGAAAGCACTTTAGTGGTACACATGTGATTCTGATCACCTATAAAACTTATAAATTTGACAAAGTTGAATGTTAAAGACATTCAGTCTTTAACCAGAGACCTTTCCAATATAAAAGTTGAGAATATTTACCTGTGTGAGGATTATCCCGCTGATCTCCAGCACTGACATGTCAGCTTTCTTGCACTCGCCTTGCTCCCATATTATGGCACTAACGCGGTCCTTGGATGGGTGGCATGCCTGAAGCCAGTTCAGCTGGCCCTGAAGTGAAGCACAATGGCAAGAAAGGGAAAGAAATTTGTTGCTCTTTTTAACTCATCAGGACTAAGTTTATGCAAAAACTGTTAAGACCAAAAAAAAAAAGAGAGACTCGCCATTGCATAATGAGACATATGGAAGATTAAGTACAAAATCCAGAGTGATTTATATTTACACTGGAGAGTCCTTGCTGTAAACCTTCATCCTCACTGCTCGGTGTGTTTTGAGGAAGGTTTATCCCAGCGTTGTACCTCCCAATCCCCTCTGAGTCGCTGCTCCCAGTAGAGGCGGAGTCAGGGCCCTGCAGAAGCTCCTCCCACATAGTGTCATCGGTGTCAGAGGCTGGACGAGAGCCCAGCCTGAGTCTCTCTATCTGTCGAGGCTTTACTTCAGCGGGCGCTTCACTCTCATCCTGCCCCCAGGCAAAACAACCCACAGCTGTTAAATCAGTGACAGACAGCAGCATTTACACTGAGAAAAATAATCAGCTTTACCTGCCGTCTTGCTGCAGCTTTGGGGCTGGACGTTTTGTTTCTCCGTCTGACAGGAGATACTGATGGGGACGCCGGATTTGGGTGTAACTTGCGATGATGCTTAGATCGAATTGTCTCCACCGGTCGCCTGCTTTCACCTTCATCGCTGGAGAGTTCATCAGATGCTCCAAATCCTGCCTGACCTTTACACTGAAATTCAACATCAAGGCTGGTGGAATAAATTAACTATGTCAATAATAACCCAGCCTGACATGTGCTTTTATCCTCCCTGTGTTTAACATGCTGTTATTATTTTCATAGGAGTATCAAATGTATCTGAAAATAAACTCCTGCTCTGAGAACCTTAAATACTTTCCGTGGTTCTTTCACCTCGCTTCTAGATCATCAGAACCACAGTAAAGCATGGTGGTGGCAGCATTATGGTGTGGTGTTCATTTCTAAATGGTTCTATCTACAAGTTATTTTGGAGCAAAGCACTACAGTAAGTGTAAGAAACACAAAAACAAGAATAGTTTTAAACATAAATGAGCCAGAGTAAATGGTTAAATAAAAAAAGACGACCAGTACTGTTTGCTGAAAACAAACAAACAAAAAATAAACTGTGCGCATGACACATCCACATAATTAGATCCGGGAAATATAAACAATGAGTTGAAATTAAATCAAAAAGAGCCCTGTGAAATCAAAAGAGTCTAGAAATATGTAACTATTTAGTTTTAGTGGATTTAGTGGATATTTTAGTTATTTCAGGTACCCTTTTCCCTACACTTCCGCTAACATAGCAGTATATTATAAAACTGTAAAGCATAAATACTACATTAAAGGTTAAAACATTTTTTTATACATATTTCTTTAAAAGGTGCCAATTTTGGGGTCATTAAAAAAAATCATTTTAACAATGGCTTGTACATTTTTGGAGGTGGATTATTGTCAATCTAACACACATGCCAACCTTAATGCAATCATAATAAGCTTTCCACAGAAAGAGCACATCAAAGCATTTAGGAGACGTTTCCTAAATTGCCTATGTTGCTTAAAATGAGGCTTTTACTCTTCTGTTCGCCACCGTTTACCCTGACTCTGAAAAAACTGACAGGGATGAGTGAGTGTACCCTCCTCTCCTTGCTCCTGTGTAAACTCTGGCCATCTTCAAACTGCCAGGGCCCCTGATGCTCTACGTTCCCGCTGTCAAGCTTGTCTTCAGATTTCTTCAACCCTCTGCCCTTTCTTGGCCTGAAGGAGACGGCGCACAATAATCATAATGGAAGGAAAAACATGGGAGAAGAGAAATGGACATACATGTATCTTATCTATGTGTTTTTCTTCTCTTATATCTGTTAGTGTACTAATGTAATAAATTAGCAGAACATAAGTGAGGAAAATAATTTAAATATTCTTTGGAATAGGTATTTTGTATTATTGCATTCTTCCTGCTTCATCCCCTCTGGAAAGTTGCTTGGAATAAAAAAAACATATTGTTTATTTTATGTGAGAGTGCATAAAGTGTATGAGCCAACAGAGAGTCTGTTAGAATATAAAAGGCAAATATAACCCACCTCCTTCTGCGCGTAGGGCTGGTGCTGCTGCTAGCAGCTGGACTGCCTGAGGGCCATCGGCTGGACTCTGTTGAAACAATCTGGCAGTGAACGGTACCCAGCAGCAGCATGAGACACATGGGCCCAAACACCTCGCTGGCACTGGCCCTGGGGACCTCCAGGTACAGCAGCACTGCTGCCACTGAGGGAAGCAAAACGTTTGGCAACAAAACACTCTCTTAGGGGAGGCATTAGGACAGAATCCATTTGTGCTAATGAGCTCTGGTCTGTGCTGCTCAGCTGCGGAGGGAAGCAGCAGTGATTACATGAATTCAAACAAACATGAATTCAGTAAATGAAGAGTTATTTAAATTATAGAGTCAAAAAAACAACTGTACATTTCAACAGCACAAAGCCTTTTGTCCACAGAATTCTGGGATACATTACATACTAGAGAAGAAAGCCTTAAGCTACACAGCTCCATATGCATGGAATTTTTATACAAAGAAATTGGAAGGCTACTGAGTTTTTATCCTTAAATGCTTTTAAAGAGGAACGCCCTTGATTTACATTGGGCTCTTGATTTTACGTTATTACATCATGTTCTACTCTCCCATATGAGTTTTGTGTCATTTGGAGCTGTTCTGAAGATATTCGGTTAGTTTATATCTAAGTAACGTCTTCCTATGGGCAACGAGTTGAAGGCACAAACTAAACTGTTCATAATTTATCATTTATAGTACCCCAGAATTCATAACATGTAGGCAAATCACTGTCCCCCACACATCCGCGGTTATATTTTTTATTAGGGCTGTCAAAGGATTAAAATTTTTTATCTAATTAATCACAAGGTTTCTTGAATTAATTTGGATTAATCACTAGCCTAAATATTATTGAAAAATACACATTTAAGTTGAAAGTGAAAGAATTTGAAGCAGCCTCCATTATCTGCAATTGTTTCAATTGATATATATATATTTTTTTTATGTACCTGTCATTTAAATTAATCCATGTCTGTTTATGATGTAACTTTGCTGCCTCTTGGCCAGGACTCACTTGAAAAATAGGTTTTTAATCTCAATGGGAATTTTTTCCCTGGTTAAATATAGGTTAAATAAAAAAAATAAAATAAAAACTTCACATTGTATGTATATATAATCTAACTTGTAAGTAAAGTGATTTAAATAATGATGGGGTTACCTTGCAGGACATAAAGCACCAGGATGCATGAGGAGATGGACTTGGAGGTCACCTGGATCCACCATTGGAAGAAGAAAGGAAAGAGCAGAACTCTGACCAGACCTTTCCGAGTCAGCACTGTCCATTGACTCTCTGGTTTGGCTTTACTGAAAGTTGATCCTTAGACGACGAAAAAGCACGAGGAAGATTATAATTACAGCGCATGGTGCTGATATTGGTTAGTTGATATCAAAATTAGATAGAATAATGAAGGAAATGGGTCAATCACCTCTAACTAAATCAACATCAATGAGGTCCGGTTTGATGTAACCAGTCTTCTTTGGTTTGTTCTCCAAACCCTACAGCAGAGGGAGCAGGTTTACTATTTTAGAGGCAACATTTCCCTTCCCAGACATGAAGGAAGCTGTAAGAAGAAACATCTTTTACCTCTAGATTTGCTCTCTCCAGGGATTTTTCCCAGACTTGTTGGTCATAGGCCCCGATCTGGAACCAAAACAAAACCGTCTCTTTTATTTTGTTTTCATCACAACGCCAGACACATGATATACATGTCTAATGTAAATAGGCCCACGTTAAAACTAAAAACATGTTTAGGGGTCTTGATTGAAGTACAATTATGGGGAATGTTTTACACACCTATCAGATGTTAAACAATAGACATTGAGTGAGAAAGGTATGAATTAAAATCTGATAAAATAATAGTGGAACTTTAGCAGCTGAACCCACTGTTCCTGTTCCTGTTTGTTTCTATGACATGTTAAAACAAGACAGATTTAAGGTTGGGCAGGAGTTTATTTCTTCATTCTCCTTCCAGAAGTTCAGCTGCTTCCTTCCTTCTTCCTTTTTGCATACATACTCGAGTGTTTTAACCATATTCGACAAGTATTGGCATAATTTAACATGAGATAACACATGAATTATCAGCCGTATGGAAATAAAAAAAGATTTTGATTGGTTGATACAGGTAAAACCATAATATGCATTTGTGTTTAAGCATAGCTGCTTTTATTTAAGACAGAAAAGTCAAAACTACTCATAAACCTGCAGAAATATATTATACAGTTCTAATTGAAATATCTATTTTTGCCGTTTTGGTATAAAAGCAGGAGCAAAATTTGAAGATTTGCTCTATGGTTTCAGACAAAGATAACCTAAGTAAATACAGATACAGTTTAATTTTTTTATTTTTATTTGATAAAAAGAAAAAAATAACCACTCAGACTAGAGAGAGAGAGAAATTCATCAACATGAAATCAGCTGAACCTTCAAGGAGTGAAACGGCTACATGAATCTGCTCAGAATGCGTCTATGAATAATCCAAGAGGTCACAGCAGAACCTGGGTCATCATCTGAATGACTGCAGAACTCACTGCTCTCAGTTAAGGTCAGTGATCATTATTAAAGTTATAGTGGAGAATTTTGGTGAATTTTAGAAAAGACCCGCCCTCTCCATTTTGAAAAAAAATTCACATGCACAACCCTGTACCTGCTCCCTAGAGGGAACGCCTATTAAACGCGTGTGAGAGCATGCACAAGCCCATTTCTCCTCGTGCACGCTCTGTTTAAAAGTTGCTGTTTGTATCGCTCGTACAAGCTTGACAATTTCACCCTCAACCTCGGCTACAAATGACAATTAGGAGCACCACTTATTTTGATGATCCATCCTGGTGGATTTGAGGGTTCTGTGGGATAATTTAAAGCAGCTACGGAAAAACAAAAAAACAGAACAAAAACAAGAGTCTGGATAATATTTACTAACAACCCTTCAATCATCCCCAGTACTTTGGAGACAATCTGGTGTGGACTGTATTGAAGCATGGTCTGCTCTACACGCTGTGGGTCTCGATATGGCAGAGTCGGTGAGGAAGTGGGGGCGAGTTTGTCCGACAACAGAGGGATATGACGGCGAAAAATAGCTGGGATCCAGATGGAGAAAGGGTCCCCCTTCTAGCTGGTCCAACTTCACGAGTTGTTTTTCGCAATTTCGGTCATAAAAACAAAACAAGCCGGCCTCCTGTCTGCGGCACTGTCTGCGGTCAGTTACAATTTGGGAAAGGTGCAGCGGAGTGTCTGCAGAGGGGGCAGGGACGTCTGCTTGTTCACTTCGACACCTGCGCAGACGATCTGGGTTCGAAGTTAAAATCAGCCTTTATGAGAAACAATCTTATAATAATTAATCGGATCAATTGATTATTGGAATAATAAATAATTATTATCGCCAACTAATTTAGTAATCGATCAGACTCTAAAACTTTAACCGAGAGAGCAGACCACTTAGAGCAGTAATTTATACCAAGATTGTAAAAATATTATATATTTGCAATCTGGATATAAATTACTTCTGGTAATTTATTAATAATCGATTTGGTTGCAAATCAATTAATCTGTGTTTTTATATCTTAAATGCAAAATGTTTATATATTATATATAAACATTTTGCATTGAAAAAATAAAATAAAATGATTCATCTGTCAGTATGCTCTATCCAGAACTCCACAAGTGGAAAAGTTTGAGTTTCACCTTGTTCAATTTTGTAAAAAGTCACCTTTATAGAACCTTCGGCTATCCTATCATTAATTGATTAATTGAAACAATAATCAACAGATTAATAGATTTGCCAAATAATTGTTAGTTGCAGCAGAGGCGTAGCCAGAACATGTTTATTAGGGTGGCCAGGCAATAACCAATATACACTGAGGGGTGGCACCAGAACCTCAGGGTCAATCTACAGTCTTCCAACAGGAAATTAACGAGCAAAACATCCATATTTTCTAAATAAAGACAAACTATACCTTCCTATAGCCTTTGCTAAAAAATAGACACATATTTAAACATCCGTGCTTTCTCGATAAAAGGTATAGTGGATAAAATCCTTTCAGGTTTGAGTTCTGGGGTGAACATCTTTTCCATTGTCTCTACTTACCTACTTTTATTAACAATCATTCTGGATAAAATTTATATTTATAAATACTAATATCGACATAAATTGATTATTTAATACGTTTTTTTATTAAAATAGTTATTTATCTATGATTTTACTGAAGTCTCCTAGATGCCTTGCAGAGAAACATCATTTTCTCTTTACTCCATGAAACACAAAATCTAGTTCTGGAAAGAGCAGTAATTCTGTATTTATCATCTTAAATGTTAGCATTTTAATGTGCATAATTAACCATAATGTTTTTTTTTGTCAAGTAATTGTTAATATATATAAACGTTTTAAATGTTTTGAATATTCCTTTAGAGAGTATTACTGCTGCCACTGTCTGTATTAGAGCGGGAAAAAATGGTAGGGGTCACCCCTGGCCCCCCATCTAGCTCCGCTCCTGAGTTGCAGCCCTAGCTATTATAAAACAAAAAAAGTAAATAAATAAAACAAGATCAAAGTTCAATTTAAGCTTCATCCATCTAAACTGAATTATTATAAATAATAACATTGTTTCAATATCGTTGTTGGCTTAAAAAATAATAAAAACTTACCTTCTCCTGATACCAGGCTATTCTGACCATGGTCATCACACCCTAGATCCACTTCACTTAGATCAGCTAATTTTCCGGGCTGTGAGGGAGATCCACATTAAATTTAAACCAAGTCAGAGAGACAGACTGCAGAACCAGCTGAAATAGACAATCTGTCACTAAGTAGCTAAGCGATAGAAAAACAAACTTACCTGAAATGAAGGTCGTTTTTTGATCAAACTGACAGGAGCAAATAGAGAGCATAACAGCCGAGTTTTAAGATCACTACAGCGGTTTGTTGTCAGGCTTCCTGGACCACATGTGTTTTACCTCTTCTGAAAGGTTTCATTACGAATATGGACTCATAAACTCCGACTTTAAACGCCCAAAGTACTTATACGCATGTTTTCTGGTACTATTTCAACTATTCCGCACTTTTAGCTGATTCTTCCTCTTCTTTCCTTTTCCGGGTTTATTGTTTATGCAATGAAAATAAATTTGCCCTCAGCTCTGTCTGTCAGGAGCAAAATCGAGTCCAGTGAAGCGCTATAAAACCTAAAAATATATATATTACGGCAAAGATGACAACGTTACCATTTCTTCATTTTGTTAAACAAACGTGGAAATTGCTAAAATACCTCTATAAACTCTTAGTTGTCATTTTTTTTTAAAGACGACAGCAAAAATACTGCCTGAGAAGACAAGACCGGGAGGAAAACAGCAGCTATTAGCTCCAATAATGATTCAATTGCATTTTAATTAATAAGGGAAGAGTAAACAAAGCGTTATCCTCTTATTCAGACGCCATATTAACAGAAAAATAATAATAAAAATAAATAAGAGAAAATAATCAATAAAGTCAGCATTGTTTTCTTTATGTAAAATAAAGACAAACACAATAAGACTAAACTATGTAAAACAATGTAATAAATTATTACTATAGTAAAAATAAATTATTGAAATAAGTAGAGCAACAATAATGATAATGATAATAATAATAATAATAATAATAATAATAATAATCACATTAGCAATTAGAAGATACAATTGCGTTTAGTGACAATTTCGCTGCCAAAAAAAACAAAAAAAGTTTAAACAGCAAATCCACACAAGTAAGAGGGACATTTCTTAATTTCTCAAAGATATTCAACCAACCAACCATATTTATTTTAAACTGGAGGCAGACATATCTAGCATATTACTTAAAGAGATTACTTAACCCTTTGTAGGGCACTCAGTGAAATGCATTTAAAATCAACGACATTTCAAGCCAATAGTGTTATTGGAATCCAAAACCTTATTACCTTTGTAACATTAAAAAAATACGGATATTTTGCTGGGAAAAATTTATGTCAATGTAATAACAAGAAATGCCAACTTCCCCGAATATATTAAGAAAAATAACAAAAGTATTTCTATAAGAAATTCATAAAAAGCACATTTTTAGTTTATAAACCTAATTGTAATTGTTAAGTAGGCTTGTTAACTTTTTAACTTAACTTTTTAACTTTTCAATTTGCTTTTTAATCTTTTAATAGGTAATATATAATTCAAGGGCTCATCTAATTGGTCAAACACCAAAATAAGATGTACAGCCATGTAGCAGTATCTTTGCTGCATGGCTGGATATAGATCTTGTGCTTCTAGACCTCACTGAGGGACAGGGGGACACCATTTGTAAGGGGTATGCAAGTGATCAAAAACGGTAACTTGCCCTATAAAGGATTAAAGATACAATCTTGTCATGGTTTTTACATAGAAAAAAAATCCTGTATATTGTCTATTCTTTTGAAATAACAGCAATCCATTGCAGAATTTCTGAAACCTAAAGGACTGGTAAGGTGCTAAATGATAGTCAAATTTTAAAAGTACTCCAAATAAGAGGCTTGAAAGAGAATAATTGTTGCAATGCATCTGAGATGACAAGTTGTCAAGACAGGAGCAGAGTCATTTCTCATCGGATTCCTGAGTGTCCACTAATGGTTGGTCGTGCTCTGCTGCGCACACAATCTTCCTCTTGACCTTCTTGTTGGATGAAATGATGAAGTAGGGGCTGAGGGAGGCATAGCAGGAAGAGAAGAACACCCTCATGTCAGCCACCACTGGTGAAACCTTTGATACCGTCAACATGTAGATCCAGATCACATTATCAATGCCAAAGAACACAACGTAGAGGACTACCAGGGTCACCACAGTTTTGGCCGCCCTAGTTTCTGCCCCGCTGCCATGAGAGCGACGGATCCCCCTCACTTGTTGGCTGTGGCGGTGTAGAAGCAGGAGGATGTAACCGCTGGAGCCCAACATCAGGGCTACAAAGGCAAAATCCCTCCCAGAAACAGCTACTCCATTAATAACATAGGACAGGTTGTCTCTGAAGTCTACATGGCAGAAGCCGAGGTTGAGGGTGAAAGCAGGGATGGTGCCGTTACGTGGAGCCATTGAGAAGAAAGGAGCTGCAATACAAATGGCCATGTTAAGGAGCCAAAGCCCTGCAAAGGTTGGAAGGACCAGAGCAGGGAGAGAGGGCTTCAGCCTGGACAATCTGGGTCCTGCAGGAGCTATTGTCAATGCCTGAAACACACTGAGCATGCAGGTGATGCAAACAGATAAAGCCCGTCCAATACGATAGGCATAGATCACCACTTTACAGCCAGGGTCATTCAGAAGGTCCTTCAAGCCAAACACGGTCATGGTCTGGGGAACACATCGAGTCAGTAGTAGCATCAAGTTGGCAAAGGCAAGGTGGCACAAGATCATGTCCACAGGAAGCAGCTTGGGTTCGCTGCAGATCATGCTGGCATATGCTAGAAGCACCACAGCGTTTCCCAAAATGCCCATACCTGTTTGCAAGAGGAAGGAAACTCCTTTGATAGTCACGCAGAGATCCATTCTACAAAGACCTGCATGAGTCAGGGTTTAAACAGCAGACATTAGAAATACATCCAGTGTAAGTATACTTTAAAACAGCAACAATATTAGTTAGATTATGTGAAACAAACCTCCATTACTTATACAAACCTGGAAAACTTTACTCTCACCTAAAAGCTGTGGATGTATAGCAAAAATCCTTTTGCAAATGAGCTGCCAAAAAGCTTGTGAGAGACGATTTATAAGCCTTGTTGTCCCTCAAGACTGTTGGCCAAGATTCAACCCACAGTTTGGCAAATGAATGCAATAAACCAACTTTGGCTTGAATTGTCTCAGAGGGGCAGAGTCACAGTGGAACCACTAGAGCTATTATAATACAATACTGGCCAGTAGCTCTATAGAACAGGGATTTTTATAGGTTTTTTTCTCCTGTTCACACTTTGACCAACATTTCTTCATTAGCTTTTTACTTAGTAGGATCTTGTTAAATCCCAATTTTGCCAAAAAGTATATAAAATAAACATGGCTTTGAGGTTAATCATCAAAGAAGTTAAAAGACGTTCTGTTGGTATGTACAACATCTATTCTATTCTATTCTATTCTATTCTATTCTATTCTCGTTGGTATTATGTTTATACATACATATTTTTATCCTGTGCGGGCAGTGGTTTTATTTTATTTGCTTTTATTTATTTTTATTTATTTTATCTTTTTGTGCAGCACTTTGGAAACCTTGCGTTTAATGAAATCGTGCTATATAAATAAAGTGGATTGGATTGGATTCTATTCTATTCTTTTCTTTTCTATTCTGTGGAAACAATCTTGTTTTTTATATATATATTTTCTTTATAACTAAATGCATTTACAGCTGTAAAATTTTCTGTAACTTTAGTATTTAATCTTCAAGATGACACTTGAAAACAATATTAGTGGTGCTGTTTGGTCAAAATATGAGCAACGTAAATGTGTTGTTTCTCAAGATTCTGCTTTTCATTTGGTATAAAAACCAGTAGTGCAGGTTTCTTTTTAAATTTACCATCAGAAAGAAGGAAAACACAGTGAACCAACAAGGGACAGTAGTGTGTACTTTTTGTTTATAACAGCGCATAAGAGCTTTTAAAAATGGACAGATTGTGTTTTCCTGTTTTTCATTCTGACTTCATGTCCAGAGAGCATTTTAAGGAGACACAGAGGAGCAAGACAATTAACTCCAAGTATGTAACAAGACTTGTTTGCAGTAATCAGTGGCAGAAACAAAGCTGGTCAGCAGTATTTTCAAGATGCAAGCTTACAATCTGAAATGCACCTAAAGGTTTTAGTTATTTATTTTGTGAAATGGAAAACAGATCATGAACCCAGAGTATCCCTCCAACTGTATGGACGTGCTGAGGCCAGAACGGTCACTTTGTGATTACCTGCGGATTTTTATTTCTTTCATAATGGTTCTTTTTCTCATGGGAGTCTTCTATGTAATAAATCATCATTAGAGAAAGTTTCTTCCTGAGTGTTTTTTTTAAACATGTTTACATGTTCAGAGACTTAATTAAAAAGGCAAGTTGAAGCGTGCTCTCCTCAGAGGATTGCAACATGTCCTCTTTGCTCCTGTGTGACTTCAATAATATTAAAACCCTTTCCCCTGGTATCTAATTTCTCTCTAATTATCGTCATTATTATTATATAAGAACTGCATTGAAAAATTATGAAATATGTTGCAAAATCACAGTTAGATTGATTACAAAGTTCACGTCTTGAATATGAAAGCGGATTAATTTGTTAATTTAATTGCAATCTGCAATAAAGGTAATAAAGGAAATTTTATGAACATCTTAAGCTACAAATGTGTTGCTTGCTTTTAAGGGGGGCGGTAATACGTTGTCATCATTGTTTAAATTAAAACGTCTCTGAAACTTGTTAGATAATTACTCACCTTTTTCTAAAAAAAACAAACACAGTATTGTTTTTTTAGAAATAAATACGTATGATACATTTTTTTTTGCCTCTAATTCATGTATTTAATTAGTATACATTTAATTTTAAAATATTCACCACTACCAGTTTCTCTAAATTGTCCTTAGGTGTGAGTGTGTGCATGGTTGTTTTTCCTGTGTGTCTCTGTGTTGCCTCGCGATGGACTGGCGACCTGTCCAGGGTGTACCCCGCCTCTCGCCCATCGACTGCTGGAGATAGGCACCAGCACCCCTCGTGACCCCAATTGAGACAAGCGTGTCAGATAATGGATGGATGGATGGATGAATGGAATATTCACCTTTACCATCTTAAGCATGCCATTTCTTCAAATATCAAAAAATGTATCCATCCATCCATCCATCCATCCATCCATCCATCCATCCATCCATCCATCCATCCATCCATCCACGAAGGACAATTTAGAGAAGCCAGTTAAACTAACAGTCATGTTTTTGGACTGTGGGAGGAAGCTGGAGTACCCGGAGAGAACCCACGCATGTGCAGGGAGAACATGCAAACTCCTTGCAGAAAACCCCTAGGCCGGGAATCAAACACAGAACCTTCTTGCTGTAAGGCAGCAGTGCTACCCACTGCATAAAAAACCCAACATAAATGAAAATGTTAGTTCTAACTCTAAATAGTATTGACTGAATTAATAAACATCTTTCAAAGGTAAAATTTTATCTGATTTTGCCTTAAGTTTATACAGACATTACAGAATATCTAAACATGTGACAAGAGCTACTTTTTTTTCTTGTGTAATTTTGAGTTTATGATGTGAATTTAAAGAGAGAGGTGTGCAATTAACCATTTATATATATATTTTTTCTCTTCTGAGGAAGTAAGACTGAAGATTCTCTTTCATTTATGTAGCAGTCATTGCCATGGGGGATTGCGTCAAGTTTATTTTTTAATTCCCAAGAAGGACCTGTGCTGGTTACACCGCAAATATGTCCCTTCTCACACTTAAGACATTTTTAAAATGATTTTTGTTCTCTTTAAAAAAATAATAATATGTAGCCTGAGTGATGTCATCAAATTAAAAAAATGTGAAGGATTGATTGTTCTTCTGGCTGGGCTTTGTTTTGACATCTCTCCACTGGGGGGCACTGTGGTACTGAAAGGTTTCTGCACATCGGAAGTCACCTGTAATTCTGCTTAAAAAGTGATAGCAGGAATGTAAATTGACATATTCCTAAAACTGAAGGAAATCATGAAAAAATAAATAAATTGAAAGGTTGATTAAAAATATAAAAATAAGAGATCTGGTGGAATAATATGAGACAAAAACTGTTTAATTCAGATGAAACATAGACTTGATCAATTATTTTATCCTTATTATGTTAAACAATAGCTCTAATGGATGCTAAAACCTGTTTGTTTCAGACCATGTGGATGAGAACAATCAGTGGCTCGTTTGTTTTAATCTTGTCTGTCTAAAACCCGGAGAGGACAGAATCAGTCATCTGAATTGATCTCAAGTAATTGGAGGCAGAGGGAAAAGAAGTCAATGGACCGTGCAAAGCAGAACCAACAGCTGCTACCAGTCTCTAGGTATAAGGAAAGAAAAATCCTGCTGACTTCATGAGCAGAATCACTCTCTGTCAGCCACATTATCAGCTTCAGAGCTCTCAGGCTTTTTTGCCATCACCTGCCATCAGGTGGGGTTCGGACTTCCTACAAGTGAATTTCTGATACCAGCCCAACATTTGGGCCTACCCACAATGTGAATTCATTTTTACTCTTTTTCCTTTGTAGGAATGGCATCAGATAAGTCCGTCCGTGGGATGCTCTTTCTGTCGCTCACAGTTGTTGGAGTTCCCGGGAATATTGCGGTCATTGTTGCCTTCCTCCTCCTGATCCGCCAGGAGAGCCTGCTCCTCGCAGCAGATGCCATCGTTCTCCACCTGGCCTGTGCCAACCTGTTGGTGGTTCTTGTACGCTGTCTGCTGGAGATGCTGGCCTCCTTCCGCCAGGTGAATGTCTTTGGAGACATTGGCTGCAAAACTGTGATCTTCATCTACAGGACCTCCAGGGCCCTCTCTATCTGGCTCACCTTTCTCCTGAGTGCATACCAATGCTTGTGCATTGCCCCTCCTGGATCAAGCTGGGCCTCAACCCGTGCTTTAGTTGCTCAAAATTTATTCATTATATTCATTTTCCTCTGGATCCTCCACACCAGTATGAGTGTGGGAGCCATAGTGTTCTCTGTAAGCTCAAAGAATCACACTACTCCGACAACAAGCGCTGTTAACACAGAGTTTTGTTATGTAAACTTCCCATCAGATATCCTTAAAGAAGGCTACGGGGCAGTACAAGTGAGCAGAGATGTGGTGCCTATAGTTCTCATGACTCTAAGCAGCTTGATCATTCTTGTTCTTCTTTACAAGCACAGCCAGCACCTCAAGGGGCTCCGTGGTGCTGGCCAAGCTGGATCAGGGAGCTCCGGGGCCGAGCAACGGGCTGCTAAAGTAGTAGTCGTGCTCGTGACCATGTATGTGGTTCTTTATGGCGTCGATAATGGTCTTTGGGTGTACACACTCACTGTGAGACAAACAATGCGCTCCTCGCTGATCTCTGACCTGCGTGTATTCTTTGCTTCACTGTATGCCGCGCTCAGCCCTCTAGTTATCATTGCATCTAACAGGAAGGTGAACAGCAGGCTGAGGTGTGTTGCACAGGAAAAGCCTTTGCAGGGGAAAACAGCTCGTCTCTGCTCTATATGAGGGGCAATTTCACACATGGCTGTAGGGGAAACTTAAGCTGAGTTAAAACTGTTTTTGTTTTTTTATGTCTGGGTCATGCTAGGATTAATATGTTGAAACCAAATGCTGACAAGAATTACTTTGCTTTTATCGCTGCTGTAGTCATTTTACTAAGTTTCAAGGTTGAGTTGAGGAGGCGTTTTCTTCCGAGTATTAAAGGTACAGTGGAGGATGCTCTTTTTCCCAAGTGGTCCTCCTAATTGTCAATCATTCTGGTGATATATTTATGTAAGGCTCGTTCCCATTTTCACTTACCGATGGTGAGTCTGACATAGTGGAAAAATAGCAAATCTTCTACTGGAGAGTAAGCTTGTAAGACCGATGCAGCAACTTTTAAACAGAGCGTGCATGAAGAGAAATGGGCTCTGGAATGCACTCGCACGCGTTTAATAGGTGTTCTCTCAGTAGCAGGTACAGGGTTGTGGTGTGCATTTCTTTTTTTTTTTTTTAACAGTCTCTTATTTAAA